ATTTGTTTCCTAAACTACTTTATTATTCTATTAAGATGTTTCATTAGTTTACTGAATCACTTTATTATTCTATTCAGTTGTCTCATTTGTTTGCTATATAGTTTTATTACTCTATTAAGTTGTCTCTTTATTGTTTTATTAATTGATCTCATTTGTTTACTTATTTGATTTTTCATTTTATTAAATTGTCTCATTTGTTTATTAAACTGCTTTATTATTTTATTAAGATGTCTCATTTGTTTACTAAATAGACTTATTACTTTATTGAATTATTTCATCTGTTTACTGAATCGAGTTATTATTTTGTTAAATAATTTCATCTGTTTATTGTTAAGATTTATTCGTCTTTTAAATTGTCGAGTCAGTTTATTAGCTTGCCTAATTGCTTCGTTAAGTTGTCTCACCTGTTTAATTAATAACTTTATCATTTTATTAAATTTTCAAATCTTTTTATTGATCAACCTTATTGCTTTGTTAAATTGTTTCATTTGTCTTTTGTGCTTCTCTATTTGTAGTTGATATTACATCATTTGTTTACTTAGTAGTTTCATTTGTTGTTTGATTTTTTTCATCTTTTGTACTAATTATTTTATTAACTTATTCAATTTCTTGATTAATTATATTACTTTACTCACTTACAGAGACTTCTTTTTTCTCTTCTACAGAATTACCTATAATTTATTATGTTTATTCATTCTATTTGATAATAATGTCATCCTATTTTTTTGAAATTGGTTGAACAAGAGGAGTATCTTAATCCTGAATCTATTCTTAACAATCTGGCTATTAAATTTTATCATCAGACTTGTTAGGATTCAATTCAGGAGTATCTGAATATTTATCCACATTATTGTTATTTAAATTATCATAAGGAACTGGTTCTTAATTATTCAATTATTATTATTATTCAGGTTGACGAACATCTTTAACTGGAGATTATTATTATTATTGTTATACTTCAGATTTTTTGACTTCTTAAATAGGTTATTATTGTTTTTTTGGGATTGGAATCTAAGGTTTTATTACTTGACTACCTTTCAAGTATGATTCTATTGTATCTGGGATATCGTTTTTAGTTTTAAAGGATCCATTTCCAAGATTAAAGTAAACGTAAGCTAACTTTCCTGATAGACCTGGATAGAATTTATCCTTTCCAACGAATATGTAAAAAGAAGGAGTCAAATAATGGTTGATATCTTAATACAATAAATCCTGTGTTTCTGTAGGCCAAGCTACTTAAATATATGATAATTTAGTTGTTTTCTAATATCCAAAGTAAACATAGAACCATTCCAAATGTCTTTGATTGTGTTTAATATTTTGATAATAATTTGGATTGCCTTTGGGATTGGTGACATCATATGAGTAGGTTGGAAAATGTAACACTCCTCCTTCTATGGAACCAAGCCACATACATAAAGTCCTATCTCCCAAATAAACATCTGTTGAAGGAGTTTGGATTTAGACTCTAAAGATATTGTGCCATGCTGATCTCTAAGGTCCAGTCCATTTGAACCAGCCACTCAAAGAGTATTCATTAGGGAATCTCTAATTTTTATCATTTAAAGTTTAATTGACAGAGTCATCAGAGTCTTATCGTTATGTTTCATTTTCAATCAATTAATAAGCAATTAAATTAGTAAGATCGACATTAGGTTATTCTAATTTAGACACAAAGGCTACAAATTCATCTTTATTTTCAATATAGTTATCCATTGAAATTGTGATCATAATTTTCGAAATGAATCCGTTGAATCCAGGATATCTTTTTTGATCATTGCCTCCAAATATGAATTTCAAATACTTGATATCTGGATGTTAAGCTTAGATGCTTGCAGATTAAATATCAGATTTTGAGTAACTTATAAATGAATTTGCAGTCTAACTTAATTTGTTGTAAGAGTAATGGATGTATGTCCAAACTCCTTCAATATCTTTAGGATAATCAATATTTGAAATAATATTGGCTTAATTCTTTTGAGTGTCACAAGTAGTGAAATGGTAAAATGTTTATCCTAACCATATAGCCAATAATCTATCCCCCATTTACACATTATCATATTTTCTATTTGAAGTCAATCGAGAAATGAAATACCAAGGGGCAGTTCTACCTTATAATAGTCTTTGAGGATAAGCATGCATAAACCTGAGCCAGAAACCGTACCCATAAATTTAGGGAGATTCCTCATATTCTTTTTCAAATACAGGTTCAGTAGAATCAATAGATACTTCTCTATCTTCATTGTCTTAAAGTGCAGGTTTTATTTCTTCAGGTTATTTTAGAGTTTCACAATCTAGTTCATTGACTGTAGTTTAATCATCAATTTACTTTTCAACTTTTTTGATAAGGTTTGTATTTCCAACATCATATCCAAATAAATCATCTTTTATTATGAAATCTGGTTTATTTCTATAAGATCCTGATCCAAGAACAAAGTTTACATATGCAATTTTACCATTAAAGCCTGGGAAGTGTTCGTCTTTTCCAACATATGTATGAAATTGAGGGGTATAATAATGATTAACATCATTGTATTCTAGGGTTTCAATTCCAGATGACAATCTAACTTATACGAATGCCTTTTTTAATTTCTTAGAATAGCCAAAATACACAAAAAACCAATCCAGATGTTTGTTTTTGTGGGGAATGTTATTGACTAAATTAGAAGTGCCTTCTCCCTTCATGTTTTTGTATGAATAAGTTGGAAAGTGAAATATTCCTCCTTAGGCAGTTCCTATGAACATACACAAGGTTCTGTCTCCAAGAAACTTATCTGTTGATGGTTTGTTAATTTGTACCCGAAAGACTGAATGCCATACTTATTAAGCAATTTCCTCCCATTTGAACCAACCACTAATAGAATATTCAAGAGGAAATTTCTTCGATCCTCCTCCTACTGCCATGTAATCTCCTTCAAGAGAGGGATTTCTATTAATTTCTTCGTCTATCAATTAAACTCTAAATATAGATTCAAAATCTGATGCTGGCATTTTAACTGTTTTAAATGAATCAGTAAATTTATCAAGTGTAGGAACAAAGACACCAGGGTTAGTTGATAGGAATATTGATGAAAATTAACCGTTAAATCCAGGATATTGATTATTGTCCTTTCCACCAACTAGGAATCTCAAGTATTTACTCTTTGTATGTAGAACATTATGAGTTATTTATTATGGTTATTCTTATCCAAATTGGATTATTCCAATAGCCTATTTTGCAATAGAACTATATGAATAATAAATATAAGTCCATTATCCATCAATATCCTCATGGTGATTTACATTTTAAATGACATTGGGTTAATTTTACAATTCATCGCATGTTGTAAAATGATAGAATCCCTAACCTAACCATAATGCCAATAGTCTATCATTCATTGCGATATTTTAATAATTCTTATTAGAAGTTAATCTGCTTAAGAAATACCAGGGTATATCCTTGTTTTCTAATCTTTTTGGATAAAGAGTCAAAAATCTTAACCAATATCCAAATCCATATTCTACGAATTCCTATTCTTTTTCTATAGTGTTTTCAAAGACTGGTTTTTCTTGATCAACAGATGATTCATGTATTTATCCATTATCTTCAATTATTAATTGATTGACTTATGGTTATGGTTATGGTTATGGCTATGGCTATTTAATTGTTTATTGTTATTTTTGCAATTTGCATTATTCAAGTGCTTCTTAAACCTCCTTTGACTTCTGATCCAGTTTTTGCACTATCATCTAGACTGAAATGAAGATTTGTTACTTGTTATGAGTTGAGTTCTTATTTTATTTCTTCTCTCTCGTTTATAAGAAGATTGATCATTTACTCAATTTCAGTGCAATATTCAAGGACATCTTAAAATGATTGAGCTTGCTCTATGAAGTTAATGGATTATATTAGTTTTTATGGTCCTTCTAGTCTCCATTAATTAAATGGTGTTTAATCACTTGAACCCATTGAATCTACGAGTTCAATATAGGATTATTTGTAATTGAACAGTGCTATATTAATAAGTGTTATATACTTGGCAATTCAGGATTCTGATTGTTTTTGATATTTGTAATAACGAGTTTTAATGCTGATAGATTATTCACATCATCCTCTAAATCATTTTAATTTTTGAATATATCCATCCATGTATGTAATGATTGCTGCAACTTAAGTAAATCTTTTTCACAATCTAAATCGCTGAACTCTAAAGAATTCAACTTTTCTAGATCATGAATCTAAACATTGCTTCCAAATTTAATTTGTTCTTAAACTAATTTTATTAAGCAAATATTACATGTCAGGGCAATCATCAATATTAAAAAGAAGTAAACTTACAACTTCTTCATTTGAATCAATAAATAATAATAAATAATAAAGACTAAGTTAATATAAACAAGTTCCGTTTTTTGGACAATCAATTTCACAATAGGTATTTAAGTTATAAATTAATATTCTCTACTATTCAATTATGTAGTTTCTAATTTTTAGTTGTTAGAATAAAAAATTCAAAAAACTTTCTTAACGACTCAATTGAACTCTAGTTGCTTGAATAATGTTAATCTACCTTCCTTAACTGAGAGTATAATTTCTGATTATACGCTTCATAATAATTCAAAAAACTATAGAATAATTTCCACTATTTAAATGAGATATTTCTATAAAGATACTAGACTTAAAGAATTTTTTATAATGTTGACATATAGAAAACATCAAAAGTATGATCAATTTTATTCATATTTACAAATTATATATCAATACATGGAACTTTTACAATTTCATTTTCTAAATAGAAATCAACAATTTTCATTATATATATTATATATATTTAAAAAATCAATCTAAAAGAGTGTCTACTTTTCTTTTTGGCCTAGTAACTATTTTTATTATTCGCGTATCTAGATTTCCAAAGGGTAATTCAACTAATAAAGACAATAACAATCCAAACATCATGGATAACACAACAGCACATACAAAACAAGTGATCATGTCTAATTAGGCAAAGGCTGGAGTCTCATAAAAGGTCTCTGTCAAAATAAGAATTATCATCAAATGCACAAGATACATAGTAAAGGAGAGCTTTGCCATCAATTTAAATAAGGTGTTATTCATAAACTTAGAATTAAATCTAGTATAGTTATTATTTATACATATCATATGTTCCGATCAAATTTGGTAATACTATGAGTGTCAATCCAAAAGTAAATAGAAATCTGCAAAATGCATGATAAATATGTTGGAGCCATTTTGGCCAACTCATCTATGTTGTATTAAATTCCTTTTTCCACCCAAAAAAGAGATATCCAATAATGCCAAATCCCAATCCATAACAAAAAAATTACATGATCAATTTCTATCCACTACTTTATGCATAATCTCTAAATTAATGTAAATAAGTTATCTTTCCACTCTTTTTTGATTGTTTAAATTCTCTATAAAGTATTCCAATTAGCAACCCTAAAAAATAAGGAGGGGCTCTGGCATATGAACTAACATAAAATTTGTAATAATAATCTGGATTGTAAGTATTCCTACCTGGTATTAGAAAATCATAATGAACGCTTAGATAATAAGTCCATCCTAAAGTTCCAATTATCATTAAAATTATAAGAATTTTGGAAAACACCTTGTAATCAAAACAATAAATTAAAATTGGTATTAAACATGTTAAAAATAATTGAAAATCACATGTTAAATACCAACCCCATCCAAAACAAATGAGCCAATCCTCATAAAAATTATCTATAAAAAGAGCATTTTTCCATGCTCCTCCAGGACATTAGGTTGCTCTTTCTTCTAAGAACCATCGAGGCCCACTTCCTAAATATGGAATAATATATGAGTTGATGGCAATGCATAATAAATAACAAGGCCAAATTCTCATTAATCTATGAGTGATACTTAAAATAATAGATTATGGTTTTCTATTTAGAGCTTAAGCCTTTCTTTCTTCACACATGACATAACCTAGAAAGAAACCTCCTACCCAAAAGAATATATCGACTGCGTACATCATATCATATAGAAGTATAATAACCCAGGATTTATATTAAATGTTTACTTCACTAATATAAGTGGAAATGGCAGTCATTTCATTCACATGTCCATAAGCAACCATCATAAACGAAATAGCTCTGATTCCATTAAAAATAGCTAAATTAGGATCTATAGTTTTGAGATTGATTATTTTATTGTAGTTCACAATAATTGAGAAATCTTTAATAATAGATGTTGGTTAATATTGATCCTTCTACTATAAGCCTTCTCTTAGTCCCAAAGAACTAGTGCGACTAGAAGTTCTTTGATCTCTAACATCTGGAGTATGTCTGCTTTTACATGCGGCTATAAATCGCAAAATAGGATCGATAGTAACAAGAATAAGTAAGACAATTACAATTCCAGAGGTAACATATGTTTCCCAACTAGGATGTGGAATATAAGATTTAGGATCATAGAAATTTAACTATATTGTATCTGGATTTATCTATTTTGAAATGCATTATTTACATTGAATAGAGTTGAAATTCCACTTTCATTTAATATTTTTTTAATAGTTTCTTATCCATCTTTGGAATTGAAATCTTTAGCTGAACAAATATTGGAATGGCAAAATCCATAATATTATTTGAAGAGCTGTTAATCAATTTCAACTGAAGTATAGGAGTAGTCATTTCGATAACACCTATCATAATATCCAAACTTCCCAATCCAATCTCCTGATAAAGAATAATAAGGTAGGATTGTTTCAAGTTGTTCATCAATGGGCTGTGAAATCAAATATTTTAAGTTCTCTATACAGACTGACGTATTATCAGCTGCATAAGAAATGGTGATTACTAAATTGAATATTAGCAGGATCATCAATTTTATTTTGATAACTATTATTTATATAAATATATATATTTTCATTGTTCCAATAGAACTTATTATTTTTGCTTTCTTGGCTTTGTGATTGAATCTATTATTTTGACTTGAAGTGTTCCAAATGGCATTTCCACTAACAAAGTTAGAAATACTCCAGCAACCATTGTGATGACAGTGCAGCCAACAAATAATTAAATAACATCTTAAGTAATGTAAGTGGGAGTTATATAAAATGTGTAATTCAGTATTAATAATACCATGTAATGAATGAGATAGCAGGCAAAAGATATTTTGGCAGTAAACTTAAATATAGAATTGTTCATAGCTTTCCTATTAAATCTAAACATATAAATGAGTAATTACATATCATAAATTCCTATCATATTTGGAAGACATAAGCATGCAACTCCAAAAACAAAAGTCAATCTGCAAAGTGCACTATAAAGATGTTGAAACCAATATGACCAATATGTAGGATCTGGTGATAAGTAGGCTGATTTCCACCCAAAAACTAACCAAGAAATGATTCCAAAGCCTAAAAGATAACAAGTAATTTAGAAGAGTAATCTAAACTTTGGATCTTTTGCTTTTTCGTGTAATAATCCTAAAAAACAGTTTTCCTCTTTTTATTTAAATTCTCTATAAAGCATACCCATTAATAATCCAAAGAAATAAGGAGGAGCTCTGGCTAAACTGTTTACATAATAAGTATAATAGAAATCTTAATTTCCTGTAACTTTTGCAGGAATTAGGAAATCATATTAAAAGCATAGAACAATACCGTAAATTACGGAGGAGATTATCATACCAGTGATCAAATATTTTGAAATTCTTTTATAACCAAGAGCATAACAAGTCATTGGAATCAAACAAATAATAAATAACTAGATATCTGAAGTGAGATACCAACCCCATCCAAAACAAAGATCCCAATCATGGAAAAAATTATCAATAAATAGAAGATTTCTAAAAGCTCCTGCAGCACAATCAGTATAATTCATTGCTGACCACCATCTAGGTCCTCCCCCTAAATAGGGCAATATGTATGAGTTAATCATAATACATATGATATAACAAGGCCAAATTCTTAATAATCTGTGTAATATAACAAGGAATAGTGATGCTGGATTCTTACCCAATGCTTTTGCTCTTTTTGTCTCACACATAACAAATGCCATAAAAAATCCACCGAGCCAAAAAAATATGTCGACTGAATAGAGCATGTCCACTGTAATTATCGCTCTTTAAGATTATAAAGCTACTAATAATTCAGTTTGAAACGTGGCTTATATTATTAATAATGATGAATGCCCATAAACAACCATCATAAATGCTATAGCTCTAACTCCATTAAAAATAGCCAAATTTGGATCAATAGTTTTAAGATTCATCAATTTCTTATAATTTTCAATTAAAGAAAAATCGCCTATTATTCCCTTAGGTTTTTTGATTTCAGAATTAGTTAAGGCATCAAGTAATCTTTTATATGGATCAATCAATCCCAAACAGAAAAGAATGAAAATGATAATGACAGCTGAATAAGCACCAACACTAAAATCTGGATAATGTGTTACTGGATTAGCAAACAGATAACTAGCAGAACCTAGATTAATCTTGATTATAAATTTAATTGATTACTGGTAACATTTATGAAACTATGCTGCTTCCTAATTTATCCTTTATAATCTCTTGAGCATCCGGTTAATTGAAATCATCTGCTTCACAGATATTTGTGTGGCAAAATCCATAAAAGAATGTCATTGGATTTTGTCTTATCATGACCGATGAATAATGATACTCTTCTCTCAAGCACATATCATAATATCCAAATTTGTTAGCCCAATCTCCAGACATTTATATTTGTTTAGGTGCCACCACATATTTAATAGGCAAAGGTAAACTAAGAAATTCATTCAGTTATTGGATGCAAAGTTCATGATCTGTTAATCCCAAATGGATCAGAGATGCAAATATTAATATTAACATTGTTATTATTTTTGAGATTGCATTTCTTTTATTTTATGATTTTTGTACAAATTCTATGTTGTGGAACCTATTATTTAATAATTTTCAAATCTTATTGGTATATAAATTTTTATAATCATCAACTCAAAATAATTGATCTAACCTCTTCGATTCCATTTCTAGTTCTGCATACAGGAAAAGCTCTATTACGATTCCTTTGATTATCTTCTATACAGGGTTTACCAAACATACGAAGACATTTGATAAAAATCACTTAATTCACTCTTTTTTTACTCTATTAACAATCCACCATCAATTTTCATAGATGTCTTCAAATCATTTTGAGTGTCTTTTGATTCTCTTCGAAAATATTGATATAATTTATTTACAAATTCAATTACAATTTAGTCATTTCAATAGAAATTTTGATTTCTCTGCTTTCATCATAGGTTTCACAGATATAAAATTACTCAGTCTTAAATAATCTTATTTCCTTCAACCATTTTGTTGACATCCCATTTTTTTAATAATAGTTATTTTATGCTATCAGAATATTGCTTTTAAATAGACTTATTGTTTCTTTGTTGTCTATCTTTCATTCTCAAAACTACCAATCAATTATTTTGTATTGTTCATTTTATTATTGTAAGTATTTGATATTTTGATCTGCTACCTATAACTTAAGGTTAAATAACTAAATAACATAATAATCAATACTGTTTTTTCAATCTGATATTTCATTCTCTCATCTACTTTTCTTTCAAAGCCCTAATTAAATTGTCCTGTGTTTCATTTACTAATTTGCTTAGGTTTCTATTTTTTTCTATGACCTAATTAAAGGAATTAGAATTATAATCTAATTCATCAATAAGTTATTAGATTTATTATGATAATTATATTTAGTACCTTTTTGATATATTTAAATCAATTTTTTCATCCAATAATTAATGATTGCAAGCCTTTGACTTCCTCATCTCTCTTTTTTTCATATACCAAGAATTCTCTACACTTTTAAATAAAATCATTTGATATGGTATTCACATATTCTTATTCGATTTCAAATAATAGTTATTTTAGATTCTTATATTTGAGTGTAAGTCATCTTAAGCAGTCTTTTTTTTGATTGCATCTTAATTATAAGTCATAATTATTCGAATTCTACCAGAAAGTTGAGTACATAATTTCTTATTGTGGATGAATTCTTCTTATTTAATCTGCTCTTTTGGTCTTTTTGTTCTTAAGCTATCAACAAGATATATTGGATTGTTTTATACAGATTTCAAATCTTAAATTTGCTTTTTTAATTGTCAATCATAGTAGCCAAGATTGTATTTTGGGTTCTTAAGATGTTTTCTCCAAATTCTGTTACTCTCTAGAAATCATAGGTTTCATGATTTTAAATTTTAATAAATTTTTATTGAAGTGCTTTTGATCATTTATTTTTTATATATGCAACTGAAGATAGTGCAAGTATTGATGGCATAGCATTGAGAGTAGTAGGTTATAAATTAATTAGGTTTCCAAGGTTTTCAAAACAATAATTTAGAAATCTATTAATCTCGATTATCTTCAATTAGCACAAGAGGACAGAAAAAAGTAAATTATGTAAAATATTGATAAAATGATAAATCCTTAAATTTTATTATTTTGAAATCATTAATACCACAAGAATATTTTTTTTATTCTTAGAAGGGGGTGTATAGATGTTCTGAGGAAATTAGTCGATTCCAAAATCTCTCTCTCTATTCACATTTATTAAATAAACATAATGGAATAGGATCTAAAAGGAGCTGTTATATAATCTCTATAGACAACCGACGATACTGCAAGGACTAAGCGGCCTTATAATAAAATTTCTTCAGAATTACGTGCCCAAATTTTACATGCTTTAACTGTTGAGAAGATCCCTCTCTCAGAAGTAGCAATTTGAATCAGACCTAGGTAGCATAGATATATTAAACGAAACCCTGCACATGCAAAGCCATTTTACTTACTTATGAATTGGAGGGGAGAAGTGAAAAGAAAACTTCTAGAAGAGAAAGAGTTGAAATCGAATCGAAAATTAGAATAGTTATCTTGGATCCTTTTGGGAATAAGCATTCAACTTATGAAAATGCCAAATTTTCAAAAGTATGTTCTTTAGATTCCATAGATAAAATAGCTCTATACAGAAGACAAAGAACTAAGTGCTAACGAAGAATTCAACATTTAGAAAAAGGTTGTTCAGGAGGTGAGTCAGCAATTAGGTGAATTATAGACAAGTTGCTACCATTTACAATCTCAATAGAGTTAAACTCAAAATGATGAACATGCTCCTGATAATATATTAAGGGGATTAAATATGGGTTTGCATTTGGTAACATCCAAAATTAGAGAAAGTTAAATTACATTTAACAAGAAAACCAACAAAGAAATTAAAGAGATTGAGAAGCAAAGCAATAAAGAGAACAATTATATAAATATAAATGAAATACCATTTTAAACTAATTACACATAAATTTAGTAGTTTTTGAAGAATGTAGAAATCAAATCGGAAAGCAATCCCTACATTTTAGATTAATTGAACCAATTGACTAATCAAACTATTTTGTAGATGAAACTAATCTAAAAAATTTAATAAAGAGACTCCCAAATAAGATAATTTCAATAGTAAGTCGGTATAATCATTAGAAGATGTTTCGAATGCCAATCTTGATTATATTTTTAAATTATTTCTATATTATCATATTTGTAATTGTAATGCTATTTAATTTTAATCCTTTATTTATAATAATTATTATAATCAACCCATTAGGAATACAAAAAATAAGAATTAAAAGAGGTTTTACCAAGTGATAATAATGCAACAAGAAATACAAAAACATTATTTATTCTCCCATTTTCAAGTATATACTACTGTTTTAATAAGAAAGTGAATCAATCAAGTAGCAAACTCTTATTCTATTCCATCGACTAACCTGTATGTTTCTGTTTTTGAATCACTAAAACTAATTAATGATATATAAAATAAACCTTAATGAAAAAGTTCAATTTCTTAAAATACTAGTTCAGCAGCTTATTTGAATATCAAAATCTAAGTTAAAGAAATAAATTAAATGAGTACAAATAGGGATTTCTAGTAAGCAAAGATTTCGAGTCTTATTACAATTATATGAAAGTAACAAACCTAATATTTTTTTTAAGATTCTTAGTAGATTAAAGATGTACGATGAAATATTATAAGCCAAAAAGAGTGTACCTATGTTTAAGCAAATTTAATTTTGGAGGGAACCAAAAAACAAAGCAATAAAAGATTGGATTCGATAAGCATAAGATGAATATTATCACCAAAATCCATAAGACTTACCATTGCCTTGGTTTGTAAAATATCCAATCATATTTTTCATTTCTTATGAAGTATTCTCAACGATATTTGATATCGACATTGAAATTAGTTTGAACATTATTCCAGAAGAGAAGGAAGTCAAAAAAACAACAGGCTTCAAAGATGTTATAGGAATAGATGACTACAAAGAAGAATTATAAGAAGTAGTTGATTTTCTTAGAAACCCTAGTAAATATCATGAATCAGGGGCAAAATTGCCAAAAGGTATATTGCTTGTAGGTAGACCAGGAACAGGAAAAACATTATTAGCAAGAGCCTTGGCAGAGGAAGCTGGTTGTACATTCTTGTACAAATCAGGAGCTGAATTTGATGAAATGTTTGTGGGAGTAGGTTCTTCTAGAGTGCGTTAATTATTTTAAGAAGCTCGATAAAAATAACCATGTATAATTTTTATTGATGAAATTGATTCTATCGGTGGATCAAGAGGAGGTGATGATCCAAAGAGATATGGAACTATAAATCAAATTTTAACTGAGATGGATGGATTTAGATAAAATGAGGCAATCATAGTGATTGGAGCTACAAATATGGAATAATCATTAGATGCAGCGCTTACAAGAGCAGGAAGGTTTGATAAGACAATTCATATCATGTTACCTGATATCAAGGGAAGAAAACAACTGTTTGAATATTACTTGAAGTAGATAAAACATGCAGATATTGACACTCAGTTATTGGCTAGACAGACTACTGGATTGACTGGAGCTGATATTGAAAACATTGTAAACATAGCCATTATGAATGCAGTAAAAGAGAAAAGATAAAAAGCTTAAGCTAACGACTTCTAACATGCAATAGATAGAACTAGGATGGGCATAAGATACAAACTGACAGATCAAGATAAGATTTTAACAGCATACCATGAGAGTGGACATGCCTTAATTAATCTCTTAACAGAACATACTGTGCCTTTAGATAAAGTAACTATCTTGCCTCGAGGAAGTGCTTTGGGGTATACATCCATGGTTCCAAAGGAGGATACATTATCATAAACCAGAGGTAATATTCTGGCTTCTATTGATGTTTGTATGGGTGGCAGGGCAGCAGAAGATATCAAATTTGGTAAAGATAATATTTCATCTGGTTGTGGTTCAGATTTGGCTAATGCTACTGCTATGGCTTATTCATATGTGAAAGACTTAGGTATGGGAGACACTCTGATTTCAGATGCTTAAACGAGCAAAAAGTTCAGTTACACAGTGGACATGCAAGTGAAATAATTATTAGAAGTACTATATATGATATTAATTATTTATAGGAATCCTATAATAGAGTCAGAAACAAATTAGAGTAAAATTAATAGGTACTGTAAAGATTTGCGGAAGAATTATTGAAACATGAAACAATGACTGCTGATTAATTGAAACGTTTATTATGATTATTTTATTAATACCATATTAATTTAGAGAAGAAATATAATCAATTATGTTGAAACTTTCAGTTGATGTATTATCCTAAGATTCTATCCAACTCTTTTTATAAATTATCCTTATTCTCCTTATTAAATGGTTTTATGTAGGTTTCTTTGAGGTTAACTTCATTAAACTCGGAAAATTAAAACTTGTTTCGATTCTCAACTATATTGGTTTCTTATCCTGTTAAGATGCAATCGTTTTACTCTGGCTCTATAACCAATTAATATAATGGTTTCTCCTTTTTCTTCTTAACTGCAATTTTATTCGTTTCTGTTGAACTTTAACCCTATTACCCTTAAAATTATGGGGAGACAGGTTCAATTTATTAGTCTTAATTTTCAGCATCTAGCAAAAAAGAATTTTTTTGTTGATAATTACATTTTTAGACCTGCCTTTAATTAAAAGTATAAGATGATGTTTTTTTCAACATTAAATTTTATTTAGGTTCCTCTAAAAAAGAATGCTTCAAGAGTTCATCAGCTGTAGCTCTTTATTTAGGGTCAATCTACAGACATTTAGATAGAAAATCTTTAGCCTCAGGAGATTACAATTATTGTGGGATAGGAGGTGGTTGTGTAGATTTACCTATTTTGACCATAACAGCAATTGCATCTTTATACTCAGAATAGGGAGGTTATCCAGTAGCCATTTCTATAATAGTACAACCTAGACTCCAAATATCTGCCTTTTTTCCATACTGTTCCTGATTAATTACTTCTGGAGCCATGAAATTGGGAGTTCCACAAATAGATCCTATGCTATCATGAGTTATATCACTCAATTGCTTACTGCTCCCAAAATCTAGAATAAAGATTTAACATACCTGCTAATTTACATCTACCAGAATTGTCAATTAGAATGTTTCCTCCTTTGATATCTCTATGAATGACGTTCTTTGCATGCAAATAACTTAATCCTAACAGTATTTATTTCAAATATGTTTTGATAAGTCTCTCTCTAAAACATCCAAATCTCTCCAGCAAAGTTTAGACCGAGCCTCCACTTACATATTCTAGAAAGATATTTATGAATTGGTTTCTCTATTCACATCCTATATAACGCACTATATTCGGATGTTGTAATCTACTCAGCATTTCAATTTCTTTTTATAATTGTTTCACTTTCTACAATATTTACAAATAATACATCATCATTTTGATTTTAAATGAAAACTTATTTCACAGCCATGATTTGTCCATTTTTCTAGAGTCCCATAACAACTTTTCCAAAAGCACCTTATCCTAGTACTTCTCCTTATTCCCAAAGATGAATACTAAGGATAATAATTTATAAATAATACTCTTAATCTGATTTGAGTGAGTGTCTTTCAAGCTCTTCTTCTTTGTTATCAATTATTATAACTTCCACATCTTGAATGAATGATTATTCAAGTTCCTATTGTTTATTATTTTGATTATTAGTATTCATGTATTCATAAGCTTTTGTTGGTTTGAGTTGGTTCTTTTTTTTTGTAAAGCAGCAACCCATTTTTAATATAATTATAATTTAATGTTAAAGCACATATATAATACCTGAAGGTTGATAAATATTAATTAAAGAATTCAATAAATTTATACAAAAGGTAATTTATATATAAAATAGGAATGATATAATCGATTAAAAGTGAAGTCATCAATTTAGTAAATGAAGTCATTAGGAAATATCATTTAAATCCTGTTAAATAACGAAATATTAATTACAATTCAATATTGTATATTTGTATTATTAGCGTCATTTGTAACATGTTACAATTAAAAATACCAGAAATTGAAATCAACTAAAGTGCGGCACTAAAATAATGATGGAATTAAGCAGTCAGAATCATCATTGAATCATACGGATATGAAAATTCTTTTGGCCCAGTTTTCGAATATCATAAGAAAAATACATTCTCTATCTTGAAGCCAGAAGACTATACTACAATAGACTAAAAGGAATAAGAACAAATTACCCTGAATATACATAGGAGTTAGAAGGAGTTGTAGAAGAATAAAATAGAAATGAAATAACCTTTGAACATTTGTCTGCTTCGGCATATTACCATGAAATTGGTCATATATCAGGTTAATTCACTGAAAGTACTGGGGTTCTATTATCAGTTGGTGATTAGATAATACATGGAAGAAATATAGATTTAGTCCCAATTTGAACTAAAAATATTGCCTTACATTTGATCATCAAGAAAGATGGATAGTATTTAGGTGAGTCAATTGATTGGCTTTGTTCAATGTTGGATTCATTATTATGGCATCCATTTTTAGAATTGTTTTAAATAGCAACTGCAGAATACTTAACTACAATATAATGTTGTATCAATTGAAGAAAACTGGAGATATAGAGATCCATTCAATATGTATCTAACAATTAGTTTGAACGCTTCAATATTAAGTTAGACCAATTATTAATAGATGTGCAGAGACTGCATTTTTAGAATTCATCTAATATTTTTGATAAATAATTTTGATCTACCTTTACTTGGTTTAACCCAATTATGATTATTTGTTTTCTAGCCCTTAGGATGATCCCAGAAGAACTATTGCTGATCAATCATTGGCTGAATTGTAAACTAACCTATTGAATCATTTCGAAGTGCTAGGTGTAATGGACCCTTATCCAATTCATAATGAAGGTACTTTCTTTTCTATTATAATGAACGCTAAATGTAACAGGTTAATAGCATTCTAATAATATTTTATGACCTTAGCCCAAAATTGATTATAAAAATATTATATTATAATTATAAAAATATTCTCAAAAATGAAATGGTAATATTATTATCATAAAAAATCTTACTATTTTATTATTATTATAATTAAACTCTTATGACGGATAATCAATAGACAACTGAGATAAGATTTACAACATAATCTCCAAATAGAAATTACAATCCAATGAATTCATCAATATAATTCATTCCAGATATTACCCAAGAAAATCTAACAGATTAGGTTCCTTTACCTTAAAAAGAAACCATAACAAAGGGCATTCTAAAAACATTTTACTATGAAGTACATAATTGCTTAAATATTTAGGATATTAAAAGGAAAAAGATAATTGGATGTAACATTTATGTGAATGAAATGAATGACAAATAATTGTAACTATCTAAGCGTGGAAGTATTCAAATCATTATTTCTTAGAGTAATGCAGGATTTGTATGGCTGACGAAGAAACTTCCAGATTCATAACTCCTTGCGCTTGCAAAGGAACCTTAATGAATGTTCATGAAGAATGTCTAAAATTGTGGATATTATAAAAGAATGGAATTGAAGACGTATTCAAAGATAAGGTAATTTCTTTATAAAATATCAATAGATTAAATGTGAATTATGTTCCTATAGATTTAGAATGAGAATGTAGATCGTTAACAGAGTTAGTTTAAAGAGATTCTCTGAAGTACCATCTCATTAGAAGATTTGTTGGTTAGTTTATCTGTTTGTTATTATTTCCCTGATAAGCGGATTTGTTGGTATTATTCCTACTCATCATAGCCTTATATATGGAATACAATTTAACCAATATAGGAGTGGATGCCGTGATGACCCTAATCATAGTTTTGTCCTTAATATTGTTTGTCTATTTTTTGGCTAGCATTTTAACTTCACTCTAGATTGAAATGATTGAAAATTGGACACTTTCTCCATATAAACCTAGAAGAGATACCAAGTAAGGCAGCTTTTTTTAGTTATAATCTCATATGGGACATAGCATCTCTGGAAGTCCTTTAGCAAGGAGGAGAACTGTTCAATTATAAACCTGTCCCCCGCAAATTACAAGTCTTTAAGTAATTTAAATCAACTAATTAATGACAAGTGCTAATCTTTCAGAACAATGAACAATTTTTTAAATTATTTACTTTTTTTATTATAATTTTTTCTCAATATGGCTAATAATGAGAGCAATGATACATCAACATAAAACAGTAAATTTCTTCAATTGAATTCCTCAATTCAAATCCTAAACGAAAGTATAAGCATACAAATGCCGTAATTCCGTCAAAAAGTGCTTAAAACTGTTCATTCAAAAGTAACCTTTTTAATTTATTAAGGATGCTGTGAGAAGGAAATAGATTGCTTGCCATATATATATCAATGATTTAGAATCTGTGCCTGGATATAAAGCATAAAAAAGTATTTGAGCATCATTAAACAGAACAAATATGTAGAATCTGTATTTGCGAGGAGGAAACCTCTAAATTTATTGCTCCTTGTAAATGTAAAGGAACTGCTGAGTTTGTTCATTAAGAGTGTTTAAAAATGTGGATTCTTGAGTAATATGGAGTTAATAAAATTTATAATGATGAGGTAATTAATATAAATAAATTCTTGTTTAGCTCTATTGTGAGGTTTGCCATCATAAATTCGAATTTGATGCCGATTTTAATGACAGATTTGATATCAAATAATTTTAAAGAATAAAAAAGAGAACAAAACTTTGTTGGCTAATACAAATGTTTTTTATCATTCTATTTATTTTTGGATCTATTGAAATTGCTTTGGGGTTTGGTATAAATTCTTTGGCAACTGTTGCGATTATTGTTGTATTTGGTCTGATAACTGTATCTTTAACTATTTACTTAATTTTCAATTTTAGTTCAGCTCATACTATTTAAATGATTGAAAATTGGAATTTCCAGAATTACAAACCCAAATCTTCAGCTTCATTGCCCAAAAAGAACACTAAGAAGATAACCAATCAATTCATTCGAGTCAATCAAATATATTTTACTTGAATATAATAATTAATAAACTTAATTCATAATCGTTCAAATGCTAGGATTAGCTCAAAAAAAGTCTCAGTTATTGTTCAAAGAGTAGAAACCTGTCATAAAAAAGATTACCTAACACTTAAAATTAAAGACTTTAACTTTAAGTAATTGGAAATCAAAAGAATTGACCTCGCGATTACTCAGTCCAATCAAATATTAGCCACCTTCAGTTATGGAACCTAAAGGCTAATTTCTTTTAACCCTAACATACAATAATAAGAATATTTGATGGAAAGTCAAATACAATTAAAAACAATATTTCAATTTTTGATAGTCATTTTATATTAGTAACCGTTTAACAATATTCCTTTTTGGATACAATATCATCTATTTGTAATAAGATATCTTATTAATTTGAGATTCAATAATGATTATTTTGAAAGAGCAAAATAGATTACTTTTAAAAATAAATAATAAGAATTGAAGTTGTTACTTTATGCAATTTAAATTTGAAATAAGAAATTCGATGTTTTATATTTCAAATTAAGGATTTTACGATATTTATTGGTTATTTTGACAATTCAATTTGCACCTATTTAGATCTTTTTAAAACGGTATTATTATCAGTATTTGCAGGACACATTAGAAAACCTCATAAACAACTACATAATAAAAAGACTAGAATGTTTAACAGTGCTTTTTTGAATTTGAAAATTTAGGTGAAAAGGATTATCATCTAAGTACTAAGGAAGCCTGTAAATTATTTAAATATCATTAGAACATTGGGCTCAAATTACTGCTGATTTGGATAATACACTTATAAAACACTAATCATTAATAGAAGCTAATTCTGAATACATTCCAGGGGTTGTTGGGGATATAGTTGATCTTTCAAAGAATGTAGGTGTATACTCTTACAACGTTGCAGATATTAATGGGAATGTTCTTGAATTAAAAACTGGGGATCATTTAGCTCAAAAATTTAATGCTGCCTACTTTGAAATGACTTCAAAAATTTAAGATTCCACATCTATAAATCATCAAGATAATAACCAATCCTGAGATTTTAATAGATGTATTATTCAGATCAAAACTTCCAATTATTTATAATTTTGATTTACATATATTTCCTTATTACCTATTTTACTTTTACTAACGATATTACAAATAGTTGCCATTAAATTAAATTATCAAAATTTAATAGTATGTGAATAACAATAGAAAATAGTCATCAAGAGAAACAAATTGACTAATTATTACTTATTCTTAAATAAATAAGTTATCCTAGATTTAATAAAGAAAATGATGTAAATTATTATTATTATAAATAATAATATTAATAATTATTATATTGAATGATAATTTTTCAATTTTTCTTTTTTCTCCATGTATTAACCTTGTCTGTAAGCCAATCTTAAGTTAAAAGAGTAATCATAGTGTGAGGTGCAATTCTGAAATAAAATGTTGGGAATCCTACCCAAAGTCCTATAATACCTTCTCTTTTAACTGTCTATAAATATTCATTTTTCTTACTTTTCCCATTGCATCAAAAATTGAAGAATAAGGATATACACCTGCTGCATCCTTTTTCATTTTCTACATTTTTGTTTTTGCATTATCAAAAGGTAATGCACAAAATGAACTCAAAAAGCCAGCTGCTGCAGATGCTCTATTAGAAATATATCAAACAAATACAATAATCGAGTTTATTGAGTATCTTTGGTTCCAAAATAGTGATTTAGTTGTTCTTTTATCTCGTCATACGGTCCCAACATTGCTACATTAATAACAATTGCTCTAATAACTGTTGGAGTAGATCCTCTCCATAATGCTACTACTCCTTCATCTTTCACAATTTTATAAAATGCATCAAAAACATTTTTATAGCCTCTTCTTTCTTCAACAGGTAATGTGCTATCTGCCTAAATTCTGACCAAAGCTAAATCAGCTGGATTACCTGCTAATGAGCCAAGGAAACCTGCTACAATTGAACACCAAGATTTAGCTAAAAATGAGGGCTCTTTTCCATTATTTGCTTACTTTGATCTCAAATACATTGTCTTATAAATTCCCATACGAGTGGTAGTGTAAAATACTTATCTAGCCAATGCTGAATCAATTCCTTTCCAAAAACTCAACACGCCTCCTTCTTTTAAGATTTCAGAGAAGACACGAAATGGACTGATTTCACTGCCTGCATTAGGACCCAATTTTTCTGATTTGAGTTGGATTCTAACTTTTACTAAGTCGACTGGTTAAACAAAACACGTTGCCACACATCCAGATAAACCACCGATCCCAAATGGTTACAAAGTATCAGCAAGTTTGGTCAGCCAATGCTTCTCTAGAAGTTTTTCACCCATTTTTGATGCGTATTAATGTATTTAATATGAAAATTAACAAATGATATATATTTTGCAATAAATCCAAACATTTATTATATAAATAATTTATGTTCATACAACTATTATTATGTACCACCTAAAATAATATACAGATAATTAAAAGAAAATTGATATATCAAATTTGAGATCTTTCATCGATTCTAAAATTTGTATGACAATTTTAATAAATATGATTACATTAGTGAAATGAGCCCATTATTATTATTAATCATTTCTTTATAACATTACTTATAATTCAATTATTTAAGAATCAAATCAATTTTCATTCAATATCTTTATTACATAAAAATTCTATTATTAAAGGATTCAGTAATTCAAAAGCCTTGTAATTTGTAGAGAGTTAAGTAATCAAAAAAGTCTTTATCTTTTTAAGACAAATAGTGACACACAATCAAAGTCCAGTATTTAAGGTAAAATACTGAGAAAGAATTGCAATAAAATATTGATTTAAAATGGAATAGGAATAAGTATTAGAGTTGAAATATTCCAAATGAATCTAAAAATATTCTTGAAGGATAAATGAATATAATGCATCAAATAATAGTTGTCAAAATAAATTTTGACCTTAAGTCGATTTATTCTATCTTATAGACAAGAAGATAAAATATTGTACCTTTTTCAGCTTTTTGGATTAAAATTTAAATCCTATTTCATTTTTAAATGATCTAATATTGAATTATTTCTTCAATAAAGATCTTAAGTGTATCTGACCTATATTAATTTAGGTCATAATCAATTATTTATATTGACGAAAGAGAATACAAAACTAGACCTTAGTTCATAATCTTCAATTTTTTTTTTCAAACAGCGGAAAAAGTATTTTTGATTAACAAGTAACTTTAATAAAACAAACCTTTTGTACCTAGATATTTTAACAAAAGAAAAACAATATAATTATTATAATATGCTTAAATTGATATAACGAATCGACTAACAAAATTGGATTACGGCTCAAAATAAGTCCTATATCTATGATAATTCCTTATATTTGGCCCTTAAATTATTAGAGATTTAACTATTATGAAAATAATTAGAAACTGAAAATTACCTAATTGTATTAAAACAATATTTTACAAAAAAAAATGCCAATAACTCAAATCAAAGTACAAAAGAGACAAATGGTATTATTTAACAATTGTAATTATTAATTCCTTCTTTTAGTATCTCTTTATATTAGAAATGATTTCACTAAAGAAATAAAAACCTTTTAGAAAGTATTCTAAATGATTAGTTTTTTAATAATTTCTAAACAATAAAAATATCAATTTATTATTAATTTATGAATTTTAATTTCTATTAGGCACCAGAGATTTAAAAAGTCCTTTCTATCCCAATAACTCTTATTGATGGCACTTCTTCTATGAATAGGGAATATAAATATATCATTTAAGCATATGAATAAACATTTGGATACTTGTTAGAAACTTAAAGAATATAATATTAATGGTCGACAAATTTGACTAGCATACATCCATATTTAAATGAAGAACGAGGAAATCTAACTATGGCCCTAGCTTAACTATTTCAATTAATGCTATAAAATGAATTTCCAACTTAATATGTAACGATTACATTGGTCACAGATGGAAGAGAGCCATTTGATATTAATGCTATTATGGAATTATGCCAATAGATTAAATTACATTTCACAGTCTAAATACTTTGTATAGCATTTGGAAATTAATTTCCAATAACCTTAATAAATAGTTTAAAGGATGCGATTTAAAATTAAGATTTCAAAACCCAATCATTTTTTTAAATTGCCCGTTCCGATTATCAAAGCTATGTATAAATTAAGAAGGAATTGCAATATGCATTTCAATAAATTAGTCAAAATTTAATAATGACTCCTCAAAAGCATTTTCTCAACTTTGAAGTGTTTACCTCAATTACATTAAGATAACCTCAAAATTATATTGCATCAAACGAACTGTTTTTAGCATGGAGTGATTAAAAGATAATTATAGGGGACCAATAAATAGAAAGCATCAATTCAACAATTTCTATATTGTAATTTTTACGGAAATCTATATAAAATATTTATGCCAATATAGACCTTCAGATTGATCAGATTATTTAAGAATTTTAACAAGCAATATAATTTGTTAGAAAAATTAACATTGAATCAAAAGCAGAACATACTTAAGAACAAGAAATTGTCAATTTAATTTTAAAAATTATGGAATAAATAGAATTTGCTTATAATAATTAAGACATCATTTCGTCATAATATTAGATAGAATAGTTCAAGTATTTAATTAGTTGTGATAACCCGAATAATTTTAAGGATTTTCTTGATAATTCAAAAATTACTGAATCATAAGGTCAATTTCAAAACTTTGCTCTGAATATAAAGACCCAATTATAAATATTATTGACTTTTAACAATTCAAAATAAAATTAGGAATATGAAATCGAATTTTTTTTTAAATATACTAAAATACTTAAATATTGCATAAAGAACATTTCTTAGGTTTTGGAAGCCTTACCTCCTAATACTTTATAAAAAACACTCTAAGAATTAATAGGATCTTTAATTAAGCTGTCAAAAGAAGTGTTTTCCTCAGAATATTTTAATATTTCTACAATTGAGCAATATTAACAATTATTTCAAATTAATGAATATTTTCGATACTTAAAAAGGCTATAAACTGAAAATAGCCTAAATGAAATAAAATTATTAATCAATTAAATATCAACTCTAGACTTAGATATTTAGAACCCATTAGATCCTTATTTTTAATTAAGTTACCTACCTTTACTTAATTTTAACAATTAGGAATCCATTCTTGAAAAATATCTCATTTTTGTAATTGATAAAAGGGAGGAATTGAAAATATATACCGATCCATTTCTAAAAAGTTATGGTGAGATATTTTCTAAGATATCGCAAAAAAAGCGAATGGAGGTTTATTGGTACAATAATCCTACAACAAACTTCAAAATACATAACAATAAGGATTTTGAAAAAATCGAATTTCAGTCATTTAAACTTTTATTAGATTCCTTGAAAGACAAATTACATTTAAAAAAAAAGCAAATTCAATTATTAATTTTAACTGATAACGAATAATCTTATGAAAATTTACACTTTTAGATAAGATATGCTGAATTCTCTAATTATAATTTTAAAATTATACATATTTCAATTGGAATGAAATTGCTGTCCTATTTAGAAAATAAATTTAGTTAATAGAATAATTCGTAAGCTTAACAAAACAAAGGATTAATTAAAATCATCCCTAAACCACAGTTTAGCTAATAGACTAATTAAGAATAGAATTCTTAGAGAAGTAATAACAACCAAAAAATTTTATAAGAAATTGCTAATTATATAGACATTTTAAATTTTTGATAAATTTGATTTTAAAATATATTAAGTATTATAAAGAAACATAATCTATGATTATTATCGAGAATAAAGACACAATATTTCGAAATTTCAATAATGCTAAAGATTTTTAATTATATATTTTTAGTATTACAAATGATGTAACTATTTAATTTTTTTATCAGAGAAATTAAATTTATTTATAAGATATGATAATTGTAATTTATAATAATCTATCGAAAAATATATTCTCAAGATACTAACGAATAATTCTAAGAAATTTCATAAATAAAAAAACTGAATAAATAATAAACCATTAAAATAATAACAATTATATATATATAATTACTCAAAAAAAAAAATTCGCAATTTCTCTCAATTGTATTTATAATTATATTTTTTAGTTTTCAAATTCAAAAACTTTTTAACTTTACACCCAAATTTCTGTTGAATTGTTACGATTATTTCAATAAAATAAGTATTATTTCATTCTACAAAAAATAAGTACAACTATTTACTACCTTAAGTCAGTTTTTTAGGATTATTTCAAAATTAAACTATTAGCTCTATTAATAATAAGGAGTATCCAGAATAAGAATAACGATAATGATACTTCTGAAAATAATAATTCATTTTCTAATTAAACAATGAATTGATTCATTATTAGAATTACTATTTAATCCTAATTGAATAAAGATTAATTACTTTGTCTCCCTTCGCTAGGAGACTCCATAAATATACTCTTTTCTAACCACATAGACCTAAACCAATCATCTTTAATAAAAAATATAAGCGTCAGTAAACATTTCTTATCTGATCTTTCTAGTCTTAAAAACAAAAGGCTAAGGATAATAGAGAAACATTATTCAAAGAAGTATAATTTTCATAGCGAATAGTATATTGTTAAATTAAGGATTATTTTGATTCATCTGATTAATTTTAATTAAAATGTAAATAAACTATAATTAAAAAAATAATTTTTTGTAATTGACAGAAAAGATACAAAATTATTTATAATTGCACAATTTGATATTTTTTAACTATTTAGATATTGTTTTATGTTAGAATTACACCTTTAGAAGTCACAATTTGATATATCTTGATTAAAATACTTAAATTTAAAATATTCATTTTTTGATGTTCATCAAATTTTTTATTTTTATAAAGCTATCTTTAACGCTTTAAAAATATCTTTTCATACGGTTTTTTAGTTAATCAGCCTCTTCTAGATCTAAATTTTGTTATATATCAAATTTTTCTACTTTAAACAATTAGTTAGGATTTCTTTACATTTCATAATCCACTTATCGTTTAATAGAGGCCATTTATTTTGCAAACATCATTTCAAAATCATTCTTTTTACTTTTCTACACAGGAGGAATTGATATTAAGATTTTTGGAGAAATTTCCTCTATTTATTGCCTTGCTTTTTTTGATTTGATTTGAATATTTGGCAAGTGTTTAGAATAAGGAATTGGATCATAAATTCCAAGAGATGGTATTTAAAAAGCCAAAGACTTGGTTTTTCTGCTTAACAGTGAGACCTTTTAAAGAGAAGATTTTTTTTTCAATTTTTTCAATTATAAGCCTATTTCAATTAAATTCTAATTTAAGGTATACTTAGAAGTTGAAATAGCCTAAGTTGATATTTATAATTGAGGTTTATGTATTAAAGGTAATTACATAATAGGTTCTATCAAAGGAATTTATTTTGATTAATCTATTTCAGTGTTAAGTTTATTAGAATTTAGTAAATCGATGTTGGAATATGAGTGGTCAGTATAATATTATTACGTATTCTTTTTGATTTTCACAAAATTTGAATCTGTATTCTTAATCAATTTCCCTGTTTTATCTCTTTCTTTTTGAAATGGAATGAAAGGATCAAAACTCATATCATTTTGTGAAGGCTCATCTCCAAAAGGATAAAATGAAGAACCATTTTATAAGTAATTTAAAATGACATTTTTTTACATTAATAATAATAATAAATTTATTTCTTAATGATGTTTATAATTATTAAAGAAAATTTTTTAAAAAAGTATAGGAGAGTAGGGTTTATTAAGGATTAATTTAATTTAGAAATTACTCTTGTTTAAAGTAATTGTTATTAATTAAGTACTCCTTATTTGTGTGTGTTTGTTAAAATCTGATGTGTGGTTAATATTAGGCAGGGAGAATAGGGATGATTATTTAATTATTTTTAATATGATTTTACTTTTTGCAATTATTACAGAAATCATAGCAGGTCTTCAATTTTATTATATTTTAGATTTCATTTACCCTGATCGTGCTAATCCAATAGTACCTTACAGAAATAATGAAGATGCTTATACTTTTTACGATATTTTCTTATCTGTGAGCACAAGAATTTCTTCAAATGGAAGATTATAAATTACATTCCCTTAGGAATTTGATGGAACATAGTTGCGTCTTTTATAAGATGATGTTATGGCAGTAAGGAACTTCTAATAATATATCACTAGGCTACGAATATTGATAAGGAATGCTACATCGAATACACATTTTCAACTACAACGACATGCATACCTTATGTGGAGCCAGCGGTGACTATACCAGCAACAAACTACTATACAATTAGCAACAGAACAATTACAATATTTTTCGGTTCAGAACCTCTTAATGCTGGTAGCTAGAAAGTCAGAATAAAATATAACAAAAATCCAGTAGGATTAGGAGGGAAATCGAGCGGCTATCTTCAAATAATAACTTTAAGGGATACTGTTCCAGTGGACTAAAATTTAAATTTTGGTACAGTTGGCTTTGCACCAGTTTACAAGAAACATACAATAGGTATGCATATATTAAAATCAATTAGCTTCTGAAGGTCAAATAATAAATGATGGTTCAAAATTAGGAGGTTATGTTACGAATTACGTGATTTAGTTTACTACAACAATAGATTTAATTAAAGGAAGTTGGTTTAGGGCTGAAATAGCTGAAGGATTCGATATATCTAATGTTGAATGCGTTTTAGTAGATACTTTATAAAATCTAAATTGTCAAGTAGAAGGAAGAAGAATTTATTTTAGTGCCATAGATGCAGCCTTGCCTAAAGGATAACATAAAGTGAAACTGAAGAATGTTATAAATCCTTCTGCATCAGGAGATTCAGATCCATTCATCTTCGAAACATTAGAACCTTTAGTCAATACAGTAATTGAATACTTCAACGTTGGTGTTACAAATATCACTCCTGGCTAGATTATTAATCCATCTATTGCTGGCGCTCCTTTAAATTAAAATTTAAGAATTGATTACACAATTAAATTCACTCCACAAAACAAAATTCCTTACACTGGAAGAATCGATTACATCATTCCTGATGGTTTTACTTTGGATCCAACTTGTAGAATTATATCTGGATTATCTCAAAATGGAACAACCCCAATATCATGTGTAACTAGCGGCCAGAAAATAACAATAACAGATTTTGCATCGTTCTCACCTTAAGAAATTACTCTTAAAATTTACGCTGTCAATCCTTCAATTTCAAAATTGTACTAATACTGTCAAATTTACACATATTCTACTTTCGGGAAAGTTCCAGTTGTAAGTGGGACAAGTAGTAATTACAAAGGAATCGATCAAAATGTTGAAGCTGGATCTATTCAGATATCCTAGATTTAGAGTCCTTACTTTGTTGCAATAGATTTATATAAATAAATGCAAAATATTTCTTTGGATAAGACCGGACCATTGGATTTCCGATTATACCCTATGCCTAGCAAATAATTAAAATTAACTACTTCACCAACAAGTTATGGCAGTATCTACTTTTAGATCCCATTATGGTGGAGAATGAGCGGATAATACTTCAATGGTTGGAATGTTGTTGGCAGCACACCTACTTGTAATTTTGGAGCAGAAATAGCAGCAACTTGCAATTATTACTTATAAAGGTTCAGTTTTAAAACTGCAACATCTACAAACTATTTGAAATATGATCCAAACTCAGGACTTGGTAATTGCGATTTACCAATTTCAGTAGCTGTTTCTTAGATCACTCCAATCCCAGGAAGGTTTGATTTCAGAGTGTTAACATTTAATGATGGTGTATATAACACATTTGATTAAACACCATTAGAATAAGATTTATATACAATGGAAATAGCAGCGGATTAATTTATTGCACCAACCACTTACATAAAATGTACATCCGTTGATCAAGTGGATGCTGATATGGTATGCTATTCAAATGTGCTTGTAATGTTACCAATTCCATATGAAGGGGCAATTAATTTCAATATGAGCACAGTAAATTCAACTTATGAGTCATCTGCTGCATGGCCAAATGATCTTGGATTCGGATTAGGAAATGATGGGAAAAAGAGAATACCATGTTATGTAAGTATCAGAGCAAGTCATCCTAATATTCAATGCTGGGTTTTCTCAGGAGGAACTACTAGAAAATACGCAATTTTATAAGTAAGAGGATTCAGTTCAAAAGTAAACACAGGAACAAATGTGTTTGTTGTAATACCAAATGTTAAATCCTGTACAGCTTATGATATGTAATGTTTTGTTACAGTATCATCTGCTTGGACAACAGAATTAGATGAGCCTTATATGATGAATTACCTAAAATAATCAGTAGGATTTATTAAACAGGGAGATGTTTATAAGGATGTAACTGTTAGTCCTCCAACATTGGCAAAAGATGTATAAGATCTAACACTTTCAGCAACATTTTTATCAACAAGAAAATAAATTTGCGAATTAACAACATGGACATTGTAATTTTAGCATACAGAAGTGATAACAGCATGCAATACAGGTACTACTAACTATCCTTATTGCGCAAATTAAACCCCAGATCACATATTAATTAAGTTTACAGATAAAACTAGATTTCCCAATTAGTTTGGAGTCACAGCCACTAGTCCTCAAGGTACTGTTTATTTAATTGATCACTTTCTCACAGGAGAGTATTATTATTTCATCATAGTTAATTCTGGAAACGTAGCAGCAAATGGTCCAGTGTAATTGTCAAACATATATAATCCCATAATTTATACTCCTGGAATTGATATAAAATTGATATACTGGAATCAAAACAGAAAAATGAAGAGAATCACTTTCCCAACATCAAACATATTTATTGATGGTGGCATATTGGGTCCACCTCAATTTGACATTTTACCAAAAACAGCTGTGGGAATGAATGCCGATAGATCTTAGGTTGTAGATATGGATTTTGATTCTTGGATCATTTTCAGAGCAACATTTACCACATGCCACAAAATTCCAGCAAATGGTCTTGTTGAATTAGAAGTATAGAATGGATTGGTAGATTATACAACGACATGCGAAGTCTGGTCAGGAGTTACAAGTCCACCTAAAAGATTAGGACACACTCATGAATGTAATTTAGTGGATGTAAGTGGAACAAAATATTATCAATTAACAAAATTTAATGAGATTCCAGTCCTAACTAAATTTACTTTATCATTCAGAGGTAAAACTGGATTGGCTTCTACTACTGCTAATCCTATTCGAATATAAACCTATTTTGATGCCACTGTTCCAACATCAACTGCTTCAAATGTAGACAATTTTTATAATACTGCCTATCCACCTAACCCTGTATTAAATGGAATCGATATCACTGGTCCTAAGCGTTTTCCACCAAAATTAGAATGGATGGACTTCATAATTATTAATGATAAGGCAAGAGAAGGAACAAGGGGGGAGTTCTATATGCATGTAAAAACAAATCATAATATTCCTGATTACACAACTAATACAGCTCCTCGATTAGTATTTACCTTCAATACTACTGCTGTTTCAATGCCATAAGGAGCTTATCCTCATTGCAGATTGGATGGTCATTTAGCTAGATTTTGCGATTGGGCAGGTGGTGTTATAACAATGGCTATGCCTTTAACATAGGGAATGATAGCCAATCAAGAACACTTAGTTATGATTAGTACAAGAGGAGCAGATTATTCATCAACTTATTAAGAAGGATTACATCACAACAAAGCTGGAACATACAAATTAAAAATTGAAACTGTTAATACAGGAACAAATTAATTTATTAGAAAGGTAATGACAATAGATCCTCCTAAATTCAGAGTATTTTGGGTTTGGTCTGCAAACAAAGTTGGTTATGATCCTGTTACTCCCTCTGCAACACTTTAGGGAATGTCAGTGTTTAGACTATATTTTACAAATACTATAACAATTCCACCTTCAGATAATCCTGATCCAATTTCAATTATAGTTCTCTTCCATAGAACCATTTGGCCAACTTTCACAAATGGATTTGAATAAGATTTAGGAACTGGACTGCCTCACAGAACATAATTACCTTGCATTTAAGATGGTTTCACTTTATTACCTGGCGCTACTTAACTAAAATGTCGACTGTTTTATGGTAGTTATCCAAATCCTACCAAAGTAATTATCACTGATTTTGATCAAATCAATGTAAATACAAATGGAGAGATACATTTGCCAAACATTTTCAATCCTAATTCAACTTATGAATTAACTAAGATTACACTTCAAGTCTAAAAAACTGATGCTATTACGGGTACAAGTGAACTCATATTATCATCTGATTATGATTTAATTAATGGAACCTTTGGAAGGACTAAAGAATAGCCTGGTTTCAATAAATTGGCAGTTGACATACCAGCATTGGTCTAAGATGATTTATAAAATGTGTGGGCAGCAGCAGTTAATCCTACATTCTCTGTTGCTACAATTGATACAGTCGCAACACTATCATTGTAATATGGAAGCAAAGATTACAACATGGGTGGAGGAGCAGATATGATTTTGTTTGAAATACCTCCAAATTGGGATTTACCTTATGGCCTAATTACATGTTCCTTCCCGGCTGGTAATATCTGTTATTCTTATCCATTGGGTCCATACATAGGGTTGTACCCAGATAGTGGAATCACAGCAGACTCTTTATAATCTGGTTCCGTGACAATTAAAACACCACCCTTCAAGGTACTTGTAGCAACATCTGATCCACCAATCAAGATTTATGTCTTCACTCGATCTAAATTAGTATATGTTTACAAGATTGATTTTACATAAGTTTTAAATGCAGTTGCAGTCACTCCAGCTGTTACTTGCACTTTGTGTTTCTATGAAGCAATAACAGATTACACTATTACAGTCACAAACCCAAAAAACATACCTACAACTGGAGCAATAACAATCAAAATACCGACAGGACTTACGATAAGAGAAAATGGATGTAGAAATGATGTTGCAAGTGGATCAGTATTATCTAAAGTGGGATTCGAATGTGCATACGATGGAGCCAATAGTCAACTTCTAATTACTGGGTTCAACAAATTCATTGGTCCTGGAAAAATAATAATAAAAGTCAGAATGGAAAATCCTGATAACACAGTGACGATTACTGAACACTGGGACTTTAAGACTTGGTATTTGAATGAAAGTCCACTAAATAAATTGATTACATATGGAGATACTGCAACACCTGCTTTGACTGCATAAACTAATATTGAATATTGGGATACACCTTATAGAAGCAGAGTAAGAGGAAGAACTACTTTGTATGGAAGCATAGAATTCAGAATCAATTTATAGAATGATCTCGCAGCAGGTGATATACTGTTTATCAAATTTCCAATTCTTTTCAATAAGGTTAGATGTTCTTAATATCTTTGTTTATGGGATGATTCACCATGGTTTGATAATCATAATGATAACTTCTTGCCTGCTGAGAAATGTTTGTATGACAAAAGTACGAGAATCTTATCAATGTACACACCTTTGAGTACAAAAATCAAAAAGGATACTTTATATAGAGTCATAATTGATACTTAGAATTCAGCTGATGGAAGTAGAGGGTTCTAATTGCCAGCTATGAATACTTATACTTTTGATATTTATACAACTCTTGAATTAAAACATAGTGATATCTTTGTTCCATAAAAGTAGGCATTTAAGTATTTTGAATGTGTCTCCTTGATCACTAATGTGAAATCGAAGAATATGATGGTTGTGTAGATTCAATCCTGTAACTTCTGTACCTATTTCAACAGGGACTTTTGGAGGAGGTTACTTAAAATTATCATTTCCAACTCTCTCTGAGGAATCAGAATTTCTGTATTAGGATGATTTAGGGACTGGTAAAAAGGATGGCGATTCAATTTAATGCTATGCCAGAAATGGGTTTCCTCCCTCCACAGTTTTGGATTGCAAATTATATCTAGGCAATAGGGTCTATGGATAACCAGCATACATTTTAATACAAGGGTGGATTGGCTCATTGAATGTTGATCCATCATTTACAACAGGATACCAAGAACTCTTTTCCAGAGTTATTAGTCCTCCATTCACAGGAACTGATAAATATTATGAATTCGATATCGATCAATTCTATACTCCTGATGTTATTGGGGATGACAAACACATTGAAATGAAACTAGAATCCTACAATGGCGCTAGCAATTTATTACTTGACTAGAGCTTTTCCTATGATATGACATTAAAGCATTACACTATTACTACTGGAACTCTACCAAAACCAACAAAGTCCTCTGATACCTTATTTGATCAATCAGTCACCTTTGATTTGAAAATGCAATCCGCAATTCAACTAAAAAATACTGAAGAATATGATTTCTTTATCTTTGAATATACTTAACCATACTTCGATCCATAACCTTAAAATCTTCAATGTGAATCAGGTTCTGTGTATGTTTGTAGAGTATCTTAAGGCAATAATTGGATCGTTGTTAAACCCTTGAGCACTATTTAAGCCTAAGCTAATTTGAAGTTTAAAAATAGTAACAATCCCATATAGGTTCCTACAACAGGAATTGTGTGCACAGCTTATGCTGTTAAGGATAGAATTATAACTACAATTTATACTTATGCTGCTATTAATGATTATCTATTACCTACTTTGGCTGCTACTGCATATAATACTATTGTCACTCCCATTGACTATGCTGACAACACTACGATACCAAAAAGCACTGAAATCAGAGTACGAGTAGAAATCACCATTCCCACATAATCAATTACACTACCATATGGTTCAATTATCGACATCTTTTTGCCCTCTGGTTTCACTGCATATGATTACTCCTTAAGTACTTCTGATACTAATGCAAAGTTTGTTACTGCTGACAATCTTTAGACCAGTGTAATTGCATCATCCACCATTACTGGATTTACTGGAAGACCTCAACTTACAATAACTGGTTGGGAACCTATAAAAGTGGGAGAAAAAATAATATTTGAAACATATTGCAAAACTTCCTCATCTGCTTTGAGTCCAGCACTTTGGAATTTCAAAGCTTGGAAGGATACAGGTAGAACTATTGAATTATGGACATCTGCTGCTTCTGCTTTCAACGTGTAATCTTATGCATCATTTAAAACACTTGATTGGAAAACAAAAGATCCAACAGTTGCAAGAAAAAATTAAATATCTCCTTTTACTTTTCATTTATCTTTTAAAACAACTCCAACTGCTAATACTAAAATTACTGTAAGTTTTCCAGCCTTAGCTTTAGTTTCTGTTCCAGCAGGTGCTGTTTTATATTGTACGATAGAAGGAGCAACAGGACTTGTTCATAAATTTTCATATTGTTATGGAACTAATTCTCTTGATGTTATCATGTTGATGCCAGTCTCACCTGTAACTTTTGCTGCAAGCATTTAATACAAAGTTACAATAAGTTCAAGGGGTAATAGTATTAATCATGGGTTAATGTTTGGAGCTAGTGGAGTATTTACAGCAACTTTAACCTAAGATAATGGTGACACTGGAAATTTAAGATTTGAAATACTACCAACAGAGTCATTTACATATACATAATTGAGAATAGTAAATTCAGGAATAAAAACTACTGGTTATACAGAAACTGCTCTATTATTCTCCTTTAAAAATTCAGTGCTAATTCCGAAATCAGGTAAGATTGTAATAGCATTCCCTAATTATGCAATCGATGGTACTACTAAGTTGTTCTAAGAAAATCTTTAATAATCAGCAGTTTATAACAGTGGTGATCTGTATCCAGGATGTTATTCAATAAATTCAGACCTATAAAACAATGGTTTGAATTGCAGAATCTTTAAGAATTCTGGTGAATTTTTCCAAACATTGATTGTAATTTAATCATTTACTAGTGATATAAGCGGGAAACCCTTATAAATAGTAATTGAATAAGTAACTTTGCCAACTTCTGCAGCTTCAGCAGATGTCTTTTTATACACTGCTGATGTAAACAATAATAAATTAGAGGCATACTATTTTGAAGATGCTGTAATTCCTTTAGTGCTTGATCCTTCTACAATGACAACAACAATAACACCAACCAGTGCAACGGTTTAGGGAACAACATTAATTACATTTAGCGGTGTAAACTTTGGAGGAACTGCTTTTGATGGATATTCTTACGTAGCCTATAGATTCCCAGTTGGTTATTACGACATATCGAGTGCAACTGTTACAACAGGAGGAACATGTGCAACCACAAGTGTCTTGGAAATCTATGCACATTGGATTATACAGAGATTCACTGGTCTTACTGCTTGCACTTTAAATCAAAATATTGTATTGGCTAATATCAATTAAGTGTATAGCGCAGTCACAACTTATACAAATTTGGCATTTTAAGTTTATGCATGTTTAACAAGGGTGTGTGGTTCCTATAGCCCTGCATCTAATCCCACTCTCCCATATACGGCTGCTTCAGCAGGATCCTTGTATGTAGCTGATGCAACAGCAGCGAGATACTTCCCATATTCATTTTATAAATTTGAACTTGTTTACACTTGTGGTCACAATATTCCAATGGGGGGACAACTGATTTTAGATACAGATCCAACAAGGTTTTAGGTATAGAGAATAGAATTAAAATCAGGAGGAATAACATCAGTCACCTACACAAATGCAGCAGGATCGATAACCACTTTCACCTTATTATCTTCATACTTAAAAGCCTAAACAACTATTAAGTTCGATGTTTATGGGTATTTGCCCTCTACTATTGGAGCATCAGGTGTTGTCACATTTACATTCTCCTTGAAAAATAGATATAATGGTTATGAAATATCTCCAGATACCCTTAAGCCATCTTGGGATGTGAAGACACCAGTGTCTATCATATCATCATAAAATTTCGCTTCAGTTACATCTTCATAATCAATATTGTCAATAATATTGAAACCAGGAGTTAAAAATGTGGATAATGATTTACATTTCTAACTTCCCTCTATTTCCACGATGGATACAACCAATTTTAAACTTTACGTATTTATTGAAGGGATGATAAGTGGTTCTGGTTCATGTTCAATATCAATTGCAGAAGGTTCATCTGCAGGAACTCCTTTATGCAATGTAGCAGGTACAGATAAATTGGAAATTACAGGCATTGACCCAAGCACAATTTAACAAGAATTCTATCTTTTAGTCTAGACAGTTAAAATTACCACTTATGGTTTACTCCCTGTCACTATTTAATTAATAGACAACAATGGGGTAGTCAAAAATATATTTACTGGTTCAGTGATAGTCTATGAACAATAAATGGAATCCTTCGGAGCTAATTTTAAGCACACAACTAATGGAGGAGGTAGCAATATTTTAGAGATTAGTTTTGATCCACCAGCCATAACCAATTTTAATGGTTTTGATGGAGAATTGTTTTTGGATCTATTAGGTTCTTTTGTTTCTTTGCCAACTACAATTATAAAAGAATAATGTGATTATGCTTCGGCTTAGAATTCAGATTGTGAATTTGTGCCTGCTTTTAGATTGAACTCAATTGGTTCAGCTACTGCTCACAGAGATCCGTTCAATAACAGAATCATCATTAGCAAATTCGAATAACAAAGTACTAGTATCAACAGCATTAAAATATGGTTTTAATATTAATACTCTGCACCAACTTATTGGATCATGACCAAAATGTTTTAGTTCGGTTTTTATATTAAAGGATAGGGTAACAATTAGATCTATAAGTTTGGAGAAAGTTTCATAATTAAATTAAGTGAATTGAATCCTTCAGCTCCATTAAGTAATAGTGGATCATTGAATCATATTGGATCTGCTTAATCTATTGGCACAATAACATCCTCTACAATATACACTTAGCAAAGTATTAATTCATTCGCTGATGACGATTATTTTGCCATTAAACTTATTGGCGGCTATTCAGTGAAATATGGTACATATAATCAAATGAAAATGCTCTCCTCCACAGCTACAATCTCGTCATCATCAACAACTACAACTTTAGATAATACTTATACTAATTAAAGAATGGGCTATTTTGAAGGAAAGATGGCCAATGGATAATCAGATATTGCATTTACATTGAGTAATATAGAATTGCCATATTATCCTACTTCTTCACTTACTGATATTGCAGCCATTGTGCTCATCTTAGATAAAACAGATAGATCTATTAAAGAGAAAATCATATTGACTCGATCTACAAGTGCTAGCAGTCTAAGTTTTGCAACTTGCTCTGCCCAACAAATAGATTCCACCTCTTTCGAGTTTTCGTTCACACTTCCCTCTAACTTCAAGACTTTCAACCATAATGGGTGTGTGTCTACTTCAACATGTTATTAATATATTGAAATTACAACTACAAATTCTGCATATAATGACATTTGGTCATATGAAGTGACCTGTGGTTCAGGATCCTCGTTGATTAACTAATATATTCCATACAGTGGGTATCCACCTAAGTTCTCATAAATTACCTCTAATCCATATGGGATGAGACTGTCAGAATATCTCGAAATGAACAGTAATAGTCAAATCTGTATCAAATACAAAAAGAAGACTGCCGCTGCAGCTGGATCCGTTTAATTCACTATTACAATCTATGAGAACCAGTCTACACCAATAGCAATAGCCTCTTGCACAGCAGCTTCAATAACAGCTTCAAATACAGCATCAGGACATCAATTATCAGGAGTGGTTAAATAACCATTTGGATTGCAATTATTTTATGATAATTTCAAAGCAATAGTTAAGGGTGTAGAAAGATAGTTAACGATTGAGTTCTCATTGCTTGCTGATCTATCATCAAGTGGTACCTTTACTATCGAGTCCGCGAATTTAGGGCTGGGTAACTTTGATGTAACTAATAGATTGAAATGCATGTTTAAAGAGAAGGCTACTTAATTAGCCAAACATGTCCCTTCTTTATGTACTGTAGATACCACAAATAAAAAAATTACTATTACTTACAGCGTAGCAACAGTCACTACATTGAATCCAAAATTAGTTAAGGATAAGGTCTATGAATTGATAATCAAATATGATCAAAACCTTATCAAATTCTTATCAGAACCTGCATTATAAGGACAATACCAACTGAAATTTAAATTCTTTGCAGGAGCAACACTCACTTATTCTCAAGTATTGCCATTTACTATCTATAACAATCAAGTTTCTGATCTAGTCACTCAAAGCTATGTTGATCACATTTCTGAGTCAACTAACTTCTACGTCAAATACAAGACCACTTAATCCTTGGCTTCTTCTGATTATATTGATGTCTTAATTCCCATCAGAGATGTTCAAAGTGATGGATCACTCAAAATCTTGAATACAAATAATCTCAATACTGGCATACTAAATGGATAGAGAATTGGATGTTTGGATAAGGTTGGCAACTTGGGTCTCTATTTTAAATGTTATTTGTACTATGGAATAGTTGATTTCTAAAAACCACATTCATTCGTTAGATTGACCAACTTTACAGGCTTGGGTAGTGGAGCTACAGTACAATTTGTGATCCAAAATCTTAAGAATCCTTCAACAACTGATTTAATCATGGATTACGAAATTAGAATATCTGGAGCTGACTCTTATGAATACACCTATGCTTATGCTGCTGCTTATACCTTACCAGCATCCTCAGCCACCTCATCCACTACTGGTACTTTAACCATCACACCTTTACCATGCTTCTCCCAAATCAATTACTAATATTAGGTTAGTCTCACAAAGGATGTGGATCCCAATTATGAATCAATAGTCAAAATTTCTTATGATCCTCTTATATGGGGAGAAGATTACACTATATTTGCAGCTACTATTGGTGGCACTGCTTCTAGAATTGACCCATTAGATTCGCAAAATGTATTCATAGTATTCCCAACAGGCTATTCTACAGGAACTTCAATCACTATGGCAATAACCAATGGTCTCATTTAACCAAGCTATGTTCTTACTAAATCTCATGCAGTTACTGCATCTTTCATCAATTACCAAACCAAAACTATTGTTTAGGTTGCAACTACTACAACCTCAGTGACAACCACATAATCTAACATTGCTAATTATGGTACTGTGAGTAGTAACTCAGATTTAATGAAAGACTTTTTGTCAGTCATGCTGATTCCTATGACTCTGTTGGGTCCAGTAAAGACCAATTACTAATTTAGAATCATATTCCCTACTGATTATACTTTGAGTGGTGGATATTGCAAAATTTTCGATGATCTTACAAATCTAGAATATTCGACTACTTGTACAGATATAGATGCATAAACTAAGAAGATAATATTCAATACTCCAATCAAGGCTACTAAAGCAATCACAGCAAAAATCTAGGTTTAAACTCCTACAACACCTGGTAGCAAAAGCATCACAGTGAAGTTTTTTGCAGATAATTTGGATACCTCTACTTTACTAATTTAATCAAACACTTTGACAGCTTAGACTATAATAAACTTTACTAAAATGAGATTAGCTATGCCTTACATTAAAGCACCTTAAATATTATTGTAAGATAGCGAAATAGGACCAATCACTTTAACTGTTAAATTGACTAGTGCAATAACAAAGTAGACAGACACTGTGGTAATAGATACCAACAATTTCATGACTGTCACAATCAAACAGCCTATTAATACCAAAAGATTACAATTTGCTTGCTTTTGGAATAATTTAGCTGCCATGAATTGTAGAAATGGAGATACTTCAGCCAACTATGATAAAATAACAATGTATGCACCCTCAGATACAGGTTTTGCATCAGGTGATATAGTAACAATTAAAATTATGGTATGGAGACATTAAGAAATTGGATAAACAGATTTCACTTATTAATGGCATGACGATACTGACGATTCAGTTCCTATTGCTAATATTAAGGATAAGAAAATCACAATAGGCACAACGGATTACCAAAAATACGTTACTTATTAGAATTATCGATTTGATGAAACAACAGTACCTACATACTAGACTAATGTTGCTGTACATTAAGGAACAATAGATACTCAAACAGACCTTACAGTTAGCTTTAGATTAAGAAGAACATTATCCTCCAATTTAAATACCAATTGGGGTTAGATTATTCTAAAGTTGCCAACCATGGATGATGACAACTTATAATCATAGTTCCCTAATGGTTTAGGTAGATTTACCAAGAATGCTTAAGAGATTGATTGTTTTTGCAGCACTTGTCCTCAAATTAGTAATATTGATCCATTGGAACCATTTTTCAAATGTTATGTGTACCAAGGATCTAGTCACAGAGTAGCACCAGTAGAAATATGGTTGAATCCATAATAAGACATGGTAGCATAATAAATAGTTGAAATTTCCTTCCCGAAAATAAAATTACCATCAACTTCATACACATATGGCAAAATATCAATGTTGGCTTATGAATTCTAAGCAAGTACTAAATCAACTAGAAATCATTCTGAAATTGTTCACTTTTACACATTCCATACAATTCCTGATGCTTTTACTACTTACACTGCCATAACACCCCCAACATTCACAGTAAATATGGTTGGAGCAATGTCAGGAGTAACAGCCACAGTCAATAATCCTTATGATGACCTGTTAGATTATTGCCATGACAGATGGGTATTGAGTACAGACGATGTTGAAACTATTTTTGAGCACCCTTATAATCCAGAAACCGGTACTCTATATTCAAATGGTGGATTATACCCATACAATTACATAGAATACACTACTGCAACCAATCATATTGTAATTATTTATAAACTTGCAAAATGGATTACCTTTGTTCCTAAGGTTGTGCTAACTAAGTCAGCTACATAAACTTTGACTATTCAGAAATTCAAAAATATGCCATACAAGATACCCACTGGAGTCAATTATAAAATGACTTTATTCATAGAGATCGGAGTTCGATCTTATACTGAATACAGTGTATTCACAACTGCAACATAATACAGACTGGCTTATTAGACATCTACAACAGTTAAATAAATGTCTATTGATCCTATTCCTGCTCCAGCTGAAACTGCAGCTCCTTAAACTTATGAATTGAAGTTCTTGCCTTATAATAAAATTCCTAAGAATGGTAAAATAGTCTTTACATTCCCTCCATTACCAAGTTATGATTGGGTGTTCACTGATCAATATTGCACAGTATCCTAAAATTTATAAGACAGTGGATGTGATATTATTCCAGCTAGCAGAATCATCATAATTAAGGATTGGTTGAATGATTACGATCCTAATATTGATGGGTATTTAAGTGTTAAATTTGATATTGTGAATCCAACAAACGTGTAAACTTAAGTTCCATTTATTTGGAGGACATATTGGGATCAGAACTAGAATACTTGGTTGATTGATGAAGAAACCTTCTTTGAGAATACTCCACTTACTTAAATTATCTAAGGAGGTAATTTAATTGTTACTCTTTGGGACAGATATTAACATCCTTATATCATTTGTGGAGGTAGAAAGGGACCAATTAGATTGAGATTTATTTTGAGAGATTAAAATTTGGTGTATCCAAATGATTATATTGAATTATGGATGCAAAATACATTTTGGCCAGTTTCAACTCAAAAATACATTGTCTGTTATTTCAATGACCCGAATGACTTCTAATTAGTCAATATCAAATCTCATCGATGTGATTGGACTGCTGGAGTTAATGGTGGCACCTTACAAATTTATATTCCTGAAGAAATAGATATACATGTAGGAGATGAATGGGAATTAGTAATTACAACATTCGGTTAATTTGGTGGCGATGGATGGGTTGTTAGATCCCCATCGGATTTAAATTGGATCACATTCTTTGCTATGTAGAATGGTGTAAATACAAATGACAAGGGTTGGTTTGAAGCCTAGATTCCAGGATGCCCATTTGATAGCTTTGGATTTGATTGTTAAAGTGTTGGTTGGGAAGCAAGTACAGTTGGTGGTGATCCAACTTGGACTATTCTCAATTTTACTGCTCAAACTGAAACCAATGCAATTCCTGCTGGTGATCCAAGTTTACTTACCTATTCTAGATTAGTTTTTGAGTTTATAACACATAATGAATTAGAAGAGTCTTGGCCAATGGATTTGACTAATAGAATGGCAGCAACTGATGACAGAGCACAAGTAGCTTGTAATGGTATGTACAAGACCACTGGTGCAAATAGACCATTGCAACCTAAAGGTAATACCTATATTGAATGTTACAATATCAAAGGCCAAGATAAAGTGTGGAATAACACTCCATCTTATATAGTTGGAAGTTATTTTGATGCTATTGCAGCAGCAGAGAGGTTCCATTTCCAAATTGCTGATTTTCGTAATGGTTATGTCCAAGGAGCCTTCCAACATGTGAAAATCTCAGTAGAAGTCATTTAAGAGGATGGTACATTCTATCCGCAGAACGAACACTATTGTTGGCATCTCCCTCCATCACTTTATGCTCCTCCAAGTCCCTCAGCAGCATCCACTTCAACTTGGGGTATTTCAAGATCATAGGTGGCTCTATCCCAATAGCAATCTTATTTTGGTGATAACAATGTGTAATGGTTTGATACAATTGTCTATGATTTCAATTATCCTTATACTTTGCCTATGAAAGGGTATTGTTTACAAAGAAGATACAATGCCAACTTTTCAGATGGCTACTTGTCTCCATGTACTCCTTAACACTATAATCATTGGTGGGTTATGAGTGCTGCCATTTAGGATCCTACTATTAAATGGTAGTAAAGGGAATCTGGTAATTTTATAAATCCTCCCTTTGTTTATAAATAGAATAATCCTACTAACGATCCAACAATTAGCAATAACATTGCATAAGCATCGCCTTTAAGAATCTACATATGGAGAAATAATAGGTTGATTAGCAATCAGACATATCAACTCAATGGAGGGAAGATATCTCCTACTACTGGGCAATTATATATTGTTTCTTAAACAACTACAAATGACAATGCTTAAAACACTATGGTAAGACATCATATGGGAATTCATTTCCAAACCACTACTTCGGCTATGAAACACATCAGACTTTGGGCACCAAATGACTATTAAAATATATAAGACTGTAAAGTTAATAGAGGATTAGTAAGTCGAGATCCTGCTGATCTAGATAATAAAATTACTTGTGTCATTACAAAATTGCCAGCTCCCATTGACAAGTGGCTTATAGAAATTGATAATTTCTAGACTTATTAAGGACATGGGGAAGATTAATGGATGATAATTGATTTTAACTTAACCAATCCAAATTCTGAGAAATGGACTGGCAGTTGGTATGGTAAAACTTATGAGAGTTCAACCAATTTATCATATGTAATAGATGAATCCAAAGGCACAGATGGATAAACTTGGGTTGGAGGAAATACTGTCAAATAACCAAATCTTTTTAGAGTTTGGAGAAATACCATCTCATATGAGAATAGAAGAGCTTAAACAGATGATTATGCTGAAGTTCATATGAGAGTGTTACCTAGAACAAGTCATCCAGCTACAACAGATAATTCAAATACACAAGTACAAATCTGGTTACCACTTGCTTATGATCTAGCAAATGGTGGAGATGCACTTTGTCAAATTAGTAATGAATATCATTCAGATTTGGATTCTGTTAATTGCAAAATCACCTCAGACAGAAAGATTACTTTGAGTACCGATAACACTTATGGATTAAAGCCAGAATGTTCAATGGTTACTGTAACAACAAAGAATGCAATTGGTGGCAATGGCATTAAGTTACCATCCACACCTTAAGATGACACATTCTAAGTGTTTATTGATTCAACAGATTCTGGTGGTAATGTGTAAAGAGAATACAATTACAATTAAGCATATGCGGTCCCTGATCCAATTACATCAGCTACTGATCCTACATTCTCTATCAAATCAACAATTAGAGAAGCCAATCAATATACTGTTATTAAAGCAACGTTCACAGCTCCACTTGATATTCCAGCAGGTTATGATACTTCGTCTTCAGGTCAGGATCCTTTAAGTGCTCCTCCTATTGGAACATTAAGATATAAATTTAATACCAAAGATTTTGTCAATAGTGGATATCCAGGATTCCCATTAAATCTAGGTTAATCAAGTACAGATGTCCTATGTCAAGGTTTCGGAAACTTGAAAGGTACATTGTAATGTACATTAATTGCTTCAAGCTAATAATCTCCTGATTATCCAGCAATCATAGAAGTTAGAGGTTTTGATTATATCAGTTAAGGTGATTTAATAGAAGTTCACTTTTTGAATATTAAGAATGGGTAATTTTATTAGAATAAAGGAAATGTCACTCTATCAGCTTATAAAAAGAAGGGTGATGGCACAAAGGTGGAACTGATTTAAGATTCAACTGACTTTGTACCTGTTTATGATCCTAATTGTTATGGCAATCTCTGTTATACAGTTTTTACCACATGTCCAACAAGTGCTGAAATTTTAATGGACCCTAATGTAGTTGGAGCCTACATGCAAGTGATTATCAATCCAATATCCATCAATTGCACAACTCCAGCCACTCCATATTAACCACTTTAGGCAGGAGACTAAGTTGTTTTGACATTCCCACCAGAATTTGAATTCCCATCAGAATCAAATGGTGCTATATCTGCGTTATGGAACTAGATTTAGATGTCCACCATCGTATATCCATTAACAAGAGAAATCTATTTCACATTCCCAACAGGTGCCTCTGTTACTGGTTGCACTAATACGCTAAAGATATCTTAATTACGAGGTCCTGCTTATGAATTCTCAACTCCATATAATATTAGAATGAGGATTGTAAAATCTCAATACAGAAGAGTGGATTGCATTATAAGTGGAATCACTCCACCAAATGTAGCAACTCCAAGCACATAATCAATGCTATTAAGTAGTTATTTTGCAGGTGATATCTTTGTTGATTACGATTTCAAATTTTCTCCAAGTTACAAGATTCCTGCTGGAGGTTCAATTGATATTACATTCCCCAATCGTGGTTTATTGAATTACAATCATGTCACATCTAGTACTCCTCCAGCTGTATGTAGTTTGTTAAATTCAGTTTACATTACTAGTTGTGTATTGACTACAACTGGAATTAAGGTAACTGTAGCAAAAGACATTCCAGCACAGCAAGAGTTGGAAATTAAACTAAGTGGAGTTAAAAATTCTGATTATGCTGGATAAACATTAGCCTCTGATTATGTTTTGACAATGTATCATCCAAATGGAGAGAAAGTAAATGAAATTGGATTTTCACCATTTTAATTCTATGCTAAGAAAAATGTAGGTGTCATTTACATGAAACTGTCAAATACCAATAACTTTTAATCTGTAACAGCATCATACACTTTTGTTATTCAAAATTCATATAGAGTCCCAGCATCTGGAGAAATAGTATTGAAGATGCCTAAAGAATGGGCATCAGTTGTAACCAATTCAATCACTCTAGCTAAATTAGGGGCTTCTTGGACAAGTGATGCTTTGTCTTATACCTACTCTATCGATTCTGCTTCGGACATCAATAATTATTTGTTGAGAATCAAGAATCAATTCACTTGGCCTCAAGGAGGATCTTTGACACTCTTAATGTTGAAACTGAAAAATCCTTCTTTCGAAAGTACTAAAATATTTTAAGCTTAAACCTATTATGACAATGTTTTACTTGATTAAACAGATCCTTTGGATTCCTCTTTGAAATTCACTTACAAGCCTGCTGTTCCTTCACTTACTATTAACAATTTCATAATGGAACCAGCTAATGCAGGAGAAGTGTCAACTTATTCTTTGAATATGACATCAAGTGGAAATATGACAAGTGGCAGCACTATTCAAATTCAATTTCCAACTGATACCTATCCTTCTGGATTGACTAGATCTGATTTATCATTAGGATGTAATTTACAATTCAAAAATGGAACAAATGTAATTGTTCCATGTTCTGCTGCCAATTCAAAATTAACTGTCAGTTTGAATGCCAATATTGATTAAAACACAGAGTTCACTCTTTCAGTGGTGGGAATAACCAATCCAAATTTCGATACAACTGCTATCAAAGGATCCATTGACGTATTGACAACTGACTCCAACAACAATGTTTTGACTTATAATAGTGGGGCAGCTGAAATAAATCCAACTGCAGCTCCATCGACTATGAAATTGGTTAAATTAGCTACTTCTTCAACAAACTTGTAAGTTAAAGCTGCTTACACATTATGTGTTTAAACAGACATCAGTATTCCTTTAGGAGCTTAAGTGTTTGTAGATTTCCCACAACAATTTACATTTAAATCATCGAGCTATCCTTGTTATATCAGTTTAGATCACAATAATGCTTTATTGCCATACGATAATTCAACTTCATCTCCTTCCTGCAAGAATTCAAATTCCTTAAGAAGAATAGCTGTCTCTGGTCACACTGCTGCTTATGTGGGCAATAAGAATAGTCCAGCATAGTTATGTTACATTCTAGACAATATCGAGAATCCAAGTTCAGCAGGTCCTACTGATAATTTTGTTGTGAGTATCTATGACACACAAAACAAAAACATTGTGGCCTAAACCTTTGGAACACTATCACCCAATTCAACATTGTCTTATAGTCAACAAGGATTAGTTATCACAGTTGAAAGCATAGACCCATTGCCTAGATATCTAACAACAAAACCAATTAAGGTTACACTCCAAAGGTCTGTCAGTCATACTGTAACATTAACCCCTTAGTCAACTGAATTTAAATTTAGTCCACCAGAATTAGTGTTTTTGCCTTCAAATGGACCTGAGATGTATTTCAAAATCTAGGCTATTAATGATGATGCCACTGAGGTTGGATTAAAACAATTCAGTTGGCTCAAAGTAGAATCAGCAACTGCCAAGTTTTCAGAGATGGCTGATTCCTTCTTTTAATATGTTGATAAACCTACTGCTAATCAATTATACATGACAATCAATCCAAGAGTATTCAGAGTAGCCTTAGGTGGAACATCATTACCTATGACTTTAACTCTATCTTAACCAGCTGCATAAGACTTGCTAGTCAATTTCACAACTATCAATCCTTATCAAGATAGTTCATTGGTATTTGAACCCATCAATGCAGCTGGATAAGTCAAATTCCCTGCTGGCACAACCTCCATTCAACTTTAATACACTACCAAATAAACTGCTTTATCAGGCCAGATCTAATTTGAAATAGTTGACAAATACAGTTCCTTATATACAATACTTGATAATATTGTCAATTTTGAAATCTTAGAGACTGATGACAAAATACCTGAAGTAGTAAATTATTATGCTGTCAATGTAAAAAGAACCAGCATGTATTTCAGAGCCAGCATTGATGAAAGTGTTACCTTGTACTATTATTTGACCTTGAAAGGCAATCCCAAACCTACCATGGAGCAAATAAAATCTTAACAAAAACTGACTAATGTATTCACCCAATTTGGAAATAATCAAAGCTTTATTGCTCCTGTCACCTCAGATTATATCTATAATGATGTCTATTTGGATCTCCAAGGATTGACAGAATAAACAGATTATTCCCTCTATTTCTTTGTTACAGATTTAAGTGGCAACAACAATACCGAAGTCAAATAATTCGACTTTACAACTGCAACCAAATACTAGCCTGCTTAATTCAAGATCACTCTTGGCAAAGATGTTGATATTGACAAATTGTTGAGTGCATTCGGTTTAGTCACTGGATTGCCTTCTAGTAGCTTTTAAACTATTGAGAAACCCAAGAAATATACAATTGATGGTGAGTTAGACTCTGATGTACAATCAATACTGGACTCCCAAACAGTAACATATACATTCCAAATTAATCCAGATGCAACTGTTGGTGGTCTATCGCCATACGAATATATTAGATTAATCTAACAAAACTTGGATCTGTTGCAATCAGAAATCCCAGAAGTCGTAGATCAGAACATTTTCAACACTGCTTGGGAATACTTCGAGTATCCTTAAGAGTTTAAGTATAATCCCATTAAGATCAATGTCACCGAAGATGCCGTGTATTTCAATGTGTCTCTGAGATACACTGGTAATTTGTACACTCTGGTCTTACCAGCTGATTCACCTGCTCCTTCATCCAAACAAGTCTCAATGGGACTTAATTCCAATAATTATCCAGTTCAGAAGGTAATGTTATTAGTTATATTTAATAGGAATGGGTCTACAAAATCAGATTTGAATATAGCAATAAAACAAGCACTGATGATCAAAAGCTACATGCTATTTTCAACTATACTTTGTTATTTGACAATTCTTATTACAAAGCATATTTCACTGCAGATAACAATTTAGTTAGCAATCCAGATTTAATGACCAGTAATTTTTTATTGTATTCTTAGATGAATAAATGAAATAAATTGAATTCAAGACAAAGAGAGAAATTGTTATAATACCCAAAAAGTATTTACAATCGACCTTGCTATCTATTATAATGATAATAATCCTTTGTATAGGATGACATAGATTGAATTATATGATTAATATATAATCAAATCAACAGAATATTACATAAATTATTGATCTCCTCTATTCAATTAAATTAATATCTATTATTAGATGGGAGATAAGAGGATTGATAAATACCTATTCAATATCAATCACAAGATTGGAGAGGGATCTTATGCAACAGTCTACAAAGGAGTCAACGAAAAAACAGGAGAGAAAGTAGCCATCAAAATGCTTAATAAATCCGTCATTAATGCGTATGATCTTCCTCTTTATACTCAAGGGATGATTACTTAAGAGAAGGATTAATATAGGAAATCAAAATTATGGGAAAGTTGAAAAGTCCAAATATTGTCTAGCTTTTAGATGTTATGGAAACTTCAAATAATTATTATATAGTTTAGGAATTTTGCGATGGAGGTGACTTTGATGAGTAATAATCTCTAATTATCTAGATTTCTCAAAAAAAAGAAAAATCTAACAGAAAAAGAAGCCATTAAATTTTTAGTCGATGTCTTAACTGGCTTCACATAACTCATTAAAAATGGAATCATCCATAGAGATTTGAAACCTGCCAATATCTTACTAGATAAAACAGTATTCAAAACATACCTATTCCTCCTTAGACCTATAAATTAGCCGATTTTGGGTTTGCAAAATGCGTTGACAATTTCAAAAAAGACATGATGTCCTCAATGGTTGGAACTCCCTTATATATGAGTCCCTAAATCTTAGATCACAAAAGATACAACTCCAAAACCGATGTCTGGAGTATTGGATTCATCTTTTATGAAGCCCTCTTTGGAAAAAGTAGAATTTCTCTAATGTTTTAGCCCCATGGACTGCAAGATCTCCTCCAGAATTACTAAAGAATATCAGAACATAACCATTAAAGTTCCCGACTGATAAAATACCAATCTCTCAAGAAACTCAAGATTTAATTATCGGTTGTCTATAGGCCGATGAATCTAAAAGACTATCATGGGAGGAAATATACAAGCATCCTGCAGTTGCCTAGTACTTTTAGGATATTGTTAAGGGGAATTCCAAATTGGAAGACAAAGCATAATACTTGATAAACGATATTAGACAAATGATTATAAAGGATAAATTGGACATCACCTAATTGTTCACAGAATTAGATATGTCGAAGGATAAAGCCCTGGATGTGAATGAATTAGGTCGATTCTTAACTAGAGTTGATAAAGATATCTAAAGGGATGAAATCGAATATATATTTAATAAGTTTGATGAGGACGGGAGCAATTCAATAGATTTCGAAGAGTTCAAAAAGTGGTTGGAAGATAATTCTGTATACAATTAAAATATCATTAGATTCAAGTCAAACAAGAAAAACAGGTTAGAGATAGAGCAAAAAAATAATCTATCTTAGGAAAAAATACTGTGGAAGAACGTGCTAATTATGTGATAGAAAAACTCAAGCTTTCTATTATCAAATACAACATTCAACTTATTGATTTGTTCAAAAAAGTATAATCTATCAATATAATTAGTTTGATAAGTCTGCAGATTTGAGATTAGATTTAAAAGAAATGGGGTAAATGTTGAAAAGAATTGAACCAAGCATCAATGAAGATGAAACTCGCGCAGTCTTCGATTTCTTTGATATCAATAAAGACGGCGAAATCACATTCTAAGAGTTTAAGACTAATTTATAAGAGTGCATAGTTCAGAAAAAATGAATGTTTTAATATATAAACTATTTAAAATAAGACTTTTATGGATTCAAGTTTCTACCAACCTTATTAATACAAAAAATATACTCTAGTATTATATTATTTTATAGAGGAATTATCTACTTAAATAGGATTAGCTAGACTACTAATATGAGTGTTTAGAATTAGAAAATGATTAATGGTCAAGCATCTCCATATTGAAAGGCTATCCATAATATATTAAAATAAGGATTCAAGATTATTTTCCATTAAAAATATTTTTCAATGTTGGAGCATTTAAATGCAACACTTACTTCTCCTTTTAAACCTTCTAGCCATCCGAAACAAATCATCAAAAACATGTTGTTATAAAATAATAAAAAATTATTGTAATTAAGAGACCTGAGGAACATAAGCAATATCTATTTATTACTCTCTTATCTGATTTTAGTACATAAGTCAAACTTAAAGCATGGTTTTAAAGTATATAATTTAGTATTACATAAGAATCCGAAAAAGACAGATGCTATTTCCTTTGTTATTATGGTTAAGAATAAAACAGAAAAAGAAGCTGCTCATAAAATAACAATAGGACAGATGAAGAATCGTGTATTACTGTTAAAAATAATACTACTACTATTACAACTACTAATTGTATAGAAAAATCTCACTTAAGTGACGGCAATGTCCCTCCATTAAAATCTTTAAGTGAAAATCGTAGGTTTAACACTCTCAAATAGAAAACCGAATCAATACCTTTAAAAAGTAGAATTTTATAAGTGTAACAGAAAAAACTTTAATTATACTCTCAAAATGTAGTTCAAAGATATTAACGAATGCTAATATAATCATATAAATAATTAAATTAATCAAGAATGATGAAAAAATATATCCATTAATGGATTATTACTATAAATTTCCTTTAGCAAATGGAATTAATTTATGCTCATTTTAAAATCAATAAAATTTTAAGATGCATGTCTAATTCTCCAAAACTCTATGCATAAAGATGGAAACAATTGAATGATAAAAATTTTGGCTAAAAAAGTAAAATATTAATTCAAGCCAATTTAACCCTTTCAATATACTCAAATTAAGTGAATGAAAAAATTTAATAATAAATATCATAACTTATCTTTATATGTTTGGCAGACACAAGCTTCATCCAAAAGCAAGCGTAATTATAGCAATCGTTTGTGAATTTCTACTTAAGGGTAAGAAAGATTTAACAATATTATCTGTAATAAAGAAACAAATTCAATATTTAGATGAATTAAATGATTTAAAATATCAAATAACACTAACCAACTATTCTAATTTCTAAATAAAGAATGAAAAGAATATTATCATAATTTTATTAGTTATTGTGTGCTAATCATAAATCAGAATATAAGAGATACATGTTAGCCCAAATTTCTAATACTACTTTGTTAACTTCTGTTTTCGCATTATTTACAAGACCAAAATTAAATATGATGAAGAATCAAGCATTATTGCTTTAGCTTATTGAATAAACCAAATGAATTATTGTTATTTAATACAATTTTGAAATGATTATATTTCACTTAGCTGCATCCCATTGTTATTTTAATCCGATAATTGAGCTGATAGTTCCAAAGAAGCCAATCCATTTACCAGGTACTCTCCCATTACTTATAAATCCATAGGCACTCTTTTTATTGAAATTAAATTGATACCAGTAAATCCATAAAAGCCCTTAGTAAATCTAATTTAAGATTGAAAAGACGTTAGGAGGATTTTGTTTCTTATGATTTATTTTATTCTTCCCTTATTTCTAAAATCAATGCAACACAATCAAAGAACGCCTCAAAATTCCAAAGCGCATCACTCCAATAATCTGCCTTGGCTTCTAATTATGGATTTTGTATCACTTAAATCTAAAAGTTAATATGGAGTTTACTTTACAAAACCAATGAGTGTGATCAACCAAAAAATAAAGAAAGCAAGAAATATTCATCAATATTTTATTAAGAATGATTGCTTTATTTCCTTTTTATTTTGATAATTCCATAATTGAAATTATGATTCCAATTGTTCTTCCAAATCTTAAGACCTTTCTAGTTAAACTCATGTTTGAACTTAAGTTTTTGCACTTTAAGGATAATTCATCCTATTTTAACTCTTTCAATTATTCTGCACAAAATTTACCAAAATATTGTAAAATTCTGCAAGACTAATAATATTATTATTATTTAATACTCACTTTATCTCTTCCAGAAGTTTTAGACAATAAAATAACAACTCTTTTAAAATTCTACATTCTTATTTACTAAATAAATATATATTATTAAATATTATATTTGCTAATCTTAAGAAAATCATCTTCTTCTAACTCCTGCTCCCTCTAATTGATTTACAATCTTGGGAAATAGGGATTATTAAGTTAAAAGCTAGTCCATCAATTTATTGTGTTCATTGGTTCTAAAATATGGTAATTTATAAATACCTTTCAACCCATCTGTTATTAGTATTATCTAAGTTATCTGAAGCGTTCTTGAAATTGGTTTGGGCATCTCTGAGTAAATTTTACTTTGTTTGAATTTGAGCTAATCAATAACACACTATAATTACCATCTCTAGTTTAAATTTCAGCCTATATTGTTGGAATTACAATTGTTGATAAATTGGTTATTCTTTGGTTATATTGACTGAGATTATGATCATCGATGGCTCTAATTTATTGATAAGCATTTTCTAAGTCTGTTTTATTTTTAACAATAGTATCTCTCAAATTTTGAATTAACTTTTAAACTTTTGCACTTGCTTCTGAATCATTGAAACTTGGGGCCATGATTTAAGTGAATGCAGTGATCAAAGGTCCATACATAATTCTTTAATGTTGGAGTTATTTTAGACCTTCTTCTAAGAATGAGACACTTCTATTCTAGATGAATGAACCATCTCTAAGTTATCCAATCAATTATAAAGCTTAATCTAGAGCTTAAACAGCACTTGTATATTGATTCTATTGATCTTTGAAGATGCCTTCTTCTTTTGTGATTCTTGCTTATAATCCGTCTGCCAACGATTAAACTTCCTTCAATTCATCAACCTTTCCATTTAAAGCAATTTATAATAAGTCTCTGCTTTCAGTGAAATCTGTAACATCTATTTCTAATGATGCTATCTAATAAAGTAAGTAAATAAGATTACTTCATTCTAGAATTGTGTAATTTAACCTGAGAAAAATTCCTTGTCTGTGAAATATTACACTTCATTTTACTAATACTCTTGTTATTCATCAGCCAATCTTTATTTGATTGAATTTTGTAAGTCATCAAGTGCAGCATATAATTTAGAGAAATCAAATTGTTGTGCCTTTGATTTTAAGCTTAGTAATTTCAAGAATGCTTTCCCTAAATGTGTTTATTCTAATTCATTCATTATTGGATTAGATAAAGGACCTTGAATTTGACTTGCCAAGGTGAGAGAAATCAATAGTATAGAAACTAATTTCCTCATACAATCCGTTTTTAATATTAATATAAATAATTAACATTATATAATATAAAATTGGAAATCACTTTATTTGATATTTTTATGTTTATTAAATATGACTTAAAGAAGAATATTGGTCTAAATATGAATATCTCTTGTAGGTCATCATTTACAAAATAGCAGTTTTTTTAACAATTCATTATAAATGATAATATTCATTTTGATTTAGTATATCATTGCCATAGCATCTTATATATGCGAAAAGATCATTAGAATAATTTCTTATTTATTTGAAATATAATATTGTTCTAAATTTATTGGATTCCTTAATTATTGATTTCTAACATTTACAAGAAAATAAAAATAAGATTTTTTGATAATAAAATTTATAAATTTTTTATAAAATATGTAAGAATAACAAGATCGAAACAAAGTTTAATTAGAAGCAGAAGTAAAATAATTAGCAATAGAATTTGTTAGAGAATAATACTTAGAAATCATTTTATATCTATATGTTTATTTTTTAATTTCCTTTTATTTAGAAAACTATTTATCAATTATCTAGATGGTGATGTGCCTAATATTTGTTGATATTTGTAATATTTTGAATATTATAATAGGCAGATGTATTTAAACTTGTTATTGTTTACAAACGGAATTAAGGGTTTATTATTATTTAGAATCGTTCATCTATTGTTTAATGAAATTGTGTTATATTTTGATAGTTATGCTGGAAATTCAATTTTATTTGATGATCATTCTGTTTCCATTATTATTGTTGATCCTAAGATTGCTGATATATTGCAATAAAAAGAAATACTTCGCATTTGTTGCATTCTAATAGTTCGTATAGCATAAAGAATGACATAATAGTTTAATGTACTATGGAAGATAGTAATATTAGTTGAAACATTATCAGTAACTCTGAAATTGGATAATTTTGTTGCTTGGGATTGGATATAGGTTTTATGGTTGTTTTTGATTCTGCTAATATTAGATGGAGTAATAGCCTTTGTCTCACTTCTTTATTTTGTAATCAAAGTAATTCCATCTTTGATAAAAAAGAATGAGAAATAAAGAAGTACTTTATATTATTCATATGAAAGCTGCCTACTACGTGTAATTCGTCCTATATTAAGTCACAATATCTATGACAAATCTCTTTCTATACTTCAATAACTTTGCCTTGAAAATAATTTTACCCATTTTATTCATCCTTTTGTCAGTGTACACTTATTTTGAGAGAAGAAATTTGGAATAATATTATGCAAATTTCATATTTAATCTAGAAATCGGAAAGGACTTAGAAGAAAAGCAATAACCTTATGAATAAGCAACAACAATTTTATAAAGAGTATCAACTAATTATTATAAACCAATAATAACAAATGTTGGACAAAGACAATCGAGTCAACCTCCAATGTTGAGCAACGACTTATAATCTGTGAATTCTGAGGAATAGAACTTATGTGTAATATGCTAAGATAAAGTGGGAGAGAAGATTTTTATGCCTTGTGGACATGGCAAATTTTGTGCTTACTGCATTGGAAATACTGACGCTTGCTTTCTATGTCGAAATGAAATTGCCTAGATTCTTACAGTGTAACAGGATCACATCAGCTTTGGAATTGTTGCTAAATGATATTTAAAAAAATTATATATAAATATGATATGAAGATTAATTAAATCATTATATTTATTGAAATTTGTTATGGCTTGCACATCCAAGGAGTAGTTTCACTAAGACGTTCAAGAATTGAATTAGGAATTAAAACCTCAAGAGTAGATTCCTGCAGTACAAACCATGAAATTAAACAGAGGAGGGCTTATTATCAAAACTAGCGAAGGTCCAATTCAGTTTGGATTACCTCCTGAAACTGTGAAGGATTCCATGTCTTTAGGAGTGGAAGTGCCAACATTTTACATTATACCTTCCTAGAGATTCAACAAATAATTTGGGATTAATGTTGCAGAATTTGAATTCCCAGCTTATTTCAATTTCTTTATCAAGAAAAGATAAGTTACATTGATATGTGATACTGAAACTGCAAACTCAATCAAGATTGTTTTTCAGGAAACTTTGTTAGGTCCATAGGATTTTAGTGTATTTTTTAATATATAGTTTATAGTAAATCAAAAATGATTATCATTCTGATGTGGACCCAGTTGAATATGTGGATTTTAAGAAAGAATTGGCAATATTCGCAAAAAATCCCATGAATTTAAATGAAAAACTTACTTCAGAAACCTTACTAAAGTTCATAATTTTTGAGAATAATGTGGCATAAATAGGGAAAGTAAAAATAGTAAAAGAAGAAAAAGAATTTACAATATATGACAATTAGAATCTGTTGATAAGTTTCCCTGATAAATTTAGTTTTCCAAAAGAATACGATAAATTATTATCATTACACAAAATTGATAGTTCAGGGAAATCTGAAATCGCCCCTCCTTCATTAACAATAATGAAAAAGATGTAACACGGGAAAAAGCCTCCAAGTCTGACTTAAAACTTCGAAGAGGTAGATTCTGATGAAGATGATCAAGATATAGGAAGTATGCCAAACTTATTATTGTGGAATAAAAATGGAGAAGCTAAATTGTAGAAGAAAGGAAGCATAGAATTGAATGAAGGTCTCACATTCTAAGCTCCTGAATTTGGTGTCACAGTTTTGGGATGTGTAATTCAATATAAATAACCTAGTCTCATGGATTTGATCCTAAAGGTTCTACATCTGGTTACATTTTTTGGATCAATGGCAGAGGAATAATGGTGGATCCTCCTCCCTACACCAGTTACCATCTAAAAAAGATGGGAATTCCACCTATCATGATAAGTGCCATTATCATAAGTCATTGTCATGCTGATCATGATGCAGGAGCCTTTCACAAAATATTAGATGATAGTAAAGTTGAAATAATCACAACAAGGACTATCATGTATTCATTTCTAAGAAAATATTCTGCAATTTCTAATTTATCATAAGACTAGATTAAAAGTCTGTTTATATTCAGACCAGCTATTTTGGGAGTCCCTTTAAATATTTATGGAGCAGAATTTGAATTCTTTTATGCTTTTCATTCAATCCCTTGTATTGGATTCAGAGTCAGATATCAAAACAAATCCATATACTTTAGTGGTGACACATTTTATGATCCAGTTAAAATCGAGGAATTATAGAAATAAGGGCATTTAAATTAGGCAAGATGCAGATAATTGAATTCTCCTAAATTCACAGAAGATATTATTTTACATGAAGCTGGAGTTCCTCCCATTCACACCCCTTAGACAGTATTGTCCTAATTACCCAATCAAGTGAAGAATAGAATGTATTTAGTTCATGTTGCTGCTAAAGATGTGCTCAAAGGATCTGGTTTGAAAGTAGCCAAACCAGGTATTGAGAATACTCTGATCTTAATTAGACCAAATGTCTAATAAGATATCCCATTAAATAGAAAAATGGATATAATAAGTAGAATTGACATTTTCGATAAACTGACTTTGAATAATGCCAAATTTTTAATGGATGCTCTAAAGTTAGAAAAGTATAAGGAAGGTGAATTAGTAATTTAAGAGAATTAAGAGGGACATAAATTCTATATCATAGAGTCTGGTTTGGCTAAGGTCTTCTCTGATTAGAAAGAGAACAAGTTTTAAAGATATTTATAATCCGGAGACTATTTTGGAGAATCAGCCTTGATCTAAACTGGTAGGAGAAGAGCCTCAGTACTAGCAGTGACTGATTTAAGGGTGTTATCTCTAGACAAACATGATTTTTGGTTTATATTTGGTGATGGATTTGAAGGACAAGGACCAGTGATTGAACAAATGATGTAATTGATGGAAGCTAGAAAACAATAAGCCATACAGATCTTGTTTAAGTATGAAATTATAGTATATATTTAAATAGAAATTCACATTTTTCTCAATTGACTCCAACTCAAAAAACTTAGTTAGAGATGATTATGCAATAACAGGAAGTCAGTAAAGGTCAAATCTTATGGAAGAAAGATGATGACGCTACTTTTGTATTTTTCATTAGAAAAGGTGCATTTGCATTTATTGACTGTGAAGAGGCAGTAAGATTATTGATTAAACTAGAAATTGGAAGAGTTTGATTCTGGCTCATTTATAGGGGAAATTAACGCTATTTTGAAGGGAAACAAATTAACAACTACAATCAAGGCAGTTAGAGAGGGATCGATATTAAAGATAGAATCTAATGCATTTGCTAAGTTTTTATAACGCAACCCTGGACTGTTATTGTTATTGCAAGAGTATAAATATTTAGAATGACATAATAATCAATTCAAAATATCATTATTTTGAAATATAATATAAATAATAATACATTAACAGATATTAAGTAATTCCTGTTTTTTAATATCGCAAATTTAAACAAAAAAAAACTTTTAGGACTTAAATTATTATTATTAATGAAAATATTGTAGCTTCTATTAATTAGCTGTTCAATTATGTTAACACATCAGATGTTTTGTAACTATTTCCCTTTAGATTCAATTGCATGTGTTAGCAAAACATAAGGAATAAAATGTAAATTGAATATCTAATTTAGGTTATTACAATTAGTTTGAGAGTTCTTGCATGGATACTTCATCGACAAGTCATGGTTGTTTACCGACATTAAATCAGTTAGCATGCTTAAATTAACTTACTAATCAGATTGGGGAGGAAGCTCGATGTAAGAATTATAAATAATGAATTAAGGCATATTTGGAAAGAGATGTGTATCAATTAAACCTACTCATCTGGCAAAGTTAGGTTGCTATGAGAGGTTCTCGAAGTACTCATGCACAAATGTAGCTAACAAGGATTGTATTTGGAATGGAAACAAATGCACTGAATATTTAAGTAATGTTCCCGATGGAGATTAATGTGAGGCTATATTTGGAAATTCTGTAACACCTTCTATGTGTTAGAAGATTTAAAATTTGAAATGTAAGCTTCTAACTTAAAATTAGGCATGAATGGCGGCTTTTCTCAAGATTACAAATGTGTAAGTGTCAATGAATAAGGATTAGCCAAGTTGAAATGCACAGGTCTAGGAATAAACTAAGATACTTGCATTTCAATTACAACTTCCAATCAATAATGTATTAATATCAGTATATTTAAGGTATATTCATTCAGAACAAGTGTCAAGAGATAAAATCAGTAAACATTAATAAATGTGAAATGAACTTCAATAGGCTAGGATGTCTTGGTATTTATAATCCAAAGTTGCTGTGCTAATGGAAATCAGGGAAGTGTTAAAGCTTTGTTAAAACAATAGATTTAAAATGTGAAAACGTTAAAGAAGTAAATTAGAGTGTTTGTTAATAATTCGAAGGTAAATGTAAATTTGATACTTAAAACTTTGTTTGTAAAGTACCAGCAATTGCAGATAAGTTAACATGCAATACATAAGGGTTAACTAAAGAACTTTGTTTATCATTGAAAAATTAATATTGTACATTTACGAATGGTAAATGCGAATCGATCACCTTAGAAGATTTAAAATAATTTTAATGTGAAATGTCACTAAATGAAGATGCTTGTGTGAATGTATTAACATAATATCAATATTGTAAATGGGATGGATAAAGTTGCATTAGATAAATTATAAATCAAGATTTAGATTGTGAATTAAATAAAAGTGATACTACTACTAAATATAATGGAAATGTATGCTAAGCAATATCAAAGCCAAATGTATCTTGTAAATACAATGCATCAACTCATCGATGTGTGAATAGTGATGTGAATGATTTGTGTGAATCTCCATATATAAATTTATTTGGATGTGTTAGTATAACAAAACCTGGAATACCTTGTTAATGGACTTTAAATGGATGTATTTAGATAGAAATTAAGTCACTTGAAACTACGTGTAATAGTTTATAATTTGCAAATCCCAATGCTTGTTCTTAGGTGTATGAGAATTCTTCAATAGGGTGCTATTTTAATTAAGCTACATCTAAATGTGACAGTATTGATACAAGTTCATCTATTGGTTAAAATTTACTCAACACTCTTGAATGTTAAAACAAAAAAATAGGATTAAACAGAATAGCATGTGCATCCATTACTACATAAGGATAAATTTGCAGATGGAATCAAAGTTAATGTTAATAAATAAGAAAGAAGGTGGATGTAGCTTAAGTGGAATGCTTAAAAATGCAATTTGTTAATCCTCAAGCATGTGCACTAGTTGAATATGGAAAAGAACCATGCAGATACTTAGAGGTAGAGAAGAGTTGTGTTAATTCAGTGATCTCTTCTATGACATGCAATACAGCTGGGTTAAATACATATGCATGTGCTTAAGTATCAGGCAGTTGTTATTTTGATACAGAGTTGAATTAATGTAAAGAATTAGACTCTGCTAATCCTGATAGTGCAGCCCAGGTAACTGAGTTACTCTAAAACATGTAATGCTAATCTAGTTCCCCCACTAGAGATGTTTGCACATAGATAATAACTATTGGATAATTATGCTAATGGTCAGAACGATAAAGTAGATGCTTGGATTAATCAGTCTTATTAAATCAAAAGTGTTCTAATTACTCAACTGATGTTAAAGTAAATGCTAATGTTTGTGCTGCTATTGAGATGGAATTTCCAGATTATGATTTCAGAATTGGAATTAATAGTGATGTCGACAGAGGGTATTGTAAATTTATGCCTGAGTCAGGTACTTGTTAAAAGAATACTGATTTATGCACTACACCTTGTTGTACTGAGAAGATTGGAATCAATGCTCATTCTTGTAGTAGATATTCATCCTAAGCTGTTGGTGTTTATTGCTTTTTTGGATCCAATTTAAGATGTTAGCAATTGACTTCAGATATTGTTGATATTTCAAAGCCAGATGTGGTCAAGAACTACTACAATTCAAACTAGATGAGATGTTCTTAAATGAATAGAAATTCATGCCATATGATTGAATGGTCAACAAAGCAATTATGTTACTACAATGGAAAATCCTGTGTTAATATAAATTACTCTAATTATGGAAATTTAGATGTTTTCATATAATTTCCAGCTATTCTAAACAAATATGGTTGTCTAGCAATAGAAGCAACAATCACAAATAGAAATACTTTAAAATACTTTTTATACGATGATATAAATAAAAGATGCAAACCAAATATTTAAACAAATTATGCTACTTGTAATGCAGCAGGAGGAAATAGTAATGTATGTTTAAGATTCACCCCAAATGTTTTATGTAAATGGAATCCAATTTTATTAACATGCTAAGAAATTACTTCTGACGAATATGATGAAATTTATACATGTTCATATAATCAGAATTATAAGGCATGCATTGAAAATCCAAACACAGCCTGCTAATTTTCATTTACAACTGATAAATGTATTGATGCACCTACCGATGTCGATTGCGATTACTTTAACTCTAATGGTCCAGTGGGTTCAACTGCTTGTGAAAGAATTACTAAAGATGGATAATTATGTGAATACAATTCATCTACTTAAACTTGCAAGTATACAAACATGTCAAGCAATAAGTGCTCTGTACCAGGAGCTAATTCTATAACCTGTTATAAAAACACAGGAGGGTTATGTAGATGGGATCCTCAAGCTTATGAATGTTACGAGAACCAAACTGAAATTTCATTATTGGGATGCGAAGATTATATCAACTAGAATTTGTGTATATTAGTAACAAAAGAACCATGTTATTGGGATAATACCAAATTTAAATGCTTAAAATTAACATTAACAGATAAATAGTTTGTTTCATCGAATAATTTATATAATAGACTAGGGTGTTATTCAATTACAGGAGGTGCCTTCTATCACGATTCTGATTACACATGTGTTTCATTATCAGCAAAAAACAAAGATTGTTAAGCTTATTACTTAAACGAATATGCTTGTTTATTTCATACCCAAGGTCACAATTGTTACTTTGATTACAATTAATCTCCATCTAGTCATAAGTGTAAACCATTTAATAGTGACTAAACTAAATGCTCTTCAGCCATTGCAATCAGCGTTGAAGTTTGTATGCAAATACCATCCAGTTGTTATTTCAATTTAAATACACTCAAATGTGTTGATGTTGAAATTACTGAAACTTAAACATGCACTAATCTTAAATCATAACAAACAATTGGATATTATTACAATAAAATAGCTTGTGTGTCAATAAGTCAATATCTAGATTAAACAGATGGAAATAAGTAGTGTTTAGGAGCGACTAATAATGTTTAATAATGCAATTTTGAGAAATATTGCTTTTGGGAAACAGCAACAAAAACTTGTGAGATTTTGCAGCCGACATATAATTATATATTTTATTCGAACTACAGTTATAATTGCTAAGATGCAAATGGCAATAGTTCTACTTGCACACGATCGTTATGTGTAGAGTAAGACTTAATAAGCAGTAAACCAATTTGTTTGGATACATATTCAAGAGCTCTATGTTTAGAAATGGTTTCTGAATAATGTTATTTTGATATCAATTAAGGCGGGTGTCTTTCTTTAAGCAATAATTAACATAAACTACCTGATTGTTCTTCAATAGTTTAAACATGTAATGTGAGTTCAACCCCTGGGGTAATATGTGAGCTAACTTCAGCAGATCCAGATTAATAACCAGGAAAATAATGCAAATCCCTAGTAAGAAGCATCAGAAAATGCATCAACAATGGTACTGTCCAATTAGGATTAACATGTAATGACTATAAAGATGAAAGCAGTCCAATAATTTGTGCATCTGCCACTGATGCATGTAGGTCAAACAATAAATGTATATCAAGTTAGCCAAGTATTGGTTAAGGTGATGTTTTATCAGACAAATGCGATAAAAGTATGAGCAAAACAATGTGTGAAGCTATGGGCTGTAACTTTACTAAACTTAATTATTGTTAAAAGACAGATTCAGTACCTTAAAAAACTAGCGCTAATAAATATTACTTATGCTATGAAGTTAATAAACTTTAACTAGCCAATCGAGATGCAATCTGTAGTTAAGTTGATTAATCTTGCATTTACTCAAGTAAATGTGAAGATGCCACAGGATTTACATGTGCTTAATTGATCAGCAATAAAGTAAGCAAAAAGGCTTGTATTAGTTGTTCAGGATCTAAGGTTAAATATGATCCTGTTACTTATAGATGCTCAGTAGTAACGACTGAAACTTTTACTTCATGTGATGGAAATCTAAATTAATCAGCTTGTTTAATCAATACTCCAAATCTTCTATGCAAATGGGATTCAAATTAATGTACATTGATTTCAAATTTGTCGGATGAAACCAGTAAAGATTGCAGTATATATAACCAATACACATGCCCTTAATTAACTGCTGCAAACTGCTATGTTAATATTTCTACTTCCCTTTGTTCTCCATTTAATCCTTTACTTTCTAAATGTGCTGATATTAAATTAAAGTAATTGTGCATTTAATCTAATTTCGAGAGATGCAAATGGGATAATACAAAGACTGATAATTAATGCGTTGGAGTTACTTCAGAAACAGATTATACAGACTGTAGTATTGCAAATTAATATGGTTGTTTGAATATGGTATCAAAATAGTGTGGTTGGTCATCTGAAAACAATGCTTGCTACAGCTTTAATAAAGAATCAAATTTCAATTAGTGCAATGACTTTGTACTAATAGATTCTAGTAATCAGGATAGAAATCTAGTTACATTTAATAGTTTAGTATGTTCTAAGCTAGCAATTGACAAGGCATGTATTAGAGATGAATAATATAGATGCAGAGAAGCTGTTTCTGCAGATATTTTGAAGTGTAATTCTCCTGGACTTAATAAATATGCATGTGTGAATAGGGCAGTCGGTAAATGCAAATATGACACAACTTCATCTTCTTGTGTTGAGGATTTGACTACTACAATTGGATGTTCAGATTAATTAAATGTAGAAGCTTGTATTAATCAAGATGCTATTTGTAAATTTGTTAGTAACACTTGTTAAACATATGACATATCTACATATCAAACCGTTAAAGATAGTGATAAATTTCCCTATTCGATGAAAGTATGTTCATATTTTGACAATAAAATAACTACAAGCATTGTTTACAGTTTTGAAAAGATGAGATGTGTTAAAGCAACTAATAGAGAACCATTTATTACTAACTGCTCATAATTAGGAATTAATAAATTTGCATGTTTAAATAAAACAACTGCCAATTGTCAATATAATTAGACCAATAAACAGTGTCTTTCAGTAACAAGAGAAATGCTTACTAATGCTAATACATGTGATCCTACATTTAATTGGGCAGCCTGCATATAGATTAATGCAAAATGCCAATTTAAGGATAATTAATGTTAAGCTGTTCCCGATACGACATTGTGTTAGGATTTGTAAGATGCATCAATAACTACAAATTAGGTAGTGTGTTTAACAAGACAGAATGCAACTGATAAAGCATGTAAATGGAACACTCAAACTAAAGTATGTAATGTTGTCGACGGTTCAACTGAAGTCTGCTCACAACCTGGTTTGAATAAAAAAGGGTGTATCTTTAATACTTTAGGATCAATGTGTATTTATTTAGATGGTTAATGCACAGATAATTATGAAAATGTCAATTGCACTAGTCTAGTAAATAAGGACAAGTGTTACTCTATCAGAACCAAAGGATAATATTGTAAATTTGATCCAGATTTAGGTTGTATTGATACACCTTAGACTACTTTAGCAGTATGTTTGAATACATTTAAGACAAATCCATTATCATGTTCACTAAGCACTGATATTCCTTGTTTCTATGATAATACTAACAATGTTTGTAAGAAATTTGAATATCCAATTGATTCAAAATATTCTTTATTTTATAGTTGGTCTAATAGATTATCATTTAATAAGTAGGCATGTTTAATGTACGTTGAAAATAATTTAGCTGTTTACTGGATGGATGAGTGTCTTGAAATTCCAACAAGTGAATTTAGTTCATTAACATGTAATAAACCAGTTAATAAGTGGGGTTGTTTAAAAATAACAAATCCACTCTCAAATTGTTAATTTAATTTGGTAACATCAACGTGTGAAGAGGCAGATTTATCAACATTCGTAACAAAAAGTTGTAGTTAAATTGTCAATGTTAACAATGGCCGATTTTGTGAAATAAACAATACTGCTAAAAGTTGCTAATATGATAATGCTAATCGTGCATGCATTGAAGTTACAACTGCTATCACTGAGTGTGAAAATAAGGGATATAATAAAATAGCTTGCAATCCTGATACTACCCCTTGTTAATTCTATAATAACAAATGTTTTACAAAATCAGCAACAGGTAAATTATTTTGTTCGGATGCCGCTTCTAATCTTGAAGATTGTAAAAACGTATAAAAGGAAGGATGCGATACCTCTTGTAAACCAATCCCCGATTATTCAACAATTAACTGTGAGAATGCTATCAATTCATATGGATGCGCAAAAATTGTTAAATCTTAACAATATTGTATATTTACAAATTAGAAATGTACTTTTACCAATCCTAAAACACTTTAGAGCACAATTTGTAAAAATATAACTAACATCAATAATCCAATATTTTGTGAATAATCAGGAGATGTAGGTTGTTATTATGATCAAGATTCTCATTCATGTAAAACTACTAACAATAAAAGTGTGTTTGGATGTGTCAGAGGTATCAATTAAATAGCATGTTTGGCATCAACAACATCTACTTTATAATGCAAATTCCTTGATTATTGTTATGGACCCAACTCAGCATTTCTTAGTTGCGATGTGACAGCCAATTTAGATCCTAATGCATGTTGTTAGAATGCAAGCACAATAGAGTCTTGTCTATTTTAAGATAAATTAAAATGTTCTTGGAATCCTAATACATCAGCATGTGTTCCATATGTGGCTGAAGAGTTGGAGTGTGGAATGATACAATTTAAATCAAAGTAGGTTTGTTTATCAAAAGTGGGCACTTTTTGTGTTTTTAATACTGAATTAAAGAAATGTGAATAGATTCAACCAGTATCATGCAATTAAGCATAATCTTATTAGCAATGTTAATCAATTGATATGATCCCCTGCATTTGGGATAATTTGTATTAGATTTGTAAATATAAAGTGAAGGAGAATCAAGATGAATGTGAAGATATTAAATAAGGTTATGGAAATAGGTTGGCTTGTCTATCTGTTGAAAGATTAGGCTAAACTTGTTAGTTTATTGGTGGTTAATGTGAAACCTACAATGAATCAAAAACTGACAATAATTGTTTAAGTAATATCAATAAAGTTGCATGTACCTAATAATAATCTAGTAAATGCTATTGGAAATACTCAGTTATTAAAATTAAAAAGACTTCATGGAGTTAAGAAACAGACTTATAAATTGGAGAATGCAATGTATTTACTGATTTTAATACCTCATCATGTGAAGAATATTTAAGTTACTTATCCTGTTTATCAGTATCAACAACAGGTAAGTAATGCAGATGGTAGAGTGGTAAATGTTAATAAATTGAATTCAGCAAATCATCCATATTTTCACCCAAAGACCTAATTTTAGTGAACAGCAATGCCTGCAGTTTAATTAATAATGGAGATATTGTATAGTATAATCCAAAATCATATACTTGTAAATTGGTTAGTGACTTACAGTCGATAACTTGTCAACCTCTATCTGATGGTATAAATAAATTGGCTTGTCTCAAAATAAAGTCTTAATCTTGTTTATGGGATGATGTCAGTTTGAAATGCGTATTCAAAAACACTAGATTACTTGTTGAAGAACAAATTCAATAGAATCGATTACTGTAATCTTCCTTTACTTGCAAAAGAGATGGCATAGGTCCTAAATTATGCAAGTAACTTAATTTTGAACTTCCTTGTGGTTCAGTTGATGACGGATGTGACTTAATTAATCTCAATACTGCAACATGTGAAGATCCAGGATTAAATAAATATGCATGTTTAAACCTAACCACAGGACCTTGTGCTTGGGTTAAAGATGATGATTCTGAATATTATCACTGTGAGGAATTCTACCCATATACCACTTGTGTAGACATCGAATACAGCATTAATTCATTAGCTTGTACATATGTAGAGGATGATCCATGTGTGTATAATAAAGTAAAGAAAAACTGTGAAACTCCTACAGTGTAATATAATGTTTGTGAGGTTGAAGGTATCAATGCAATAGCATGTTCCAGTATTAAAGGATGTTTATTTAAAGACTAAAAATGCATCACTTGGGATCCAAATTATAATCTACTTTGTAATCAAGCAGAGAAAGCTAATCAATCGATTTGTTAATTGGCTATTGATAGATGTAAATATAGTGAATTGACTTTTGGATGTGTTGCATCCACTATTACTGATAATTGTTATACAAATGGTTTGAGTGCTCTTGGATGTAATGTGCTTGATGAATGTTCTTGGAGTAGTAATTCTTGTCAATGCATTTCTTATTAAACTAAATTTCCGGATTGCAGCAGTATTGGTGAATACACAAAATGTGCTAATATAGATTACTGTTACTTTGAAGTTTCTTAATCAAGATCCAGTAAGGATATAACATAATATTTAAAAAACACCAATTATGGAACTTGTAGAAACAAAACTTGTGCAGACGTAGAAGTCAACAAATGCAATTCTACTACTATTGATCAAACTGTTTGTTATTTGAATTCCAAAGCCAAATGTTTAGCAGCCAATAAGTGCGAAGACATCTCTGATGCCTCATTAAGTTGTTTACAATATGAAGTAAACAATCAATCTTGCAGAAGCAAATCAAATAATACTTGTTAGACTTTAGATTGCAATCAAATCATGGATAAATCAGAATGTGAATTATACACTAATGAATGTGTCTTTGCTGGATACTGTAAAAAAATATCATGTGAATATATGGGTAAATCTTAATGTTTAGTTAATAAATGTGATTGGAATTCAACTTTAGAAACATGTTAAATACAATTAGATTGCTCTTAAATTACCGTTGTTGATACTTGCATTGGTAAGAGATAAGGAGATTATCAGTGTGCTTGGTTAACCACGATTGGTGGATAAAAATAATGCACTTCTACAGGTTGTCGCTATCTTGGTTCATAATAAGGAGATTGTATGGGAACTCATATAGGAACTGACGTTTGCGTTCAAATGATCGATTTTTCTTGTGTTGCTTGTTAAGAAATCAAGGATGCTTGCATTTGTCTCAACCAATCTCAATTTTGTACGTATGACAAGATCAGTTAAAAATGCAGTTCAAAGAGTTGTCAACACCATAATAAAGACGATTGTCCAGTTACTCATTGTAAATTCAACTCAAATACAAAGGTAATAACAAAATATTTATTATTCTAGATTTGTCAACCTTTGTGTTAATACAACTATAATCAATAGTAATGCAATCAAGATGATCAATGCCTTTGGAATACTACTAATCAAATATGCGTTGCTTATATCAAACCAGTTGTAATCGAATAAATCAATCTGCCTTCGCCCGATAGCAATAGAATTTTAGATATCATTATTCTAATACTCATTATGATTTATTGATTATAAATGATATTTATTAATCATATTTTATTAATCATATCTTTGGCAATATTTTCAAATGAGCAATTACTATAGCTTCATTAATTAAATTGTATCTTCCCACTTGATACTGATCTTGCATCTCCTTTCCCCTATAAAATAGCTTCATGGATTCACACTAAATTTGATTCCTCTTCTGTAACTCAACATTCACTACATCCTTCAAATCCACTACACTCTGGCTCTACTTACACTCCACATCCATATCCTTCCCATTCAAATTCACACTTCGAATCAGTAATTTCACAGTTTCATTACCAGAATTTTAAATTAAACCTCTATCCTCAAACTTCTCGGCTGAGAATTCTATTGGATCATTTATGCAAAATATTGGTACATCGTATTTTTGTCCTAATTTATCATAAACATGTTGTAAGGAATCCTTTATTGGTTTCAATTCAGCCTCCTGAACCAGAAAACGGGCAGTTTCTAATATACTTTCATCTCAATACCCTCATCTTCATTTATTATCGACCTCAAGATCTACCAAATCTCTTGTCTCCCTTCCACTCTGGTTTCTTAAATCAATTATATATTTCATAACTTACCCCAAAAAATATTCCTCAACTTTTCGATCTGAGCTATGTCTATATGACTTTTGTATGCAAATGTTCTCTTCAAACCCTTACCACTAAATTGTTGATCCAAAATATCAAAATATATTTTATATTATTCATTCACATCCTATAATACATTCCCATTCGGTTGTTATCTTGCAATCGCCCTAGGCATCCTTTATGAATCATGACCTCCCTAATTGTTTCCTTCCCTACTTTCGCTATGAGAACAACAACTTCCCATTCTATTTATATTTTTATTATATTAAAATATAATCATAATTGAGTTTTCATCTATTTAGTTATTTGCTTCCTATAATCTAGATCTCTCATTAATTTTGATTTAGAAGCATTATCTGGTTCCGTGAATCTTTTTAAATAATTGTCAATTTTTTCTTATTTTGATTTTACCGAACCATGCTTCTACTCATTTTCATTCTCTTTTAATAAATAAAAAGAACTATTTAGTTTAGGTAATAAGAGAGCATGACAATGTTTTTGCCTTTGTGAATTATAAGAGGCAGATCTAAAATTGCCTTTGACCTTTCTTTATTCAATTATGGGAATCGCAAACCCTATTTTGTTGTAACGAGTGCTTTTAAATGGTATTTTTAAATAGAGATCTAAATTGAATTCCATTTACAATAATTTAAATAAATAAAGAATGATTATCATGAACTTCTTTCTAACTCATATATGATATTTAGAGAAAAAGGAAAAATAACTAAGAAAAGTTAGTTTCATGAACTATCTATATATAATAAAAATCTCTAAAAGTCATTATTTTTCTCTAATTTATTTATTGTTGGTAACGGAGGTTCTTGTTGAACAAAAAAATAAACTTATTTAATAGTGCGTATCTATTAAAGAAAGATAATTAAGATTTAATAATAATAAAATGATCAACATATTGATAAAAATACTTAAAGAAAGTTTACAAACTTAATGTTTAAGAATACTCCTAGATTCATTAAAAACTATTAAAACAAATGCGTATAAAAGCAGATTTTCTATAAAAAATATTCATACAATGCTAATATTGAAGAATTAATTATAATATATTTCGTATTAGCATAATTTTGATTATTTAATTAAGATTAATTTATCAGTTTTATTATAATAGTGATGAGAATCTATTTGTAGTTTGTGTCAATTTTCAAAGGTATTAGAGCATAATCGTTAATTTATAATTGTATTTGTATATAGAGTATTAATTAATAATCATTTTTAACAAAACTTATTCAAATAGAAATCAAATTCGTTTGTATAAATAAAACTTATAACTAAATAAACATAAAGCAACAAATTATATTATCGCCATAGATATCTAAATGATTTAAAATGTTAACAATTTATGGAGCTTATTTCCTTAATAAACACCAAATTATTAGTTTTCTTTGTCATAAATGCTAATAATAGCTTGCATAGCAGGATCACCCAAAATTGTATAATCATGAGTTGTCTATCCAGCTTTTGAAAAACAAGGTTTGCAGTATTAGCCAACTGATGGAATCATGTAATGTTCAGGAGTGATCTCAATTTTCACTCCAGCCAAATAGATATTCAAATTTGGATAAAAAGGTGAATTGCAGGGACAAGAATAACTACTAATGCAGTTGGCTAAAATGTATCGATGCAACATATAATTAATGATCTCTTCATCAAGCCATAAGCATGAGGAACCTGAGTCCATTAATGCAATAGTTCCATTTTTTAAGGTTACCTTATCTGTCAAATCAATCTCATTAATAAAAAACCCATATACTTTCATACTCTATCTTAATGATTACATAAACATACCCATTAATGGTTAAGGACATTTGGCATCCAAACAACTTAATCCAAGTAATCTTGGCTAAAGTTATTATACAACAAGATGGACTATTATGGATTTCGATTCAAATTTAAACCAAACATTGAAGTTTCCAATAATTTCTATTAATAGCCGTATTCAAAAATGTTTTATCTATCATTATAACTCGATAATCCTAAGAGACCTTAGAATTTAATCTAATATCTAATTAATAAAGATTGGTTACTCCTGGCATAGTGAATACATTTGCTAACATGAATTTCATGGAGACATTTAAATTGCCATTAGTCAGACTAACATAATCTTACACAAACTTTCCACTCAAGGAACCAATATTGTAATTAATTGAATGATCTTCGTCAGCTTATTACAAAGTGGTAGATTTATTTGGATCAAATCTTGGAAATATGCATCCTTCACATGTTTAATTTGATATCCAAGTGGTCTAAGAGTGCTTGCATATATTGTTACCACTGATCCAGTGTCTACAACTATGGAGAATACTTATTCTGGAGTTCCAAAACTTGCATTTATGTAATAAATGATGTTTGCATAATTATCTAAGGGAGCTTATTCAATAGTTGTATGTCTATTTAATTTGATTTGGTTATTGGAAAAGGGATGACTCTTTAGTTTGTGTTTTGCTTGAATGGTTAGAATAAGCAAGACAAATGTAGTTATCATGGATTATTTACTAATTGAATTATATATATTTTTAATGAATAATTCAATCCATAATTGGTTATTGTAATTATATCTAAGCATAATATGTGTGATCGTTATTTTCTTAAATTGATTAGAAAAGCTCATCAAAGTTATCATAAATTAATTTGAAGCTATAATCACTCACTTCAAGTTGCACCTAAAATTAATAAATTTTATATACTGGACTTGGTTATTTGACTTTCATGAATATCTAAGCCATGTTTTTGGGAACTTCACTTTTGGTCCATTGATAGTTATAAATGTTAAATTTGGGAACATTTTCTTCACCATCTGCATTTCCTCCATCTTTTGGTTCATCATCGCCACCATCACCTTCTTATTTAGGAGGTGGAACTTCTGGTTTCTCTAAAACCCATTCAGGATCATTGATTTCTGAATTTAATGGTTGTTCAGTAATTGCATATAAGACTTTAATCTATCCCAATGTTTTCTCAACCATCATTAATTCATCAGTAGCTCTTGGGAATATCTGTTCCTATTATTATTTATCTCCTTATTAATCAGCTGATATGTAACCCCACAACAATACATCTCTATATGTTAATTAATATGAATTCTTACCTGCTTTGAATTGGTAAATCATCTATGTATTACTTAACTAATTTCATGACTGTTTCAGGAGTGAAATTGGATGGGTTCTTACAATTTTATTTAGTCCATCTCATTTCATAATCGTTGGATAACTTTTCAAAGTTCTTGGCTATCAATTATTCAACATCAACAAATGCCATTCTGTATTTTGCAGCAATATTGATGTAAATCAACTTTAATGCTTCATAGATATCAGAATCCAAATTAGCTAAGATTGATGCCAAATAAACTCTCTTTCCAAATATCTAATCAATTGATTTTAAATTCTATTCCAAAGAATAATTTGTGTCCTATTTGAATAATTTACAATCAGGTTGTGATTACACATACACTTAAGCTTACTTTACAACATCCTCATGTGCCTTAACATTAGTAATCAACTTGTCTTTGTCCTCATCTGTCAAATCTTGCCCAGGTTCAGCTCCAGTACAGATTTTATATCTGATCGAATAATTAGCTTAGTCTAATCCAATATTTAACACCCAACTAGCTTATCCCAAATTTAAAAACTACAATATCTACTCTGGTTTTTCACATCCTGGGGGGAATCTAACAAATTAATATTATGCAATACCCATCAAATACATACTTTTCATTTGTGACATTACTAAACAAATCCTTATAGTATTTGATTATCATAGGCAATGTCAATTCTTCTATTTATTCTCCAGGAACTGTGCTTAACTTCTCTTTCAATTAAATAATTGCAGCTTCTCCCCATTCAATCAAATTAAAACCGAATTTTTATGAGATATACTTAGCAAATGTTGTCTTACCTGACATTGCAGGGCCAATGACAATTCCATATTTCACTCTCTTTGTTAAATAAGACTAAAAGGGTCCCAAATCTTCATTCTAAATGATCAGATTCTTGCCTTCTGCTGAGTAATGTAACACTGGATTTATTTTTGCAGAGAATGACACAGCCTTTCCTTCCTTTAAGAAATTGATCAATCCTGTAATTGGAAATAACTTGTCCTCAAATGTTCTAAACTCCTAATATTTTTCAGGAAAACTTGTAAGAACAAATTTATTCTATTGTGGATCATTATACAAGTATTTCCTCAATAATTCTATTTACATTTATGGTGGCACAACTTAACCTGAGTTAAGGAAGGCTCCCATTTATTTTCCTTAAGGGGTTCCCTTTGCCAACTCTTCCTCACAGAGTGTTTCCAAATGCAAATGTTTAAATCCCAATTCGGCTTCTAACTTATTCAAATAGTCTTCTGCCAATTCCTCATTATTATAGGTGAGAGCTACCAAAACCTTTGGCTTTAAAAAACTCATGATGGATTGGATTATTAAATCTGATGATTATTAAAAATTATTCGACAATCCTTTTTATACTGCATCGACAGTTACAAAGAATTGAAACTTCTTTAAATAAGCTAACAGTTCATCACGATTTTAGAGGAAGCTGCTAAATCTCTAAAAACGACTTTTCTTTTGCTCCTCTGTACTCAATAATCTGATATTTTATTCAACTTCGTCTTTGCTAGATTAGAAATATACGACGTATCTGGGTTTTTGATAATGCTCAAAGAATACTACAGCTTAAGCCTTTTTATCTAGAAATCCATCAACAACATAGTTTTTTGGTTCAGCTTAGAACACTTACATCAATTTGTTCAATTTATCAACTTCTGTTTATGCTTTTACTTTCGCATAGAATTCATCTAAGTTGAAATAAACATATCCTGTTTATTTTGCAACTTATTAGGCCACATAAGATTTTGCAGTCGCTGGTGGTCCATAGAAAAAAATGATATTTGCTTTTTACATTTTTATTTAATTATTTATTTATTTCATTTAAGTCCTTATTTCTAAACTTAAATAATAAATATTTCAAACTGCCTTCTCCTTTTCACATTTTGCAAAATTCTCAAAACTGAAATGCTCCTTAGGGCTCCTACTTGAAAATATGTAAAGTAATTAAATTCTAAAGAATAATAATTTTTATATATAAAATAATACACTCTAGAAGAACAAACATCAAATTTATAAAGTATTCAATACAATAAATGATTTAACTTAAAAAATAAGTATCAATATAAGTTTTATCATTTATATTAATCATAAAATTTGAACACTTGTTGATTTATGTGAAACAAGGGGAAACATAATGTGAAAAAATTTATAATGCTGATAGGTCTATAGAGGTGACTAGTGATTAGGGAAAATAAGAATTAAGTAAATATAGGACATCAATATCATCATTATTAGTTAATTATTTGATTCAATATAAAATAATTATATAAAACGAAAAAATACTCAAAAGTTCATTATATATATAAAGTGTAAAATTGTTACAGAAGATTTTCCTAAATTCCTAGTCTAAATGTAGAACTGTCAACTCTCTGAGTATTGTTCTGAACTTACTTTTAATGAAGTTCTAACTCAAATTTGATTGGTTTCATTTAAACATTTATTTAATTTTATGAGTATAACTTACATTTTAAAATTTAAATTAATATGAAAAACAAAGGTTAATAGTAGCATACACTAGCAGTGAAGAATGGATCATTAATGAATCCAGAAGGGTAAACAATTAATGGTTTGATTGATTTGATTAAATTGAAAAGCCAACCTAAAATAGTTTACTATTTTGATTTCTTGGTTTGTATAGATTAATCAGGAAATCCATTCATTTTTTATCATGACAAAAATAGATACATTAACATTCCCACAATTAGTCCAGCTCATTTAATATCATATATTGATAACAAAGGAGGTTAACTAGCAATTGCATTGTAAAATAAAACTATTCAAATTGTGTCTTGTTAAAGTATATTTCTATTCTAAAAATTAAGATGGGAGAAATTTGAAAACCCTGAAAGGTCATGAACATCAAATCTTAAGTATGCATACCAATCACACTTAAAATCTATTGCTTTCTGTAAGTCAAGATTAATGTATTTTACATTCCTTAGACTCCTTTGACAAAGTTCATTCATTGTTCTCAAAAGGTAGTATATTTGTTGGAGCCAGTTTTCTACCGTCTTCAACTGAATTAGCCACTGTTATGGCAGATAAATCTTTGTCAATTTGGAATTTATCGTCATTTGAAATAATTAGCAGAATCTAACTACCTGAATAATTTAATATCAAATAATGTCAATTAGTACCATCTATAGATGGATAAAGATTGATAATAAATTGCTATTCAAGTAAAATTCACATCTTAGATAATAATAATAATTTAATAACTCAGGATGTAAATTAAGGATACGGCAATGGTGCATTATTAGTTAAACCAATAAAAAAATAATAAATATTGATATTAACTAAGAATTTCATGATTATCTAAGTAGATAGTAGTGGTAGTCTTATAAAATGCATGGAAATCTTGTAAGGAAAAACACCTACTCACTTTGATGTATATTAAAATAAGATTGCGATAATATTAAATACTGGAGAGATAGCCCTTTATGATCTGAATAAATTAAACAAGTAGAATTAGAATCTTAATTCAACCATTGGTGTAAATGTCAGTACTATGATTAAAGAAAATTATGCTGATACTCTTAATTTTAACAACACTACAACAAATATTGACATCAAAAAAGTTGGAAATAATACAAATACCTTATAAGGATCTTTTTCTTAATCAACCGTAAGTAAAAAGAACAGCAAATCGAATAGTATGACTTAACCTATCAATTCTTATACTTTAGGGAAAATATACAAGAACAGTGAAGATCCTTTGAAAGAACTTTTAAATTATTAGAAACTACAATAATTCTTAAAGTAATATCATGTTTTTCCAGATGATAAAAGGAGCTTGATTTGGAGATCTTTGCTTAATTTACCAATGAACTAAGAAGCATATAATAATTTAATAAATCAAGGAGTCCATCCAGCTTATTAAAAATTAGCAGATCAATATCCTTTATAGAGTGAGTCTTTGTTTTCGAGATTATAAAGAACTTTATCTTGTTTGGCCTACTATTGTCCTTTATTCGCTGAGATTGATTATTTACCTTAGTTAGTATTTCCATTTGTTAAATTGTTTAAAAGAGGAGAAGAATTATTGATTTTTGAAGCCACACTCTCCTTATTGATATAACATTGCCAAAGATTTTTTGAAAATTTCCCTAATGCTCCTGTTTCTTTATTACAATTCCATGATCAAGTATTCAACTAAGTAGAACCTCAATTGTATTAACACATGAAATAATATTTGGGATATTCTCCAATTAAATATGCCTGGCCTTCAATACGCTCATTGTATACTAATCTATTGACAAAGAACTAGTGGTTGTAATTAATAGATCATTTGATATTGTACAATGACTTACCTTAGATGATTGTATTATTCATGGTGGAATACTTTATTTATTTTAAAAGTACCATTATGAAAATGAATGATCAAGATTAATTGGACCTCTTTTTTGGTAGAAGCAATACAGTTGAGATTGATAAACTCATAGAGAGCACAATTTATCTGAGCAAATCATTGGATATGGATTAATATTAGATTAATTTATAATTTCTATTGCCATTACAAAAGGATTAATATTAGCTCTTCAGTATTTATCCAAAAGGAAGTGTCTAATATTAAGCGAGAGTGAGGGAATAGTTATAGGAGGACGAATAAAGATTGATATAAAAGCAACAACAAATCTCAAGGTTATAATAGATGGCCCAATAGATGGAACAATTGGATTAGCTCTTCTAGGAGAAACAACTCTTGACTATGCAGGCGGAGAAAGATAGACAGGAAATGTTTGATTATTAAGTAGAAATGAGAGCCCAAAAGCAATTTTAATAGGATCAATAGGTTAGATAGTAAAGAATTAAATAATTGGAAAATTTAGAGAAAAATATGAATTCAGCAGTCTAAAAATAATTAGATTTGTAACAATAAGAATAGGAATTTTTAAATAAGTAATTCAGAAAAACTCAGTTGGCTGACAATTTTAGGATTGTCTCATTGTAAGAAGAGGAAGCATTACAAAATTTAGAGTATTAGATATTTAGTAAATTTCAACATCAAATGGAACAAAGATCTAAGTAAGAGAATCAAAGAAAAATTCAATCTCAATTGGAGTTTAGATCAAAGGAAAAGGAGTTATTAGATTAAATTAAATAAGAATAATGGAAAATGGATTCACAACAATAATAAATAAAAGTGGAATAGTTGAAGTAGTTAAGAATGCAATAAATTCAAGAACTCGAAAACGAGGCTTAGTTAGAAGAAGTTGAGTATTAGGAGAGAATAAATTAGTTTCAATAAGATTTAAAGATGATTTAGTTAGAAAGAGAAAAAAAGTTAAGAGATCAATTATTCTAGGAATAGATCAGCAAGGAAGAATTATAATTGAGAGATAAGAAACAAGTCGAGGACAAAAAGAGATAAAGTAGTGTATAGAGAAGGTAACAATTTGAATAGGAGATGGAGAGAATAGCCAAGTAACATTAAGAGAAATTGAGGATGTAGGAGTAGTAATTAATGGAATAGTATAAAAAATCATAGAGTTTTTCAAATTAACCATATTAACCAAATTACTATTAAAATAGTAATTATCAAAATAATTTTGAACAAAGCTCAGGTGATGTAAGAGAACCAATGACTAGTTAAAAATTATCAAGTGCATTGTATGATTTTCAATCAAGCCAGAAGCAGCAACAATTTTCACCTTCAATGTTGGTTGAAGATGAAAGAGAGAAGATAAATTAATTAAGAAATCAATTAAGAGATGAAATGTAAAATATAAGGGAAAGAGAACATGACGAACAATTGCAATCAATGTTGAGAGAAAGGGAATAGGAGATTTTTAAAAGAACATAGTAAATAAGAGATCAAATCAATTAAGAAGTTGAAAATAAAAATAATTCAAGTACACAATTTAATTCATATTAGCATATAACACAGGATAATTCTAAAAGGCAGTAATAATATTATAGCCCAGGATCATCATCACAATTTTCACTTTATAAACCATAATAAGAGGTGGATATCGAACCAAGAGACTTGTCGGAATCTTAGTTGACTTATAGTAGTGGATTCACCTCTCCAGGTTAACGTTATTGATAATTTATAATAAAATAATTTTCAAACTAAAACTTTTGGAGCCAAATGCTGTATAATTTAAAGTAAAGTCTAGTTTAAAAATATATTTATATATAAAAAATGGATCAAGATCCTGATTATTCTTTTGAACATTTATAAGAGTTAGCAAAATAAAAAAATATATCATATGTTTTAAAAAGAGATGGAGGAAAATAAAATATTGATATTTAGAAAATAGCAGAAAGATTATAAAATTTAGCTTCAAACCTATAGCATATCAATATAAACTTAATAATGTGGAAGGTTATTCAAGGAATGTATGAGGGTATTTAATATTCTAAGAATTTATTTTAGGAATAACAACTGTATAATTAGACAATTTGGCGGCAGAAACATGTGCTTATATGAATTTGGTTCATCCTCAATATTCTTTATTGGCTGCAAGAATAGCAGTCAAACAACCTTCATAAGGAAACAAGTGAATCCTTTAGTGAAGTGGCAATAAAATTGCATTCTTTCACAGTAAATTTTGTTAAAAATTCTAGGATAAATACGGTAGACCAGCTCCATTGATTGCAGATGATGTCTATAAAATAATAATGGACAATAAGGATATCATTCAAAAAGAGATAAATTATGAAAGAGATTATCAATATGACTTTTTTGGCTTTAAGACTTTAGAAAGAAGCTATTTACTAACGATTAAGGCAAGAAGCCAATAGAAAGGCCTTAATAATTGTTGATGAGAGTCAGCATTGGTATTCATAAGGAGGATCTTCAATCAGCCTTTTAGACCTATCATTTAATGTCTTAGAAGTACTTCACTCATGCCACACCAACATTATTTAATAGTGGTACTCCTTATCCTTAAATGTCATCATGTTTTTTGTTGGATATGGTAGATGATTCAATTGAAGGTATATATGAGACACTCAAGAGATGTGCTCTAATCAGTAAGTCAGCAGGAGGCATAGGATTAAGCGTATCTAAGATCAGATCATAAGATAGTTATATTAGAGGAACCAATGGAATTAGTAATGGATTGGTGCCTATGTTGAAGGTGTTCAATGACACAGCAAGATATGTAGATTAAGGAGGTGGCAAAAGAAAAGGATCCTTTGCTATTTATTTAGAACCATGGCATAGTGATATCATAAGTTTCTTATAATTGAGAAAGAACCATGGGATTGAAGAATAAAGAGCAAGAGATTTGTTTTTAGGTTTATGGATACCTGATCTATTTATGTAAAGAGTGAAAGATGACTCAGATTGGACTTTGATGTGTCCAAATGAATGTCCAGGTCTCTAAGATTGTTATGGTTAAGAATTCAACAAATTATACACTGATTATGAATCTAAAAATATGGGTAGAGTGACAATGAAGGCAAGATAATTATGGTAAGAAATAATTGATGCTCAAATATCAACTGGATTACCATATATGTTATATAAAGATGCTTGTAATTCAAAAAGTAATCAAAAGAATCTAGGTACTATAAAAAGCAGTAATCTATGCACTGAAATCATATAATATACATCACCTGATGAAGTTGCTGTTTGCAATCTTGCTAGTATTAATTTGTAAAAGTTAATCAAAGAAGATAAAACATTCAATTTTGATAAGTTATTAGAGATTACAAAAATAATTACAACAAATCTGAATATCGTCATTGATTTGAACTTTTATCCTGTTTAGTAAGCAGAATACAGCAATAAAAGAAATAGACCTATTGGAATTGGAGTCTAAGGATTTGCAGATGCTTTGCAAAGAATGAAAATCCCATTTGATTCAGAAGATGCCTTAGAATTGAATGCCAAAATCTTTGAAACTATCTACTATGGAGCATGTGAAAGATCTTTAGAATTAGCACAATAACTTGGACCTTATGAGACTTTTGCAGGCAGTCCTGCTTCCTAAGGAATTCTGCAATTTGATATGTGGGGTGTGAGTCCAAAATTATATGATTGGAATACTCTCAAATAGAATATTGTTAAGTATGGAATGAGAAACTCTTTATTAATTGCACCTATGCCAACAGCATCAACAAGTTAAATTCTATAAAATAATGAATCATTTGAACCTTATACAACAAATATCTATACACGAAGAGTTTTAGCAGGAGAATTCGTTTGCATCAATCCTCATTTAGTTGATGATTTGATTGAATTAAACTTATGGACACCCCAAATCAAGAATAAATTAATCATGAATAATGGTTCAGTCTAGAATATAGATGAGATTCCAACTAATATCAAATAATTATATAAGACAGTTTGGGAGATCTCCTAAAAAGCTATATTGAATTTGGCAACTTCCAGAGCCCCATTTATTGATTAGAGTCAGTCCTTAAATATCCACATGGCTGAACCAACTATGTCTAAAGTAACATCTATGCATTTTTATGCATGGGAAAAGGGATTGAAAACAGGTACGTATAAAATATAATTATAATTAGGAATGTACTATCTGAGAACTAGACCTGCAGCAGATCCTATAAAATTCACAGTTGATGTTGAAGCACTATTAAAAGAAGGAGGGCAAATAAAAATATAATAATCTAAATAAGAGTTGATTGATGAAAGTGCATCTAAAAAGATCGTTACTAATGAAGGAAAAACAGTAAAGAAGGGGAAACCTCAAATTATTGTTACTGAAGATGGTGATGAAGTTGAGGTTTGCCTAAATTGTGGCTCTTGAATATATTTATATTTCTTCTTTTATTAAAGAATTCTTTACTCTTGTGAATATAGATAACTAATAAAAAAAAGATGGATAATGTAATATACTTATGTAATTATACTCATTAGGCAGGCTATTCTGTTTCTTCGTTTCTTCTGGGTGCTCCTCTGTTTCCTCTTCCAAATGATCTTCCTCCTCTTCCACCTCTTTATCTTGTTTCGGGAGCATCATCTTCAAATTTCTTATCAGCCTTTTTGAATGTTGCAGGAATGACATCTTCTACGATACCTAGGAAAATGTAGAATTCACATAATACCCAATTTGTCTCTTACATATTTAACACCTTCTGCTTTGAGATAATAGTAGTAATATTGCCATGAAAATACTAAATCCACTAATTTTTTGTCTCTTAAGCTTCTCAATAACATCCAGACTTCAAGATTCTTAACTCCTGTTTCAGCATGTAATGGGAGTGCCATGTCCTATCATCATATAATTCATCGTATACCTTCTTAATTACAATAACACCTTCCAACAACAAATATTCGTAAACTTTTCTTCTATCTTGTCTCTTAACTTGAACCATGCAAAAATAATGGATTTATTTTTTATTTAAAAAATATTTAAACTAATTATTACAGAAAAATGGAAGAAAAAACTATGGAAATAACAAAGCTGGTATGTAGTACTTCTAATCATAGAAAATCGAATTAAATGCATAGAAGCACTTAAAGTAGATAAGATTTAAAACATTTGAAAACATTAGAGAATTGCGAGCCAAATTAGAATACGATGATTTAATAAAAGAATTTGATGAGCAATGCAATATTGTTGGTATTATCTAACTAATATTAGATGAACAATAAATAGACGAATAGTTAGATTAAAACGCAAAGGAAGAGCAAGCACATTATGCCTAAGTCTATGAAAAATCAATGTTGGCCAACTTAGATAATATCAATTTTGATGAGGTTCCAACCCTCGAAGAAGAGTATGTTTCATGAATATAATATTACTAACGATCATCTTTAAATTAATAAAACTTTTTCACAAATTAACTTAAATTTCTAGCTATGTGAATTATAAACTAGAAAATTTTTTAAATTTAAAGCATTCCATTTATCAAGGAATCTAAATTACCTTTAACAATATCATATAATAAAAAATTTCAATCCCGCCTAATTTGGTTGTAAATGTATTTTTTTATATTTAAGTTATAATTATTTAACGTATAATATAAATTTAGTTCTTAACTAATTTATTAGTTAACTTTAAATGATAGAATTAAAAAGTCTCCTTTAATAAATTGATACAATATATTAAGTTTACGGATTTTGATAAGAGAATACTTTAATAGTCTATTATTGTTTTGATTAATAATTTTAATATGATAATAAATTGAAGGATGAGAATAGAATTTTAAATTTAAATTAGTTTTTTAATAATAAATTCAAGATGAGTCAATAAGTAGTGACAATTAACGAGGAATAAAGAGAAGAGTTAGGATGAATAGATAAAGAAAAAAAAGAAAAAATTAAATTAAATTTTTAATTCTCGTAAAAATTAAAGAGATGAATAATATATTCCGATTCAAGTCATTTATGCGAACTCCTATGTTTTGGTTTAGTCAACCTATCCACAAGTTAATTAGAAACATTGGTGTTTCAGCTCATATAGATTCTGGGAAAACTACATTTTCAGAAAGAGTGCTTTATTATGGTGGAAGAATTCATGAAATTCACGAAGTAAAAGGAGCAGATTCAGCTGGAGCAACAATGGATTTTATGGAACTTGAGAAAGAAAAGGGAATTACAATTTAAAGTGCTGCAACTCATTTGAAATGGAGAGGACATTAAGTGAATTTGATTGATACTCCAGGACATGTTGATTTTACCATAGAAGTAGAAAGAGCATTGAGAGTGCTTGATGGTGGAGTATTGCTGATTTGTGGAGTGGCAGGAGTCCAACCATAAACATTGACAGTTCATAAATAAATGTCAAGATATAAGGTGCCAAGAATCATATTCATAAATAAATTGGATAGAATGGGAGCAAATCCATGGAGTGCTCTATAGAGTATCAGAAAGAGATTGTCATTAACAGTTGCAGCAGTACAAATACCAATCGGATAGGATTAAACATTCAATGGGTTAGTAGATTTGATTAAAATGAAGGCTTATTTCTTCGAAGGATTAAAGGGAGAGGATGTTAAGGAAACAGAAGTTCCAGAGAGATACATGGAGGAAGCAAAGGAGAAGAGATAAGAATTGATTGAGACTTTGGGAAGTATTGATCCAGAGATAGAGGATTTATATTTGAATGAGTAACCAATCAGTGAAGAGAAATTAAAAGCATCCATTAGAAAGAATTGCTAAGAACACAAGTTCTACCCAGTGTTTATGGGAAGTGCATATAAAAATAAGGGAGTTTAATTGGCTTTGGATGGTGTGGTAGATTATTTACCTGCTCCAGAAGAGAAATAAAACTTTGGATTCTAAATATCTTTAGATTAAAAGGAAGAGAAAAAGATTGAATTTAAAACAGATCCTAAATTACCATTTGTTGGTTATGCATTTAAGTTAGAAGAAAATAAATTTGGATAATTGACATATGTTAGAGTATATTAAGGTAAATTAAAGAAAGGAGATTATGTTTATAATATGAAAACTAAGAAGAGAGTAAAGGTTGCTCGTATGGCTAAGATGCATGCAAATTAAATGGAAGAAATTAATGATGTTGAAGCTGGAGATATCTTTGCTGTCTTTGGAGTAGATTGTTCAAGTGGTGACACTCTTGTCTATGGAGATATGAATTATCAAGTATTATGTTCTAGTATGTTTGTTCCATAACCAGTCATGTCATTATCTATCAAACCTACTAAGAAGGAATACTCTGCAAGGTTCTAAAAGGCCTTATCTAAATTTTAGAGAGAGGATCCTACTTTTAATGTTGATATGGATAAAGAAAGTGAGGAAATCATTATTTCTGGAATGGGTGAATTGCACTTGCAAATCTATGCTGAACGTATGAGAAGAGAATTTGAAATTGATGTTCATTTGGGTCAACCAACTGTTAATTATAGAGAAACTATCACATAAAAATAACAATTTGATTATTTGCATAAAAAGTAAACAGGAGGTGCTGGACAATATGCCAAAGTTATTGGATACATGGAACCTCTCTAATTAGAAGAAGGCTAATTCTCTAATCAATTTGAAAATCACGTCATTGGTACAAGTATACCCAATGAATACATCACTGCTGTTGAAAAAGGATTCTATGAATCAGTAGACAAAGGTCCTTTGACTGGTTACCCTGTTGTTAATGTTAGGTTCGTCTTAGAAGGAGGAGAAACTCACGTTGTAGATTCATCCTCAAATGCTTTCATGACAGCAACCAAATATGCATTCGCTCAAACCTTTAGATAGGCAGGACCTGAAATATTGGAACCGGTTATGGCAGTTGAAATCATGGTTCCAGCTCCCTCATATTAACAAGCCATGGTTGGTATTGCCAAGAGAAGAGGATCAGTTACAAATACTGAATCTCGAGGAGATATGTTTGTATTAAATGCAGATGTGCCATTGTCTCAAATGTTTGGATATGCAACTGAATTGAGAGGATTTACATCTGGATAAGGAGAATTCTCACTTGAATACAAAAGACATGATCCAGTTCCACCTAATGAAATTGAAACTATCATTGCCAAATTCAAAAAATAAAAGAGAGGATAATGATTTTGAGTTGTTTTTGTTAAAATATAAATATTTGTCAAATATATACTTTATTAGATTAAATTAATGATCTGAAACATGATGATTATCAAGAATAATTTCAATTTAATTATCTAAGGAAACTTAATTGATTGGATAATTTTAAGTTTTTTTAGTAACTTTAATATCATTAAAGAATATTTAATCATAAAAATTTGCTTAATATTTATTTTAATTGTAAATAGAAGAGAATATATATGTTAAATAATGCAAAAAAGTAAATAAGTAGACCTAGAAAGGGCCAAAAATAAAGAAACCTAAAAGATAAAACAAATTGTAAGAGTGTTAATTTCAAATCCAATTAGGCGGCATGTTATGAGTATTTAATATTTATCAATTATAGATAAACTACAGCAAAGAAAGTAAAGAATGATAAAACTATTTCTCGCCTTATGATTGAAGAAATTCCTTTCGCATAAAAAAGAATTCAATAGAGAAATTCATAAATGTAAGAGAATATGATTTGCGAGGGGCTTTCTAAAAATTAATTTCCATTTACTTTAAATAACTCTTTAGAAGATAATACTTAAGAAAAGGAATCAGATACTTTGATTGAGTTTATGAGAGAATAAGTAAAATTTGAAGAAATTTATAGTTATTAAAAAAATTACTTAAACAACTAGAATGAAATTTAAAGTCATATGATTGCCATTTTATTTGATTGGTTGGTTGATGTCGCACATTCCTTTCATTTTAAAAGGGAAACCTTTTATTTGTCTAGAAATTATATTGAAAGATTTCTTCACAAACAACCAAATGTTTCAATCACTAAATTCTAACTTATTGCAGTAGCTGCCTTATTCATAGCTCATAAATTTGAAGAAATCTATCCTAAAACAATAAAGGAATTTCATCGACTTATCTAAGATTTACATACAATTCAAGACATAGAGGAGATGGAAGTTACAATTTTAAAATGCTTTGATTTCAGAATGAATCCAAATACTCCAATATTTTGGTTGAATTACTACACAAAATTATGGGATGAATTTATTATTGATAAATAACTCAATGCCTCATTGAAGGAGAGAACTACTGAATCTTATTATAGATATAGAGAATTAGTCTAATTGTTTGATGTCTGCCTTATAGATTATAGATTTAAGAAAAATGAAAAATTGACCGCTTTGAGTTTAATCTATTTAGTTATTGCAAAATCTTTACAAATATTTGAAGATTATAGAACTTTGGCTACTTCTCAATCGAAAATTAAACAATTTTTCAATTCAGATCATGAATATAATTAAATATTCAGATAATTTATAGAATAATCAGATTTATATTTACATTTTGATTAAAAAATAGAGGTATTTACATCTATTATAATATAGTATGAAGACTTAAAAGATGTGGTTTATGAGACTACCTAATATTTCATACTTAGATTTGATAATACGTTGCCAAGAGTATTAGTAAATAATCAGGATTTTATAGATGAAGTAATTTCAATTATTAAATTAGTTGTAACATGAAGAGTTTCTCTCATTCCAAACATACAATAGAAATACAATAGAAACTATAAATTTCCTCTTAACATAATAATAATGAACTTCTATATCTTTATTTCAATATTATAATTATATAATATAGTAATTCAAAAATCTCTTAAACTAAGAAATGAAGTCACAACCTAATCCAATCTTAACTTACTACAAAATTATTAAGATAATTTTGAATAAAAGGAGAACCACAATAATAGGAATTATAAAATTGCATAATAATATTCACTTACATGTCAGTTCATAATTTGACAAGAATATAACAAAAAACGATAAGAATAGAGTTAATAAAGAAATTCTCGAATTGGAATAAGAAATAATCAGCAACCATTTTCAATTAAAATTCTCGATTGTTATTCTCTAAAATATATTCAATTATTCTTTGACGAATAATATCATTAATTATAATTAATCATTAATACCTAATATTTATTAATAATTTAGAAGCACTTTGTGTCCAAACAAATTACAACTAAAAAGTGAAATTCTACTTATAATTAAAGAGGAAATTCTATAAGAGATTTGCTTATAAATTATAAGTAAAGCATATAAAAATCAGTATATTCTCTATAAAATATTACAATTGATTGGTATGTATATCAGAACTTGTGGAGAATATTAAAAAAAACTATAAATTAAATTCTTACAAAAAGGCAGAAGATATTAAAGTAGCATTATTTGTTGTATTCATTTTCATTTTAAAAGAATAGCAATCAATTATGGGGTTCTTAAGGTATCAAATCTTAATTTAAATTTAAAGTACAAAGAATCTAGGAAAATGTCAAAAATTTTACTTAAAAGGAAATCCAAAACCACTTATTGAGATAAGCTTAAATAAAGTTTTCTAACTTCATTATGAATTGTTTATCATATTCCGAGAAATAAATTAAGGAAATATTAAAACTAAAAGACCTATATTTATTATATAGATTAGTTGCTAAGCAAAGCAACCTTAAATTGCATAAAATATATGCATAATGGATATTAGTTATATTATGGTGATCTATATTTAAGTGAAATTTTTCCATTTATATCAATATTTTAGATTACCTTTAAAACTGATACACTTATATTAATTATTAAAACTTAGAATAATTGCTTATTTATTGAGATGACCCATCCATAATTTGTTATTACCAAGAAATTAGTAAATGTAGAAGGAATCTAATAAGGTAATTCTAAAAGTAGCTTTCATACAGTATTTAACTCCTGAAATTGTTATGCTTTGAATTTTCATGAGAATTAGGTTGAACCAGCTTATTTAAGATTGGGGAACACAAAAAAGTTAAGAATTGCTTGAGTAATTTGAGAATTTTTGGCAATGGTTGTGAATGTGAATGGGGCATATTTGATAAAAAAAGGATATTTTTATTATTAATATTATTGTATATATAAAATTAATGCAGCAGTAAAATCCAATCCTTTTGACAATCTCAAACATTCTGGACGAAATAATCAAAGAAACTGATGCTCTTGAAGTAGAATCAAATTCTATCTTTCACGCAATGGCAGCTCCGGCAATCTCAATCTATAATTATTTGCAAAGAATAAATAAATACACTCACTGCAGTGAATAATGCTTTGTCATAGCGCTAATATACTTAGACAGACTTTAAGAAAAACACTCATATCTAGTATTAAATTCCCATTGTATACATAGGTATTTCAATCTTAATTACATCCTTTATAGATTTTTGCTATTGGCCCTTATGACTGCGATAAAATTTTAAGATGATGATTACTATAAGAATGAATATTATGCTAAGGTTGGAGGAATAAATGTGAAAGAAATAAATAGGCTAGAATAAGAATTCTTGGAATATATGAATTATGAATTGTTCATAGATGAACAATAATATCTAGTGTACGAAAAGAGATTGTTAGAGTATGGGGAAATAGAAATGTCTTGATGCTTAATTTATCAATATATTTTTTGTTCTTTTATATTAAAAATCTCTTCTTTTTTATGTAACAAAGCTAAATTCATTTCTTAATTCATAAATAATACAAATTAAGAATCTACTGTTTCGATCGGCTAAAAATTATATATTTTATCAATTAAAAAATAGTTTGATTGATTCATAAAATTCAACGTATTTTATATTAATGAGATTAAAATCAAAAAATAAAACATTCGCATATACTGATCTTTTAATCTGATCTACTTCCAAAATTTTGATTGATGTTTCCATTATTTTCAATTTCCTGAATAAATGATATTTCATCCAATTCCGTTATTGTATCCAATCTATTATCACTATTTCTCTCAATTTATTGCACATATCTCATGACATTATTGAATTCTGAAAATTGAATCATTCCATCTCCATTATCATCAAAGAAATCGATTATTTCTTTAATCTAAATAAATATAATAGTCAATTATTACATTTTGATTGGTCAATGAATTTGTATTTGCAAACATTTTAATCATTTTTGAAAATTGATGTCTCTCTAATGTATCCTTTTTAGTTGTAGCAAATTATTCGAATAGATCTTTCATATTATATTATTTTAATGCTATGGCTAATTTAGACAGAATTTTAATATTTGAATTTGACAAATGTCTAACTATCTTCACTCTTTTAGGATGATTGTAAAAGACACAAGTTTTAAATTCCTTATAATTTACTTTTCCATCAATCTAAAACTCTTAAAATAGACACTGAATATCATCAGTACTGAGACTTTCACTTTAATTTGTTTATTTTATAAGGTTTTGGAACTCTTCAGCATTCAATTAACATAACTATTCTTAGATATTTAAATTCTTTAACAATTCGTCCATCTATTCTTCTGATCCAATTTTGTCTCTTATACTCTGAGACAATATAAAAACCTTTTTTAATCCACTATTCTATTATATATCCACTTTTCCGAAATAACTACATACATAAGGGTGTCTAAATAAATCATCCCAATTTATTCTCTTATCTTCATTAGCTTATAAACAATTAATAATTAAATCTTGGCAAACTGTCGAGATTTTTGGATATTAAGGAAATGCTATTGGAACACTTAGTATCTTTTAAACTAAATCACCTTCTGACTTTCCTACCCAAGGGACTAAAATAACTTAAAAATATACGAGTATTGAATATAATTTAATATAAAATTATCCCAAAACTCCAAATGTCGCTTTTTGTTGTGTATTATTCTTCTTTAAGTAATTAAGGACTCATGTATGCAGGTGTCCCCAAATTACTCTTTAATATTTACGCTTTGTAATTGAATACAGTCTTAGCATAACCGAAATCAGCTAATTTAAAGATCTTTCTTTTTCCTTCCTAATGAACCAAAACATTTGCTGGTTTAAGATCTCTATGCGCTATACCTTATCTGATTAATGTTGTAAAGGCATTCAAGATATCCTACAGGAAGATTATATGATCATCTAATTTGATGATGTTCTTCTATCTAAGTAGAGAATCTAAATCACCGAGATTGCAATATTCTAATATTATATAATAATGATCTTTGGTTTAAAGAACATCAAGTATTTCTATTATATTTGGATTTTTTATTCGCTTAAGCATGTTAATCTCATTCAATAAATGTTCTTCATCATCTAAGCCAATAAATATAAGATAGAACCTGCACTTTGAAGATCTGCCTTCAGAATTTATTTTATGGCAACATTTTACTTTGATCGGGTATCAACTCCTTTGAAAACAGTAGCATATGAGCCTATTCCAATTTTTCCTTTCTTATAATTATAACGGTAATGTTCGATTTGCTTTTCATTTCTATTCATTTATAATATCTAAAATAATATGCGAATAATAATTAGAAATTAAAATTGATGTTCTAATTAACCCTTAATCCAATTCTTAAGAATTTAATTAAACTATTTTTCAAATATCACTAAAAGGTTGCATATTAAAGATGAGATTAATGGGTCATTTGATTAAAGAAAGTTTTATATTTTAAAATAACAAATAAACTCAAAAATACCCTAAATAATTTTCTGTTATCCTATATTTTATCTAATCTATCGTATATTAATTCAAAGCCTAATCTAGATCCTGATTCTTATTAGTTAGGATTTTAATCTATTAATTAAATGATTAGTACTTCAATAGTATTATCCAATAGCATTTTTTTAAGCAAGGCATAAATATTGATATTGGGAAAAATATGCATTAGCTTACCTAAACTTTGATTTGGATATCTTAATAAGTAGTTCTTTAATTTTTCTGCAGCATTCTTTTAGGATTCATAATTTGCATTATTTTTTTTGAATTATTTATTATGTTTATATTCTATTGGAGTTAATTAATCACTTAAATTTGTGTATTAGATATATGTTAATGGGTTTAATTACCTTGTATCTATTTCCCATTCATCCAATTGTGAAAATGACTTAGAACATTACTGTTAATTATAGACTTTTTATTCTAAACCTAGCAATGCTCCAATAGAACTTTCTTACAGATTGACTCTCTAAAAGATTTCATTAGCAATCCTAACATCATAATTAGGTTTCAATTTCTTGATCACTTTTTTCATTACCTTCTTATTTATCTTGTGAATAGCTGAAAGGAGTAATCCTACTGCTTATTTAATTTTATATTCCTAAGCATTGATCTTTTCATATTCACCTTTATTTTCTTCACTTTAATAAATATCACTATCATCGCCTTCTAATTGGTCTTCTCCCTCAATAGGAACTGGCTATTATTACTATTAATTCCCTTTTGTTTTAATTTTTTTTTTAATTTGACTTTGGCTTTCAACGTAATCATTTTATTTTTGTTAAATTGATTTAAATGGCTTATCATTCTACGGTTCCCCCAACTTGAGTAATCCCTACTGCACAATCACATCCGATTCATTAACACTCCAATGAGATATAAGCCATCGCTCACATTCTCTCTAGACTATGACTGTCTTTATGATATGAATATTCAAAAAATCTATTGTTTTTAAAGTCTTTAATAATGAATGTATTGTTCTAGTATCAATTATACCATTGTTTTCATCCCTCTCACTATCAATTATTTAATCCTTCAATTCTTTGACAGTCGCTATTTTTTTACTGTGTAAATAATTGCAAATACAAGCAAATCTGTTTATTTTCTATTAAGACACTTATATTTTCCTCTATCCTTTCTACTTCTTATCATTATTAATGTCCAATTAGCTATTATTCACATTATTTAAACATTCTCCAATCTTATAGTTATCCTACTCCACTACATACTCTTTCTGATTAAGCAATCTTTGTAAATCTGATAAGACTGAAGTATCAAAGTTTACAACCAAAGTACCTCTAATGGACACCTTTTAATTTGTTGAAACGTATGGCCATTTCTTTATTGGCTCTTTTGCTTTGTATCTATACATAAATATTTTGCCTCTTCTCTCTGCTACTTAATTGAGATCTTGTTCCACTTTAAATAAATTGTCAATCAACCTCGAAAAGGATTTGCTTTCTTCACATTTATTCATTCTTTATCTCACTTCCGATTCAAGTAATGGTTCTTATAAGTTAAGCCAAAGGTTTTAATAGAAATTGAATTCCTTATAATGATTTTGCTATTATTCGAAATTCTTTTCCTCCTCTTCATTTTCAAATCCTTTCCATTTCAGAAATTCACAAAATTTTCTCGCCTTTACCTATTTACAATGGCTCTTGCATGAGATATGCACTAAATTCAAATCATACAACTTTCTACAATAATGAGATATTTGATTTAACTCCAATAACTTCCCTGATTTTGGTAATTTTTATTGAATCTATTGATAACTCAATCCCTCCTTATCCTTCAAGATTATTTAATAAATGTCATCCATTACTTTTAAATACTTTTTATCCTCACTTTTATCTTCAATATATAAATGCAATCTGTTAGATAGCTTCTTATACGATATTTTATCATTAGCAATTTAAATTCCTTATACACTTTACAACTTTTCAAATAATACCTCAGGTTCGAACCCTGGAAGACAATCATTCTTCTCCAGCTTCTCGACTAAATCACTTTTTTACATCTATCCTTTTATTCCAAGTAAAATAAGGGACTCCTTAATTACGATCTCCATAATTAATATAATTTTATTTTTTTACAATTCTAAACATTATATATTTTATTCATAATTTTGAAAATTGTCAATATTTGCAATTATTTATAGAGAGGAGTAGTTAAAGTTGATGTGTTTTACTTTAAGATAATTTCTATTTATGTATTAATATACTATTGTCTAAAAAATTAATATTAAAATATGAAGAATTTAATGAATAATATGAATAGAATGATATAAATATAATCAAATTTGCATTTAAATACCTTTATTTTATGGTTTATAACGTAAAGTTTATAATTAAAAAAACGAACGACAGTTAATTATTAATTTTAAGAATAGAATTGTCCAATATATATTATTGATAAATCTAAATTTTAATTTAACCAATTTTTAGTATTTGCAAATGGAAAAGATTAATAAAGATGATCAAATACAATTGCTTTATAAGAAATAACAATATCTATTAATATTTCGAGTTATGTTCTAATTTTTTGTTTGAATTAAATAAAAGGTTCCTTTATAAATACTTTATTCACATTTATGGAATGTAGTTAGTTTTATTTTAGAAATTAAAAGTAATAAATAATTAATCAAACAAAAATTTATATTGAAATTGTATTAAAATAATAGTAATCATTAAATTTATTTTAAATTAATTTAATATTTCGTTATTGAAAATATCTACAACCAACTAGCTTGGATAATTTGTTATGAATAAATAGTATTTTTAATAATATCACAAAATCCTCATTTCCATTCTAAAGAGTCATAAGATATTGCAAGAACAGTTATCTCTCACATCATCTTCTAGTTTAATATTATAATCTTTCCAATTTTCTACTAGCACAATATCAACAAGCCCATAATTTGGTTGAACTTCATCTCTAAAACTAATTGAGTGATTCTTCTCCTTTTTGATAATTTCTTGATGAAACATATCAAGTCTAATTTTAGGTAACTATTGTTTAAGTCTATCGTAATGTGAGGATCTCTCTTGAAAATCAAGAATATCAATAATTTCATTTTCACTATCTCCGTTGCATTGTGAAACCTAGATCATCATCATAACTCTATATTTATATATTTAAATATTTAGAATAATGAAAATAATATCTAACACTTATGAAATGGTAATCAAATAATGAGAACAAAAAATTCCAAATATTTTGAACATCTATGCAATTGATAACCAAACATAGTTATACCATATTAGTGCTTCAGTTGAACTATGTTAATTGTGTGTTAAATATGTGAATCATTTGAGTTAGGAACTTAATGAAAGGAGATGATAGGTTATATAAAATTGATTAAATGGTTAATATTAATTTATATATAAAAGTAAATAAAGATATTATTAATAAAGATGGATCAATATGATTATGGAGATTAGGAAGACTATGAAGATTATGATTATTAAGATGAGGAATTTTCAAACTACCAAGGATCGAATTTAAAAATATTAATGGTAATTTATATGACAATTAAAAGGTGGCTGAAAAAAATTCAATTGCTGAAGCTGTGGCATATGCGATTGGAAACAAAGTGAGAGCAAAAAAGGGCAGATAAGCATTCTATTATTTCTCTGGGATGTTTAAAGGACAGTAGGCAAATTTTACAGTGACTGCTACAAATGGGCATCTATTTTCAAGAGATTTTCCAAAAGAATATGAAAATTGGGTAATTATGATTATAGAGCAAAGAATTCCTGTGATCCAATAGATCTATTTTAAGCAAAAACAATTAAGAAGCCAGCAAATAAAGCAGGTATAGGATTATTGAGGAAGTGTTCATCAGGAATAGATTATCTAATTTTGTGGTTGGATAATGATAGAGAGGGAGAGAATATTTGTTTTGAAGTTGATGAGGTGTGTAATTCATAAGGAAGAGCAAAGTAATTAATTTAGGCAATTTAATTAGAAAATTGAGAGCAAAGTTTTCATCAATAACGCAAACAGATTTGAAATATGCTTACAATTAATTGAATACAGGTCCAAACATCTTAGAATCTGAATCAGTAGATGCAAGATAAATAATCGATTTAAAGGTTGGAGTAGCATTCTCTAGATTTTAAACTCTTCACTTTTAAAAAAAGTATTCTATGGATTAGATGGTAACCTTTGGTCCTTGTTAAACACCTACATTAGGATTTTGTGTAGAGAGACATGAGGAAATAGTGAATTTTGTACCTAGAGCCTTTTATACAATCAAATTGAGTATATTGAATAATGTGGGTTACAAATAAGAAGTGGAATGGCTGGTATTAAAAATATTAAAGAATAGGGACAATAAATATGGAAGGAACCAGAGGCTAAGTAGGTTGTTTAGTAGTTACAAAAATTTAAGTAAGGAGATGTCATTAGTCAATAAGTTGAACAGAAATCAAAGCCTAGACCTGAGGGTATCAATACAGTCTCACTCTTGAAATTTGCCTCATCTTATCTAGGATTAGGACCTTAATAAGCTATGCATGTTGCTGAAAGATTATATTTAAATGGTTATATCAGTTATCCCAGAACAGAAACAACAGCATATCCTCACGAATTTCCAACTCCAAAAATAATCAATAATTTATAGAAATATAAGGATCCACTTATTAGTGAACACAGTAAATACTTGAAAACAAATGGGCATTCAAATCCTAAATAAGGAGTTGATGTAGGAGACCATCCTCCTATCACTCCAACTGAAAATGTGCCATAAAATAATCTTTATGGCGAAGAAAAGACCATGTATGAATATGTGGTTAAAATGTTTTTGGCTGCTCATTCAAAAGATTGCAAATATGAAAATCATACACTCAAATTTTTTGTTGGTGATCATCAATTTAAATTCTAATCCAAATATATTTTGGATCCAGGATTCACAAAAGTAGCCACTTGGTTGGCAATTACTGAAAACAAGAGCGATTTAACTAAATTTGTTACCAATAACAAAGTGCAAATTGGATTTGTTGAATATTAATAAGGGTAAACAAGTCCTCCTGATCATTTAACAGAAACTGAATTAATTACACTGATGGACAAATTCAAAATTGGAACTGATGCTTCTATGGCAACACATATAAATAATATTTGCGAAAGACAATATGTTAAGGTTGAAGGATCATCTAGAAAATTAAAGCCAACTGATCTGGGATTATCACTAGTAAGAGGTTATAAAAGGATTGATCCAGATCTTGTCGCACCTTAATTGAGATCCAGCATAGAATCTTAAGTTGATCAAATTGCTAAAGGAAAACTTAAATGTCAATAAGTCATATAAGATGTCATACAGATTTTTACGAAAAAGTACATTCATTTTAGAGAGAGAATCAATGATTTTTAACTAGTTTAATACCATCAATAAGGAATCAATAGACAAATTAAATAATCAGATGAAGAAATCATCTTAAGTAGATGCGGAGATTGCAATAGATACTTAGTTTAATCAAACAATTCTGCCATCTGTAAATAGTGTATCAAGACTTACCCCTTACTGCCAGACTGTAAATTTAAAGCATATGGAGCTTATAGGTGTCCATTTGATAAAGTAATATCAATTTATTAATATTTTTAGTTTGAATTACTATTTTGCACAAGCAATAAGTCTCCTTTCAATACCACTCTTCTTTGTCCCAAATGTTTCAGTTCATCACCATTAGTAACATCCGAATAATGCACTTGTAATATATGTCCAAATGTTGATTGTGAAAAATCTAAGGAATCTAGGATGGTTGGCAAATGCAAGAGTTGCAAAATTGGTGAACTTATTTTAGAACCATTCATTAGTAAAGGATAACAAATTTGTTTATCTTGCAATGAATGTTGGTGTCTCTATTAACTAGTTCCTGCAGTTGTATAAGTTGATATTACTAAAAATGCTTGCACAGAATGCTAAGTAAGATTATCAATATATTTAAGTTAAAAACATTTAATTTAATAACAAAAACTAAGGATAAAGAAGAAGTCAAGTATAACAATGTTTGTTTGATGTGTTATGAAGAGTTAAATAAAAAATTGTTATATGCACCCTATTTAGGAGAAAAGAAATTTATGATCTAGCAAAAAAAACAAGAATAACCAGTTAAATAGGATGATGTCAATAAGGAAACCTTTTCCAAAGGACGCAAAAAATTCTCTAAGAATCCAAGAAAAAATGATAGGCATGATGATGATCAATTTACTCAAAAAAAAAATGATAATTCTGATTGGGCTACTTTATTACTTTCATAATCTGTGACAAATAATAAACAAAAGCCATAAAATAAACAACACTAAGATGAGCCTCAATAACAGTAATAGCAATAATAATAAGTAAATGAACCAGGATTAGTTTTACTAGAAACTAAAAAGAAGAGAAATAATTGAAATAAAATAAAAATAATTATCTAATAAGCTTTATTTGTTTTATCTTATTTATCTTAAATTATTCCAAAAGTGTTATATAATGTAAAATAACTAAGTAGAATTAACGAATTTCTAGTAATATAAGAATTACATTATTTTTATAAATATGAATATAATTGTTGTTTATAACAAAAAAAAAATCAATTTTCCAAAACTGTCAACTTAGCCTTAATAGAACTAATTAAAAGATTATCTGCTTGAAGGCAATCGCAACCTGAAACACGTGCTAATTACTCTTATTTTTTAGCCAAATGTTCTAACCTAAACTAAAATCAATTTTTACTTTTTTGCTTCTTCTATTATCAAAACGTTCTTATCCTTAACTGATAAGTTCTGATTTAGAGCTACTTTTTACCAATAATTCATAGTTTATTACTAGGTATTTGTTTCAATTACAAAACTCTTATGCTTAAATTTTGGCAATTAAGTGTCTTAACTGGCAATATCATATGAAGTATTTTAATCTTTATTTTTATTAAAATACATTAATGATTTAGTCTCTTCATCAGTATCTTGAATTTAATAAGAAATCCTTTTTTATCTTATTTTATTTGCTAAAACTTAATATTTTTAAAAATCAGATCTATGATGCAATTTGCTCTAAATTTCTAATAGTTCATTTTATTTATCTTAGCTCACCTTTGGTTTGAATCTTTTTTTAGTTTCCTCTGAAAAATTCTTTTTCTTCTCCTACAACTCCAATAATTGATTCCTTCTCTCTTATTCTAATTACTTTTGTTTTGCTTTTTCTTGTTCAATTCTTAAATAGTAAATAGACTTTTCAGGACTTAAGGACTTTTTTTAATTTTTAATTTAAGAATCATTCGACCTCAATCTTGGTTGAATAATTAAATCACAAAATTTCTTACGATGTTCTTCAAAATCTAATTTATTTAATGGTCTTCTATCTAATTTTATTTACTCTAATTTTTATTGTATTATTTATTATTATTATTTTATTAATTCATTCTCTTAGTCTTATAGTATTTAATATAATGGTTTCTAATGTTATATTTATTAGGTCTTTTTCCAAGATTCGATAAAGTCGTATTTTCTCTTTTCTGAAGCCTCCTAAAGTTGCTTTAATTTAATCTACGCTCTCTATCCTCGTTCTTTTCTCATAGAGTCTATCTCTTCTTAAGTATATGTTTTAGCTTCAATTTTACCAAAGCAATCAATCTTTCTTACTATTTTTGATATAGTACCTTGTTGGGATTGAGATTTGAGCAGTTTGGGACCTAAAAGACAAGTCTAAATGCTATTTATTTTCATTGATGAATAACTAATTAGAGTCTAATTCCTGGAAAACTTTCTATGATTTAATAGAAACTATTTTTTGGGCATATTTGAAGCATTTCTTAGTTGCAAAATCTCCAAATAAAGTATCTAAGTAAGAATCAACATTTTTCATTGATCTATTATATATATAATATTTAAATAAATAATAAATGAATTTTGATCAATAATCGTCATAATATTATACAATCTCCTCCTCATTACTATATTATAAGGGACTGATAAAATTTATTTCTATTTTGTTTTATACAAGAAATTTAAGAACATCTTTGAAATTCATAGGTTCCTACAATAAATACAAGAACTAGTTCGATAAGATAGTTGCAAAATGGATCTCCTTAATTATTTAATTCTCTTATTATGCATTTGATTCTTCAATAGATTTATGATCTGGCATATGATTTATTGTCTTTATCATTTAATTCTAATGATATTTTAATACATCCATGCACATTATTGCTACTTCTTATAAATTCTCATCAAATGAAATTAGATTGTCCTTTTCATGAAGATTAATAAAGTGCACTATTTGTGAAGCATCTTTAGTAAAGTCGACTAATATATTTTTCACGTTTAATTTAGTTATATTAACTATCTAGTAAATTTTAATTAATTATTCTATTATTCTATAAAAAATTTTAAACAATAGATTTAAGCGATTCCTTAATTTCTCAATGTTTTCATCATATTCATATTCCATAATAAATGAATTCAGATCAATTGTAGATTAATATGTTATGCAATTTTCATTCAAATTAAATGGAAATAATTTTCTTACCTTTTAAATTTGAAGAGCTCGATCTGGCTCTAAGGGAAAGCTGTTTTGCATTTTCTATTGAAAAAATCTGATAAAATAATTAATAAAATTAATTTTAATTAAATGAACTATTAAAGGTGTGAATTAAGAATATGTTTGAATTATTTCCAGAAAGTCAATTTTATAAGACTAAATGGTTTCTAATGAAATTTTGTCAAAAATTAAAGTAAACGGTCTGAAATATAATATTTTATAATATATCAAACTGATAGTATACATTCTCTTATCAAAGATACAAAGAAACAATATTTAAGTTAATGTTTAAAAGAAAATGGCTGACTAGTATAGGAATTTATTTATTTTTATATAAAATTAAAAATTTCTTAATAGAATTCCATAAGGAATTTAATTTCAATTAGCTATTAAAGGAATACATTAAACATAATTTGTAAACAAATTAGTATAAAAATAACAGTTTTCATTTTTTCTTTAAATCTTAATTTTATTGTTGTAATTCCTTTGTTAGATCAAAATCTTATATTTCACTATGTCCATAATTAATTGAGCTGATCATTCCTAAAGGATTCATAGATTTTTCAGACCAATCTTGGATAGAATAAGTATCATTCTACTTATTTTCATTTCCTAAATATCAAATTGAAATAATACCTAATAATTCATCAATAAATTTGAGATTATCTTTAATTTCCTAATGAGAATCTTCAATCCGAGGAGGTGACTTTTATCTAATTTAAGAATCTCCAACCTTACCAAGCCAACTACTTGAGAAACTAGATTATGGTATTGATAAGCCTAAACTACATTAAAAGGCTTCACTTAAGATATATTCAAACTATTGATCATTAATATCTTAAGTTGGTTATGGAGGTGGTAGAAATCTTAAGTCTCTTTCATAAATTAAGTATTGATTTCCTTTCTAACAAACAATCACTAAAATATTTTCAGCATAATTTTATAAAAATTAAAAAAAGCTTTAGCATTAAAACCTTTAATAATTAAACCATTCTCCCAATTATTAAGATAGATCATAGTATAGTTAATTAATGCTGATTCCATATTTATGTTTACTCAAAATGGTTTTTATCATTTACAAGACAGTGAAAATATATTTCTAATTAAATGATTCACTTTATTTGTGCTCTACATATATAATCATTGTTAATTACTTTAATACTTTTTTGGCAACTTTGAGTAATTCAATTTAGCAATAAAATTATTTCGACCGCTGTTTTCAATTGTAATGACATCCTTAACACTTTCTATGAAATTCTTGAGTTTTGGAAATCCCAATTCAATCAAATTCAATTCAAAATTGACTCTTTCTTTTAATAATGTAGGTATTTATGCCAACGATACACTCTTATTTAATTATTAGATCATACCCATCTGGATTTTCCAATAGCAACTCTATCAACTACTCCTATAATTCTTAGACTCTTATTTTAATTTAAGGATCACCATCCACAGAACTATCAGTTGTATGTTCTGATTTTTCTCTACTTTCTTGTATTAATATAGTTTTGTTATATCTGATATAATTTTTATTAACTGCCATTTAGACATAGAGTGTTAGTCTACCAAGAGATAATTCTCTTAATTTCTTAGGTCCTAATAACTTAATGAATTGAGCACAGCCATATCTCCCTCCTTTTAAGATTTTATTATTCTAAGCATTTGTTTTAGCAAAAAAGTCCATCAAAAATTCTATAAAGATAGTCCATTCCTATTTTTTATCTAATTCTGGTTGAAATTCATCTTCAACAATCCAATTTTGTTAATAAATATAAATTCCATATGTTTCTTCTTGTATCAATGGATCCTTAATGTTCTTGACTTAAAGCAACGGCAATTCAATTAGTTTTCCATTCGAAGAACGGAATTTAATTTATTGTTTTTGATTTTTGAGCTAATTCATAACTAGTTCCCATTCTATTCGATTGTACTTCAAACCATAACATTCTTTGATTCTACTTTGTACCAATCTTTCAGTTGGAGTGATTAAATCTCTTTTGATGGATCTAATTATCCAAACTAAATTTTCATAAGTTAACTTCTTAACTGATAATGCATAAAAGTTAATTGCCATATCATTAAATAATCTTGTTGTTTTTGATATCCATCCTTTATCGATCAATTTTTAAAAAAAATCTAATTAATTTTTACTATTTTGGATATATCTATCTATACATGATTACTTTACTATCATCTAACAAACCTTATATTTATTCGTTTGTGTAAACGATGGTACCATTGCTGCATTGGGTTTTCATATACAACAGAAATTGGTAAACTTCTGGTGGCAAAGTTATTTATAGAGTTTCCCATTCAAGAATTTCATTTGATGGGAATGAAAACTATAATTTTGAAATTTGAACATACTTTTTTATCGCTAACAGTAAATGAATTGGAGTTGATGAACTAAATTGGCTAAAGTGAATGTTCAGTTTTGCATTTTGTTAATTTTTGATGTTTTTCTTGTGATGATTGTTCACTCTCCAAATAATTGCTCTCAGCTAAAAATTTTAGGAATGGCTCATCAAGTGCACTGTTGGACGATTGCCTTCTAATTTAAGATGATCTTAATTGCTATTATTATTACTGCATTTAAGGTTATTAGTTATATAAAATAATATATATTCTTTATTTCAATACATCGTATAATTAAATGCTTTCTAACTAGATACTTTATTGATCTAATTAAATAAATACATAATGTACAGGAGAATTATTTATAAAATAATCATAAAATTAAAACGAATTCTTTTATAGTTTAAGTTGTCGAACTCTTCAAACTCTTTTTAATACAAATTATTAAGATTCTTTTAGTTCATGAAGTTTATATTATTATTTTAAACTAAACTTTTGTTTTTAGTTACTTTTAATATTTCTTATCTATTTTAAACAAATTGAAATGAGTGCAATTATCATCCAGACTTTTCCCAACAGAATTTAAACAGAATTTTTGTCAATCCTTATTTAAAAGATTATGGTTTATAAATAACTATTGAAATTAAAGGGAATCTATCAAGAACTTATTAATTTGCTGATTTATTATTTTTTAATATTATTGAAGAATTTACTAAATACAATTATTAGGGTAAACAACCAAAATATTCTACATAATTTGTTAACTATTTCTAGAACGACTTTGTTAATTTTTAATTTTAAAAAGTACTATTTTTATTTTTGATTCAACAGTCCTCTTTGTGTTTTACAAATAATTTAAATAATAATTTAGTAATTTAATACTAAGTGGATAAAGAGTACTTTGAGTATTGAAAGTGAAGTGAACAAATTAAATAAGTTAATTAATTATTTTAATTGTAAATCACTTTTCTTCCTATTTTTCTAATTTTCCCTGTTCTTTATCCAAAACATCTTCTACACTAGTTCTATCCTTATATTTAGATTTATTGATGACAGTAGATTCGTTTCTTTTTTCTAGTTCCTACTTTTCAAATTCTTCTCTTTTCTTGTCTTTTTCAGATTATTATTTTCTTTTTTCAAGTTCTTCTTCATCCTTTAACTTTTCTGCTTCTTGATCTTCCTTAAATAATTTTTTAGTTTCTTTCTTGTAATCTGACCATTAACCTTCAGCATCCTCATCAACAATTTTTGCTAAAAATTCTCCATCATATTCTTTATTCTTTGCGAATTCATCAATAATTTATATGCTCCTCTATTTCAAGTTTCTTTCTATACTTATCATTTAATCAATAACAACTCTTCTACTTTCAATTTAATTTTTCAATTAAATCATATCTCTTTGCTTAGATGCTAAGTATAATTTCTAATCTAATTCCAAATCTGGTTAATTATAATAATCCTCCAATTCATCCTTATAACTAACCTTCTTATCTAATTTATATTATGACTCTTCAGGACACTCTGATCCACTTACCCAAATGTCGCAACTGTTAAAAAATGCTCCATCTCTTGCATTTCCCTCCTAGCACGTTTACTCCTCAGTGCACCAAATGCATCCCTCTCTAGACAGACAAGAATCGCATTCTCTTAATTATTAACATATGCTTAAGGGAGGTGGGAAATTTTCTAACAACTCTTATAACTAGCTTTTTAATTCCTCTAATTCATCTTCTCTTTCTTTTCTTATATCAGCCAAGATTTCCTTTGACATGTCTAGAATTTATTGGAAGTTCTGAATAACTTATTCATTTGTTTTATTTAATATTTCCATCACGAATTCAATATTTTTCTTGATATTTGCTTTGAATGCCCTTTTTAATTTAGCATAAAGATCTCTATTGTATTCCATTACTCTTTAAAATCTTTGAATTGCATAATCATTTTTTTATTATTTGTAAGCAAGTACAAGCTCATGAAGTTCCACCAAAAATCTTATAACTGCCCCAGTTGATAACTATTTTCTTGAACCACACTACCAGACTCCAAAGATTTCCAAGGACCCTGCATAATGAATACAATCTCTATTATATAAACCATGTTGATGATGTGATCGTCTAAAATCGCAATACCTTCCTTTCCTATCCCTTCCACAATTCACTCTGTGTCTTTTCCTTCTCTTTCCATTAATCATAAAAGCGTGAACATCGTCATTATAAGGATCAAAGTACCCTGAATAAGTAAAGAGATCATTATATTCTGAAGGCTCTGGTTCAGTCCCTAATGAAGGTGGATCAGGAGGCGGAGGTGGTGTTTATGGTTTTATCGTTATTGGAAATACCCATGGCTGCATAAGGGGCTGCCTATGCAATTGCTGCTGCCATAGCTCCTTATTATTATGCTGCATATGCTGCTGTATTCGCTTATTCTTTTTAGCTTTGAACCAATTTGATTACTACCTAGCAACAATTATATTAATTTTTCTCATAATATTTATAGTAAACTTAATAATTAAGCAAAAATACCCATTAAGATGGAAATTGAATAAGAAGTGGATACTACCCTACATTTGTTGAGATAAATCTAAATGGAAAAATTAACCATCAGAAGATTCAATTAATTGTTATTTAATAGATGAATTATATTTCCATTGTTTTTGGTGTATACCTTAAATCATTGTTACTAGACATCAGATTTATAAAACAAGAAGAATAGAAATCAATATTATATAATTTTAGGTACAATTTGATACCAAATATTAAAAATATTACAGGAATTGAAAGGTTATCAAAGGGAAATCGAAAAAGAATGTAAAACAATACAAGATAGGCGTGTAAACGTTGATGATTTTTGAGTATAATTAATAATATAATATTTAATGATGTTTTAGTATGTAAATGTAAACCAATTCAATCATTTTAGCTATATCTTTAAATAATTGATATTCTAAAAAGATTTTAAATATTTTTAATTTTTAATTTTTTGTTATTAATGCAGAACACAAAACTATCTGAATCAATCGCTTAACTTGATTGCATTAAAAAGAAAATTCACAAAATTAAGTCTTAAAATGAAAAATGGCAAAATAACATTAAATTATGTCCATATCCCCCTGGAATGCAAATAATGGCTCAAAACCTATATCCCATCAAAGTGAGCATTCCCATAACTTCACTTAATCTTAAGGAGACCATTTCTTAGAGGAATAAATTTTGTGGGACTTTGAAGATGATTATTCAGATGATTAATTATTTAGAAATCTCTTCGTCATCATAACAGATTTATTAGAAGATAAGTACCCCAAAAAAGTAACAAAGCTAACTGCAATTGAAGCACACAGTAATATAGATAGTTTATCATAAATTAGAGATTATTGAAGATTGTTAACTTTAAGTAAAATAAGCCATAGAGGATCACAAAAAATATAAACATATTTAAGACATATTGGCATTTGAGTCATTTATCGATAAAAATGATTCCATGATTAATTTACAAATACATACATCAAAAATAAAAGAGATCATATAGTGGGATTTAGAGAATGCATTTGATTAGTATTGATAATCAATTAATTTATTAGCATAGATGAATTCGTACAAGGTTATTGTTATGAAAATAAATTGGACAAAGAAAACTTTGTGTTAATAGGAAATTAAATTAGAGAATAAATATAAAAAGCATACGAAAAGAGATTTCGAATTGCATAAAAATTACTTTTAGATGATTAAACAGGTAATAAACTATTTCATTATCATAAGAATTCAAATAGAAATTGATCTCATATTTGGACTATCCATCTTTTGAACCTTATTAACCAATTAGAGATCTTCCATAAAATAATGATATAAATATGTTTTTCAAAAAGAATATTGAATTTTTGCCACCAGAACTATAAATGCTCTATGGATAAAAACCACATATAAAATAAATGTAAGACTTAATCTAAAAATAGACTGGAATTAGGAGTAGATTAAGATGATACAAAAAAGTTCGAAAAAGAACTTAATTAAAAATCGAAATATCTTGATCAAACTATTTTATCCGATATCATTAACAAGACTAAATAAAATTGATGTAAATATTAATTATTTTTTATAAATTGACACTTTTTAGTTATTTTAATCATGAATGAATTGCTACTCTCTGTTCTAATATGTTAATCTTATAAAATAAAGGGCAGCTGATAAATATTATCAGAAAATACAATAAATTTCATTAATTCTATGCTATTACAAGAATAATAAAATTTTAATGTGACTTAAAAGCATATAAATAAAGAAGCATTTAATTAATTGATTCCATAAAAAAATCAGATTTAAACTATAAAAGGTATTGCTATTCTGAATGACAAAGGTGGATTGAAATGTAGTCACTTGATTGCATTTTAATAATTAATTAAATAATTAATATATGTTAATTTTATTGTTGATATCAAATTTTAGGTGTGAGTCTGTTCTGTACTCCAATAATTATAATTCAGAAATTAACTATATGAATATTACTTTAAATCAAATGAACTCCTATAAAATACAGGTATGAACATCAATAAAATCATAAAAGTTATATATTCTTCAATTCCCGATAGATTAAAGATACTCATTGTTATTAAATATATAATAAACTAAAAACAACAAAACATATTAAGCGATTGATTCTGATGCTTTTTATTCTAAACTGCCTTACTAAAATATATATATCTAGTAGATTAACAAAATTACAATAGATGTCCAATATAAATAAATCTGCAATTATACTCATTAAAATAGAGTAAGTTTTAATTACTCAATTTACGTAATAGAATAACCAAACCCAAAGAACTAATGCATATTCCCTTACTTTTCATTGAAATGCGATAAATAAATAGACTAGCAATAAACATCACTAAAATCCTTTACAGTTCCAAACTAGAGTTGGATCTATATGTATTATATGCTCGATAAGACTAACTACACAGTATTAATTTGAATATAAGCATTAGTTGTACTTGGAGAATAACGAATCTGACATTGGAATCTCCTTTGTTTTAGCAGATACGCCCTATCAAACCGAATTGCCCTCTTTCAATTCCTATTTTACCATAATACCATAGCTTTACTCTTACAAAGTGGATTTAAAGAGATAAGAGTTCGAAACAAATTACATAATCGTGATAGGAATTTATAACTTTAATATTACATCCTAGGCTAGAATGACAATGTACTTGGAGGAGATAAGTAACGAATCGGATTCCTTTCCTCTGTGGGCAATTTTAGTGATTGTGGGCATTCTTCTATTAGCTTTATTAATAATTTCATCCATTTACATTCATTTGAGAAAATAATTTAAAGTGATAGCTTCGGAAGTTCCAGCTTTAAATAGAGAGACTTTGGATGAGTATATGCCAGCCAAGAAGGCAATAACTGAGATAATAGGTGAGGAATGCTGTGTATGTCTCAATGCATATAAAAAGGATGAATTTGTACGAGAATCCATATGTCACCATATATTTCATGATTAATGCTTATCTGAATGGTAAATAATAATATAAATTGAAGGACTAAGAAGAATACTAATTGTCCTGTCTGCAGATAGGAATTCTCGGAAAGTGAACTGAAAAGGTTATTGTAGACATAGAAACAAACTGAGAGTAGTCCATTCAACAGACACGCACAAAAGTCTCCCTTCGTTATAAAATATTAAAGTCTAAGAGTCATTCAATCTCAGTAACAATAACCAAGGAACTACCCAGATGATTCAATCTAATAATTAAAATAAGGGGAGATATCATTGTAAGAGAATTCTGTTTAACCTTTCTAAAGTTAATGAATATTATTATTTGTTCAATTAATTATTTAAATTATTTTTATGAGTACTCCAGCATTAGAATAAAATAGAAAAAAAGCTATCTTACTGATACATCAAGGTAAATTCATAGGTTCTATTCCAATAGGAAAAAAACTATTCATGGGAGGCAAAACATATGAGATTAAACAATAAGGATTTCTACTAATGAAATAAGGATGTATAGAGCTTAACCAATATTCAAAGGAAGAACCTTAAGAAGACTACAAGAGCCTAGCTAAATAGAAGACTTATTAGTATTATTGTGAACTTGAATAAATGAAACAATATTTGTTGTCTAAAGTAGAGTTTGCAAAAGATCAATAGAATATAATTTAGGATAAAAACTTAAAAAATTAAAATTAAATTAGTAATGAACTTTATAAAATTAGTTGAAAATTAAAATTAGAGAATTAATATAGATAATATAATAATCAAAGAAAAGCTGAATGTCTTTTGGGAAGACATAGCTGGACTAGAATAAGCCAAATAATCTTTGAAGGAAGCTGTCATTCTGCCATTACAACATCCAAATTTATTTCAAGGGACTCTCAAACCTTGGACTGGTATCTTATTATATGGGGTATTCATTGATTATATATAATTAGCCTCCAGGCACAGGTAAAACATTTTTAGCAAAGGCTTGTGCAACAGAGAGTCATGGCACCACCTTTATTAGCGTTTCAAGTGCAGATTTAATTTCTAAATATTCTGGTGAATCAGAAAAGTCAATCAAAGAACTATTTTAATTAGCCAGATCTAAAAAACCTTCTATAATCTTTATTGATGAAGTTGATTCTTTAGCTAGTGATAGAGAAAGCTCTGGATCTTCAGATAATCTCAAAGGTGTTAAAAATTAACTGCTAATCGAATTCTAAGGAATTGGATCAAATAATGATCAAGTATTAATTTTGGGAGCAACCAATTTACCCTGGGCTATTGATTCGGCTATCAGAAGAAGATTTGAATAACGAATTTACATTCCTCTTCCGGATTATAAAGGGAGATTTTATCTAATTTAAAATTAACTAAGAAAAACACCCAATTGCCTAACTTTAGACTAGATGAAAGAACTTGCAAATAAATTAGATGGATATTCTGGATCTGATATCAATAATCTTATTAGAGATGCATCTTTGGAATAGCTAAGGATTTTGTAAAAGGCAACTCATTTTAAAAGAGTATAAATTTAAAATCAAATGAAATATACTGTTTGTTCTGCCTCTGATCCACAGGCTGAAAAAATTACAATGAAGAGTATAGAAAAAGGTTAAATATTTGTACCTGAAATTTTATATGTAAATCTTTCCATAAATATTAGGATGACTTCTTAGCTGTACTTCCAAAATGCAAGCCTAGTGTTTCAAAGGGTGATTTGGAAAAGTATGAAGATTGGACTCAATAATTTGGATAAAAAGGATGACAATATAATGTTCATCTCTTATTCAATTCATTAATATTCTTTATCTCCTAATTTTTGCAATTAAATTATTTAATAAAACTCACTTGCCGCCCTTATCAAATCCTCTATTGAATCTGATTATCTGCTTTGTTGTACTTCATAAGAATAATTGCCCAAAATGTTATTAAGGGATCCTTCTTCATCTTCACACAATCCTTTTGTAAAAAATCCCAATAATGTTGTTTTTATGGAATGCTGTGCTTTCTGTTATACCAACTCTTACAAATAATCAATTATTATACACTATAAACTTATATTTTAATTAAATGTCTTTAAAATTATTAAACAAATGAAAATAAATTTTTATAAGTCTGAATGTCTCTTATTTTCTATACAACAAAGACAATTTATTTAAATAGTTGGTTAGAACTCTTTATAATGAGTCTAGTTAATTAGTTATATTATAATTTATAAAGAATATAATAAGACAAGTATAAAATTCTCATAAGTCAAAGAAATTCAATAAGAACATTTCCACTATGTATTTACTTTAATTATTTGTCAACAAATATCATTATTATAGATTTTCATTAGATTTTTCTTCATTTGTGCATTCTTATGTATTCTTAATGGAGTTTGAGCTTTTAGAAGATGCTCGCTTGAAAAAAGCTTGAATTTTTATTTAAGTAATTGCTTAGCAATCTTCCACAAATCTCTTTCTTTAGGAATAAAGTTCTTATTTGGTAATTTGTTACCATAAATTAAAACTGATTCAGCCGACTAACTATTTAATAATGGTCTTTGTAAAGTGGTTATGCTTATCATATTTTCACTTTCGATTTCTTAAATTGTGTTAAAAGGAATAGACGACATGATGACTGATTCTAATTTTTTCGTATTTCCTTAATTTATTATATAAACATAATTACCATATATGTATTCTAGATATTGCTATCTTTACATGATTTTATGATTCTTAATTTCATTTTACTTGATTTTAATTGTGTCTAGTTAAAATTCTTCGATTTCTCCATCTTCATCTGAATCATCAACTAATTTATTATGGGAGGAGGACACATTCAAAATAATGTGTTGTTCTTGCTTAGAAAATTAATCAAATTCATTCAACTGATAACAATCTAAACCATTTATATTCTTAAAAGTAAATAGTGGTTCTTATTATTATTGAGATTCTATGTAAAAATAAACACATTACCAATTTCAATATTATTTTTACTAAATGCCCTTAGAAACATCTTACCCAAACTAGAAGGTCGATTTGAGAGAGTTTTCCGATTTTGAATTTGTTTCCTTAAAGATATTGTCATTCTAGGGGATAAATGCTGAATTTGTTTTTTCAATAATTGCTCAAAGGCTTCGAACTATTTTAATCGAAAAATAATAGAAAATTCTCCGTTTAGTCTGACTCTGAATTTGAATAATTATTCGTTTAATTGAAAGTAGACTTCTTTATCTAGCTCTTTCATTAACATTAAATATTATCTTTCAAAGAAATGCTCAACATCAATCTCATTTTTAGATAATAAGTATTTTTCAGTCTTAACCCAAGCCTTTAAATTTTCATCATCCTTCTTTTCGTATTCATTCAATAATTCACACATAAATACGCTGTCTAGATCCATAGGTTCAAATGTGAATTAACTAATGCAACTAATATTAAATAATACTTCTCTTCAAAATTAACTAGTTTTTTCAAGCTAACCTTGAATTCACTCACAGGAGTGTATTTGATAATTTGGGCTAGTTAGGTATTCATTTTATTTTAATATTTTATTTTTACATTTCTTTCTAATTATGAATTATTCTAATTTACATTTATATTTTCAAAAAATCATCATAATATTATGATACTCTGTGACCAAGAAATCAAAACAGAAGAATATATTGCTAACTCAAAACAAATTAGAGCATAACGGTTTCTGAAATCAATAAAATTTCAGGTCAACTAAAATCTAAATACGTGCATCAATTAAGGGAAAATTTAAACAGCACTAGCACATCAATATCTAAAATAAAAATCACTTTATTTGAAACTACATCCATAACTGTTCACTATTATTTATTTGTCTAAAAAATTAGTGCTTCATAAAAAACCAAGAAACCTTACTTGAAAAAATAGTAAATCCAAAATCTACATCGAAATTCGATTTAATACTTTTCAAGAAATGAAATATGATTTGAGTAGAATCATACAGATTTACATGCATCATTAAAAGTTAAACCTCATATCTTAATTACTTGGAATTTCGAAAATATCTAAATTTCTCAATTCAAATGTATTAATTTGGAATAAACTACTACTACAATTATATATTAAATATTAATTCCTATATGAAGATTTCTAATTCTGATATTTTTACTTGTTATCTATCATTCTGCAATGAAGGATAAGTTATATAATCGAAATTTTCTATTTATGATACCTACTTGACGATATAAGTAATATAAATTATAAATATCCAAGATAAGCGATATAGATGAATTGAAAGTTGATTATTGTTCACAAGATGCAATTTTTGAATGGAAACTAGAGTATAACTTCCATTTTATCATAGGAATGGCAATTATTGCGAAGTAATTGTTATTACTGAAAATTATTCTTAGACTTATAAAGGATCAAAGTAAATCATTCTAAACCTTAAATAACACCTTAATGGGAAGGTATTTTTTAGAAACTTCAAGTCTCATTACAATAAAATTTAAACAATAAAAAAAACTAAATAGGGAGATGTAATATATATTTATAAGTATGTTTAGATTTCTAAATGTTATAATAAATATTTGAATATTGAAGTCATCGCCAAGAGGTTTAATTTAACTCAAAATATCGAACGTTAATAGAAGGTAAGTTTTTTATTTAATAAAGAAACTCATATTGAATGAATTAAAAATATGCCAATACTTGAGTTAATACGCATAAGAATCCATTATATAATTAAGAGAATTTTATCAAGAAAAGGATAAGATTATTCTAATTTTCGATTTTTGCGAAGGAGGTACTTTAAATTCCTATATGGCCTAAAATAATTTCTGCCCATAGTTTATTCATATTAGAAAAATTATGAAAAAACTTCTGTTAGCAATTAAATTTCTTCATAAACACAACATTATGCATAGAGATATTAAAATGGATAATCTTATGTTATTAGAAAATAATAATCCGAATTCTATATAAGTTATTGATTTTGGATTCTCTACATTTATTGACGATTAACCATATATAATTGAAAGATGTGGGACTCCTGGATATATTGCTCCAGAGCTATATTCGGAAAATCCCTTTGATGAACAGGTGGATATTTACAGTCTTGCTTAGATATTTTTTATATTGCTAACAGGAAGAAAGTTTGCATTTGATTCTCATTCTTTCAAGACATTTACTTTACTTCACGAAAAATAGTCAAATATAATCAGAGAAGCAACAAAGAACGAAATAATTGTTGATTTATTTTAAAAAATGACGAATTCTCCAGAAAAAAGGTACAATGCTTCATAATGTCTTAATCACTAATATTTTGAAAAGACATCTAAAATAAAACAATAGTAAAAAATATGTAAACATTAGGTTAACTTGTCTAAAGTTTCCTTTGTTAAAGACTCCATTCTAATCAGTTAAATTGAAAGAGTAATAATAATAATCAAACCATGAAGAAAGATTTGTTCATTAAAAATGAAATTTTTTATACTAAATTTCTATATTATTTATTTCTATTAACCCTTCATAATTCCAATTTCTATCGGATAACTCTCGAAAATTATTATTTTTCTAAAAACTTGATTATGATGTTTGAAATACTATATATAATCATATATGTAAATATCTAATTAATATTAGAAGTCAAAAATAGTAATATATTATCCAACTACTTTTTTAAGAGCAGATTTAAAAGTTATTATTGGGATTTAATTCAACTTAATCCTTATATTTGATATTAATTTATGATAAATCTCACATATAAGTCATCATAGTATTGATTAAGATAATTTGCAATTTTTCATCATAAATAAAATAACTTAATTAATTGTTATGACTTGGTAATTTTTGATTTCTTATTCAATTATTAATTATGGTATTCTTAGAGAAAAAGTTTTAACAATCTAATTTTATCAAACTCATTGTTCTATCATTCTAATAATTTAATTGTTTATTAAATTCCAATTTTTGGACATTAAAATGTACAAGATTTACACTATAGTTATGATTATATCTTAAATGATTTTCGTAATTAGGATAATATCTCTTAATGATAATTTCTTATTAGATCCTTATAAGAATTTGAATTAACTTTTATTAATATACACTTTAATTTATTGTATATAAAATCACTTCAAAACTGCAATTAAGACTTTAATCAGATATATTTTTGGAGATTTTCTCAATTCTGGAAATACTACTAATAATATAAAACCAATTAGCGTTAGATAACATACAAAAATGATTCACCTAATAAATTAAGTAAAAAACCAGTAATAAAAGACTTGGTAATTGTATAATCAAAATTGAGAAAAATAAATAAATTTACAGGTAGTTGTAATTATTTTTTGAATACAAATAAATTCTTACATGCATTATTGGTTAATCCTTTTGCTTGTTAATATCTTAATGAAAGCAATCTTTCTCAAAATTGAAAATTATCTCTTAAAGAGTAAGAAATAGATATTTTCTTTTAATTTTGATTATTTACTAACATACATATTTAATTTAATATTATTATATATATTTATTTTACGAATTAAAAATAATCAAAGTTAACAAATAAAAACGAGATAATCTTGATAAATAACATAATTTTCACTCAGCTTCATGGTTGTTTGTTAGAAAAATTTTAGTGATTTATAAAAGATAAATTTTACTTTTAATTAAATAATTAATTTTCAGTACTAAATGATTTTTATTTTTAGAACAATATATTGATATTAATAATTACTATCAAATAAATGAACAATAAAATTGTCTTATACAAGTATGTACTGTTTAGAATTAATGATGTACTATTATTTATTCAGAAAATAATGAAAAGGAAAATTTATAAAGTGGAAATAGGTAATGCTGCAATATTTTAGAGTGTATATCTCCACGAGAAATGTATATTGAAACGTTCTATTTTTAGAATTATTAAAGCAAATACAATTATTATCAATATTTTAAATAAATATATAAAACAACTGCTCAAAGTAATTATTCTTGTTTGGAACATAAGAGTAAATTAATTAAAATACAATTAAATAATAACTATTACTACATTGAAAGTTGGAAGCAAAGTTTATATTATCATAAAAATAAAAAAATAAAAATTAGTACAGTTTTAAGCCTTGATTTATACTGCTTAGAAGAGGGATATTTAATAAAACGACCATTATTATAGAATATTGGATCTTTCATTATTCTTTAAAATTTGTATTAGGCATCTAATGAGCCTATTCTGAACATTTCTATAACAATCAAGGTGCTCAAGCTTGAAGTAAAACGATTAGAATTTGGATGTATTTCTTAAAATCTCAGATACAATTAGCCAAGAATAAAAATCCCCCCACTAATTTCAATATATTTATGAGACCAAAAATTTAAATAAAATAGAGAGATTTCAAAAATATTTTAATTCGTTTTTTAGAATTAATAAGTATAAATAGTCAAAAATACTCATGAGGACAAGATCAATTAAATTTTGTATATTATTAAATACATATAAAACATGTAATTCTTAATTTTAGTAGCAAACTAAATAAATTTGATAATAATTTCAAACACCAAATAATTGAATTGAGTAAAAATATGTTAGTATAATAAAATTGAATTTGGAATTAAATAGAGAATATTGAATTGCATTTAAAAGTTTTTCTTTGATGTTGGAGTTTATATTTACAGAATCCACAATCTTTTTGAAGTCATCCTAATTTCACACGCTAAATATTATTATTACTTAAATAAATAAGAAAATAATTAGTAAATCCAAAAATTTAAAAGCAGTTTCATCAAATCAAAAATACTTAATTATTTTATATCAAATAAATTTTTCTGAGAATTCTTGAATCCTTCTCACTATAAATTAAATATATATTAGATATTAATAAATCAACTTAAATTTAATGAAATAAAGTGGACTATTGCCGTATTTCAATTCTGAGTTCTCAAACTAACAAACCCAGAAAACAGAAAGGGAAAAATCGAAAACCACTTCCTAAAAATAAGAACATAAGGGAGAAGTGTATTCCTTAAGTCCCTTGTAACTCACCTAAAAGTATTAATAAGTTATATTTGTAGTACAATCCCGGTTGACTAAATTGAATTCTAGGGTTAGGTGTAGAATAACAATTAAACAAAATATAATTGCTCTGTCTCCTCTTTTCACTATTCTTTAACAAAGACTTAACTCATATAAACAACTATAAAAGTATTCCATGAGAAATATAAAGTTATGAAGATTTTAAAAGAAAATAAATTGTGTCAAGTAAGTTTTATTTTTAAATTTTATTAGATTGTATAATGTAAAAATAAATAAACTAAAGAATTATTTATAGCAAAAATCTGTATCAAGTGGCAAAATGTAATATTTTAAAGTATTTCAGTCTTAAATCGTCAGCGAAATTGGAGTTTCCAAGACTTTATTAAAGTAGCCCCATTCAAGTTTAATGAAGTTATAAGAAATGTTTACTGACTAGGATACTCACATCTTTATATATGAGTATATGAAAGGAGGTACTCTATTAGAATACATTCAAAAGAGATAACTTAAATTAGATGAAAAGGAGATTAGATCTATATTTAAATAGCTCCTTAAAGCCTTAAAACATTTACATTCTCTTAATATTATACATAGAGACCTAAAATTAGACAATATTATGTTTAAAGTAAAAGGAGATGTCAAATCGCTAAAACTAATTGATTATGGGTTTACAACATTTTTGTCAGACACCAAGAATATGGAATTCAGATGTGGAACTCCTGGTTATGTTGCCCCAGAAATCTTTTAAGAATAGATACTATACAATTAACTATGTGACATTTATAGTTTAGGAGCTATAGCGCACATTCTAGCTACTGGAAAGCGTATATATTCTTCAAATTTGACTTCAAAAGAAATATGTGAATTTAATAAAAAAAACCAATATGAAATCAGTGAGAATCTCAAATGTCCTTTGTTGTTAGATCTTATTACTTAAATGCTAAAAGAATTCAGTAATAGACCATCGGCTTAAGACTGTTTAATACATCCCTATTTTATAAAACTATCATCATTAAATTAGTCTTAAGAACGAATAAATTAATAGTAATTAAATTGATTAATTTTAGAATATATAATCTTGCCTTTCCATAATTTAAAAATCCTTTTTAATCTGTTGAATAATGTAAATGATTCAGTATAAAATACTATCTTATAATATAAAATAAATAAATAATACAAAAATAGTAATCACATAAATTTTGAATTCCTTATGTCAAAATAATTGTAATTGATGGTTTGTTAAATTTATTATGGTTATTATTTTGTGGGGTCAATAACACTTGAAGCTTTTTTGTGTTATTAGTAATTCTATACTTGGCAACATTTTTAGAGCAACTTTTGCACTTAAGCTACACTATTGTGAATATTGCCTAATTAGAATTGAATTAATACTTTAGGGTATAAATTTTGGTTTAGATGCTTCAGTCTTTTACCTTTAATAAGGACTTGTTGGATTAATATTTATGGGTGACTTTTCAAAAGACTTACTTCTTTGGGCTTAGTTTATCATAATGGGATCCTTAGGCCTTGAGATTTCTTTTTATTATGAAAAATTCTGTGCTGTTGTATAATTTGATAACTATTATATTTAGACTGGTCTAACATAACTGACTGAAGTGGATGGTTTATTGTCATTTTTATTTTATGTACTGAAGCTCGCGTTAGTCACTCTTCTATCATATGGCTCTCCATGAAAAGAATAGGATTTTGTGACATTTGTGATAATATTTTCTGTTTTTTTCTTTATCTCTGGACTCTTATTTAAATCATTATGTGGTCTATTCACTATGTTGGTATAAGTTTTTCTTAATCCTTGATTATGAGGTTAATTTTAAGTAGAAGCAAATTTTTGTTGAATCAAATTTGGACTAATGTTTGAGACGTTACTAGATATGGTAGGTTTCATAGTTGGAGAATAGTCAGACTTCTTTTGTATCGGATAGGGATTTACTCCTTCAGGTTTATAAAAAGAATCTAGTTTCTTTGGTTTATCTACTGGTTAAGATACTTGATAATTTGGATTCTGTTTATTAAACTTCGAATCGTAATTATTCAAATATGTAGAAAAGCTTTATGGAGTAGACAAATATTGCTTGGCTATATTTTTGTTAAATGTGTTTTATTCAATTTCTTATAGAATCTATTCACAATTTAGTGTTATTTTATCTCTATAATCTTTGATTGTTAATTTTTTATTTTCATTAAAAGGAATTCTGATTATTGACTTCAACGTTTTTTCGTCCTCAGTATTTGCAAACTCTTTCATTAATGAATGCTTTATTGCTTCATCAATTGTCATTCTTTTTTAGGGATTCCAATTAAGACATTATCGAATGAAATCAATAAAGTCTGGAGATGCACTTGGGAAGAATGCTGCAAAGCTTTTTCGTTTTTACATAGAAATTCCATCTAATACTTATTAAGCCAATGGTGCATTAATTAATTCTAGATCATCCTATTTGGGCCTTCCTATTAATTCAATTATCTTCTCAATTTAATTCAATGTTGATGCTCCAGCAAATATAGCTTTTCCCAATATCATTTCTCCAAGAATGCAACCGACACTCCACATATCTACAGATTTTGAATAATGATGAGATCCTAATAAGATTTCTGGGGCTCTATACCATCTTGTAGCTACATATTCAGTCATTATTGGTAATTCTAATAATTTATAAAAAGTTTAATACCATATTAATTTTCAGATTAAGCCACGCTTCTTGCCAATCCAAAATCAGCAACTTTCACTTTACAATCAGAATCAATCAATAAATTCGAAGGTTTCAAATCTCTGTGAATTAATTCTCCAGAATGAATAAATTTTAAGCATTTTAACAACTAATATATTATGTATTGCATATGCAATGGATTTAGTAAACCTGCTCTTATTACTTTATGTAAATCAGTTTCCATATATTCAAATACCATGTATAAATCCTTCTAGTTTTCTGCTTGAATTACTTTTAATAATTTAACAATATTTTCATGTTCTGTTAATTATTATAAGAAACAAACTTCTCTGAATGTTCTTTGAGCATCTGTTTAATTTGAGAAAGCATCGAAAACCTATATATAAGATAATAGTTATAACCTTTTTTAATGCCACTTATTGTTTGGTTTATTTGTCGATTGCCTTCCACACTATTCCGTAGGCTCCTTTACCTTTGTAATCCTGTATGTCATATTATTTGAGAATATGCTCTTCTATTTGGCTATGTTGATCATTTTGGTTAGACATTTATTGATATTTTTTATTTTTATTTTTTATTATCTTCTAAACAGTAATGATTATATAATAAATTTCGATCAAAAATAAACTCAAAATTATCTGCTATTTCATTATTAAAATTACAATTTGAGTTCCCTATGTTGAAATTAATAACAAAAAGAAATAAAAATTATTCTGTTATAACATTTGATGTTTATTAAATAATGCTAGCACTTTAAATAGTCTCTACTATAAAACTACAACAATTTTTGTGTCTTGTGCTTTAATGAACTAGATGAATTGATTGAAATAATATTATTTTTAGAATGATTTTAATTTTACAAGAATGTGATAATAATTTCTTATCTTGCTTCAGATATATTATACTTGCAATCTTGTCTCTAATTATTGCAATAATCTCAATTAGCTGGTCCTTATATTATTACAAAGCTCATGGATCATTAAAATATGAAATAGCACCGATGCTCTGTTGTTGCTTATAAGCTATAGTTCATTTAGTTCAATACACCATTTATAATTCAAATCGAATGATAATTTCTGCTAGCATATTACAACTATTTACCTTTATACTTGTTTCACAAAGCTTGGCCAATTTGAGATATCGATTTAAATATGCAGATGACAGTAGTTATTAATATTTATCTATATAGTGGAAAAAAGAAAAAACAAATACTTGAGATTGATGATTGGTAAAGGTGCCTTTTATTTGGTTATATTTTCATTGTAATTTTTCTTTTTCTTTGAAATTGATGATTCTTCTTGCAATAAGTATGCTAACCATAGTTTAAAGTAGTTATTTTTATTACAGTCTTGATCTATTAGAAGTACAAATACTCATAATCACTATATTCACATAAATACATGGTTAATCACTGATCTACTATATTAGAAGGAAAGAAGAATTATAAAACCAAAATTCAGATTAATATTCCTAATTTCTTGACAGCTCATCAATGCCAAAAAATACCCTAAGCATGAAATTAAAATAGATTAAATTAGTTATATGGGCATAAACCATTACAATGATAACATTCATAGTGCTCATCATAATTATGTACAATACCAACAAAGAATTATTTTGTTTTTAATAAAGCAAAGAAGAATAATATTCTGTTTTTTAAATAAGCATTCAAATATTTTTTACAGGAGTACAACAATTTCCTTGTTTATATATACCTTATGCATTTTACTATGCTGAAAAACCGAGATCAATATCAAGAACACCTGTTATTGATTTCAATATTTAACAAGAGGAATCTACTGCTGAATAACAGATTTATAAAACAAGAAAAGATAGCTCATTCGATGACAATTTTATTAAAATGATTCATAGTATATAATAAAATGATTGATTTCACATTTTGCAGTCAGTTCTTCAATAGTTTTTCAATATCTTTCATCATATCATTTGGACTAACGTCTGGACAATAATAGTTAATTACGTTTCCGTTCGCGTCAAGCAAAAATTTTGCAAAGTTCCAAGGAACATACTTTACTTCATTTTTATTATTAATCTTCAATTCACTATTATATCGTAGATATTTATAAATATCATGAGCTCCAACCCCATTTACTTCTATTTTCCTAATAAAATATGAAATATTTAAATACTGGAATAATGGAAAGTGAGCGCCATATTTTTAAGTAACATAATTTTTTATTTCTGGTTCTGGTTTGCTTTCCTAATTCCTAAATTAATTGCATGGAAAACCTAGAATTTCTAAACCCTAATCTCTATTCATTTTTAAATGATATACTTGTATTGCTTATACATTTCAACTAATTCAACATAATTCTATGTTGTTAAACGACAAGAACAAGCAACATTTACGCAAATATATGCTTTTTTTCCTTAAAATTTCGACATTTAAACTAGATTGCCATCAATATCATTTATTTCAAAATCGAAAAATGATTTACTTGGTACTTCTATTTTATCTAATTCTTTTTTTGATGAACAAATGCCCATATATTCTTGTACTTTGTAATGTGGTGTATTATAAAATTTTATTAATAAATTATCAAACATTATAACTTTGAAATTAAATAATCATTTCTAATATATTCTGAGAACTACCAAACAACCTTTTTGATGAGTCATGAATCCATATAATAAATATTCAATGGAGATCTAGATTTGCTCACTTTTAAATTATAAACAAATTACAATACAATTATAGATAATTTTAGAATCACGTATAATCCTTATAATATTGGGTTTTCTGTTTTAACTTCGGATATTTAGGGGAATTTTGTTCATTATGATTTTATGCATGGTCTTATACTTTAAACATATTATATCATGACTAATTCTTAAGATTTCTAATAATCTAGAGTACAACTTTGTAAGCATTTTCATATCAAAATAGAAAATAGCATTTGAATAATTATAAACTTAAATTAGATGTTAAGAGATAAGTTGGTTCTCAATCTTAGCATATTTTCAACTCATTTTCCATTTAATGATTGACAAAGAAATTCCAGAAGTTTATCGATGGGAATTTATTTTATAAATTATTATATTGTTATTTTTACTAAAATGGGATAGACTAATACTAGTACGATAATAAGATAGGAAGCTCTGAATTTAGCTTAGAAGAATTCAAAATGGAGAGTTATCAACGATGCTTATGAAATAAATTAATGCTTGCTAATGTCATCTGTGATTGATTAAATATCGTATGATTTAAGTAGTGTAAGTTATAAAGTATCAAGTATGACTGTAAACCCTTTAACATATGATTCGGTTTCTTTTGAATTGCTAATGAAGGAGGATAGAATGCAAATGTAATCCAAAATAATGTATAAATATGAAGTATTGAGACCCTAATAAAAGTAAAGAAAATATAAAACTGTAACAACTTAAACTGAATTAACATCAAATGATGAAATTTTTTAGTATTCAACCGATAGAAAATAATAACGTAATAACCATAGTTTTGGATCTGAAATTATACAAAAATATCAGGTTGAGGAACGCAATAAATCACAAACTGATGAAAAACCGAATAAAAAAGATTAACGATTAAGAGGGGATAAAATATTTCAGGAGGTAAAAGAACCAAAAACTATTAATAACAAGGGATATAATACTGCGGAGAAGACAAACATTTTTAAATTAGATTATGAATAAACTGAAAACTTTTCAAATGATCTGGTTGACAATGCAAGCATGTTATCAATCAGTTAGAATTTTGCAAACTTAAAAAATCATCCTTCTCACAATGAAGAAAGATCATATATCTAAAATGAAAGATATTGGTCTTCAAGTCACTCATCAACTTTTATAGATATTCCTGTGAATGCTGGTCACAAGGCTTAAGCTCAAAAAAATTTATCTTAGAATTAGAAATAACAATAAAATAATATAGATTTAAAAACATAATAAAAAAAAATGAATTTTTAAGATGACAATCACCGATTAACATAATAGTAATCATTTGGATAATTAAAAATCTAAGCACTATAATAATAGCAATAACAATAATAATAGTAATAATAATAATAATAGCTATAGTAAAAGAATATCATATCCTAATAATAAGTTTAAATGTAGTCTCAATAATAATACCCTTAATAATAAAAATAATAATACTATTACTAATAATAGTAATAATAATAGCAATATCAATAGTTATAGCAACAATAATAGCAATAGTAATAGAAAGAATTATAATTATAATAATAATAATAATAATAATAATAATAATAATAATAATAATAATAATATCT